GGAACAGACAAAGGCAACGACGACAGGTTTGGCCATAAGGTTTTATTTGGGTTGGAAATAATTGCATGAAAAGATTTCATTTGGAAACTAAAGACTAGAAAAAATAAACCAAATAGTATCCATGTAAATGTCGTCTCCATTTAGAACTTTGAAATTTCTTGCATAATTAAAAATCCAAAAAGGTTTGTATGTTTGTATGTATTTTATATGTAAATACTATATAGTCGCTTAACCAATTCATTAATTTTGCCTGGCACTTCTAATTCTATAGGAATTTATCTTTATAAATGGTTAGTTTTGTTCTTTGAAATCTCACTCCATTCCGAAATATGTTATCATCCAGAAGCGTATTCAGGGGGTCTATGGGGGCTTATCCTCCTCCTGGATCAGGGAATTATATGCTTATTTTTTTTTTCCTGAAAAGAAAAAGAAATGTAAGCCCTTCCTGGGGAAAAAAACCTGAATACGCCTCTCTTAATATCTTTAAAACTATGTCTAATTCTCAACCTTTTTTAAATCTGTCAAAATACAAAAAGTGAAGACCAAGAGATATATTTCGAAGATCTTCATTTTTCGGTATCACAAATTGCGCATTCCTTGTTTTACAAATTATGCATGCAGGCATTATTGTGCTGTCTGAAATTATTTATTGTGCAGTAAAATGGCTAAAATTTACTTCTGAAATCTAAAGTTTTCAGCTCAGATCCTTTTACAAAAATTTGCTCTGGGCAGACTTTATTAAATTCTACTGAAAAAGCGAAATTACGGGATATATACTACTGGAATATAATTTGATATAAGTTTATAGATTGGATCCAGGAATTATACAATATACATTTTAGAGACATCATTGCTCTGAAGCAGGCGCGCAACTAGACATTTGGTTAGATGGGGGCTAGGGGGAAATTTTTTGGCCCCCCCCCCTAAACATTTTTAGGGGGGGGCAAGAAAAATGTGTGTTATACTTAAACAATAAAAAACTAACCTTTCCAACCTGATATTCAGTAAGTCAACACATCTGATATGAAATAAAACAAGAAATCTATTCTAGTCAGGGGCGGATACAGGGGGGGAGGCGGAGGAATTCGCCCCCCCCTGAATTTGGAATTTTTTGTTCCTATTTTCAGAATAGCTTCTATAATAGCATGGTTAATTGGGAAAGAAACCCTAGTGCAAAACAGGAAAAATATCTGTCTTGATAAACTATAATGTGTGAAAAGTTAAAAATCTAGTTTTTTAGTCTTTTGTCATTAATTTTCACTCTTTTTGAGTCTTTTAAGTCAAAAAAAATTTTCGCCTGTGCCGCGATTTTTGGTTCCTAATTATGAATTTTTTTTTTTCCTAAAAAATCTTGCCCCCCCCCCTCACTTAAATCCTTTATCCGCCCCTGATTCTGGTATAAATCACAAAAATAATTAATTTACAATACAAATTACATATATATTATATATGTATAAATTTTCATTAGTTATCCATAAATCAAATATGTACATTGTACTCAAAAACTGACAAGAAATGCCTTTCATTAAAAATTCATGATTTTACATGAAATATATTTTTTTTAATATGACACATCACACAATATTTGCGGTGAACATGAAGCCGAAGGATTAATTTAATAGTTGTACTACAGTATTAAAGCAATATCATAATAAGTGGCAGAACTGATAGTGAAAATATCTAAAAAATACTTAATAAACCCCCTTTCCCTTTCCCAGGAAAAAAAAGGAATAATGAAAACAACAAAGATTAAGGCACCTTGGAACCTTGTCAACCTGTTCTGATCTACGGCAGTAGTTAGGCTCGGAGACGAAGGGGGTCTGTGTGTGTGTATATATGGTGTATTAAGTGCTATACGGATTGAACTATAAGCTCAATAAACTAACGTTCAATTATCTTTTTTTATTTTACGATAAGAGCTCTTAAATTTCCTCAGGGTCAGGATTCATGAATCGCTAAATTGCAAAACAGGGTGGACTTCGTCACTTCTTGCCCCCCCCTACAGGGGGGGGCAAGACTTCTTAAGGGAGGGGCATGCCCCCCCCCTTAATCAGGCTAGGGGGGGCCTAGCCCCCCTGCCCCCCACCCTAGTTGCGCGCCTGCTCTGAAGTTGAAATAATGCTAATCATTATTAATATAGCATATATGCATGGTTTAGTTATAAGCTTTTTGTGTTCACATTAAGCCACGTGGCTATAGAATTTATATCCAGTATGTATGTAAAAATTTATTAAATCCTCATAAAAAGATTTTAAGACTTTTAAAACTGTTATAGAAATAACTTGTTAAAAAGCTAATTTGTTTGTTCCCTAGTTTCTAGTAAAAATTCCTCGAAGACGACATCTATTCATTTCCTTTTTATTAGAATTATCTCAACAAAGCCAGCCCATTTGTATTGAGTGTACTATTGGAGACCCCAATCTTATCAATGGAAACCTCCAAATTTTCATCAGAGACCCAAGCTTTTTTTCGAGAGACCCAGATTTTCATTGGAGACTCCAAGCTTTTCATTGGACCTTGTTAATAAAATCATCAATTTTGTGATTGTAAACTCTATCTGTATACAGATACATTTATTTTAGCAATAAACTTTATCTTATCTTATCTTATCTTATCCTTTTCTCCTTGTCTATCCTTGTCTCCTTGTCTATCCTTGTCTCCTTGTCTATCCTTGTCTCCTTGTCTATCCTTGCCTCCTTGTCTATCCTTTTCTCCGTCTATCCTTGTCTCCTTGTCTATCCTTGTCTCCTTGTCTCTCCTTTTCTCCTTGTCTATCCTTGCCTCCTTGTCTATCCTTGCCTTCTTGTCTATCCTTGTCTCCTTGTCTATCCTTGTCTCCTTGTCTATCCTTGTCTATCCTTGTCTATCCTTTTTCATCCAAGTCTATCCTTGTCTTTCATTGTATATCCTTGTCTTTCATTGTACATCCTTGTCTATCCTTGTCTCCTTGTCTATCCTTGTCTATCCTTGGCTCCTTGTCAATCCTTGTCTCTCTTTGTCAATCCTTGTCTATCCTTGTCTTTCCTTATCTATCATTGTCTCTTCTTCTCTATCCTTATCTATCCTTGTCTATCCTTGTCTATCCTTGTCTATCCTAGTTTATCCTAGTCTATCCTTTTATCCTTGTCTATCCTTGTCTATCCTTGTTATTCTTGTCTATACATGTCTTTCCATGTCTTTTTTTGTCTTTTCATATTCTATACCTATATTCTATATATTTTCTATTTCTATTCATATATCTATTCTATTTCTATTCTATGTATATTCTATATCTATCCCATATCTATGATATATCTATTCCATATTTATTCTTTTTCTATTATATATCTATTCTATATATATTCTATATCTATTCTATATCTATTCCATTTATATTCTATATCTATTCAATATCTATTCTTTATCTAGTCTAGATGTATAAACATGTTACTAAATCTATGCTGCAGAAAGCCGGACGAGTCGGATCAGCTGGAACGGAAAGCTCTCAAGTTCTTCTCCAGGTACTCTATTCAACTGGAGAGAGGATCCTCTCTCTCTCTCTCTTTTATCCCGGAAGAAAACAAATAGTAGTGAAAAGTTCGGGAATAAGGAAACATCTATATGTACAGCTGTATGTAAACTTGTACATAGCATGTTATGTACAGTTTACAATATACACTTACAAGTTAGATCATAGAAGTTGCATTTTCAATTATAATTATAATAAACACATCTCATTGAACCTTGTTATTTTATATATTCTATTTATATTAAACTAACGTTAAATTAAATATTTATTACGTTGCACTTTTGAGAGCTGAGTGAAAACAAACACTTTTAGAACTAAATCCTTATATCAGAGTTATAAAGCTATTTAATGTTTTTTATCCAGAAAGTTGTTCTAATTTTTTTTTTTTTATTTACAGACGACATTGAGATCGTCTTTGAATTTCAAAAAATTATAAATGTCTTAAAGTGTATTAAATTTTAAAAGTTTGTGCGTCAATTTTGATGGTACTAAAATGGCAAACATTTTGGAAACTTTTTGAGTTTTCGTACGTAAAAGTTTCAATTACACTATAACTGCGTTTACAGTAAAAAATTACGCGTGGATCAAAGACGATATCGAGTTCGTTGCTCGGTTGCCATGTTTAATTTGTTTATACAGTTTTTATTTTCAAAAACTTTTTACAGCTTTTGAAATATCTTACTTAATATGAAATTAGTATCAAACTAAATATTATTCATGAATTATTTACAATGAGACTCAGAAAACTTAGGATTGGGAAGACGACATTTTTATGTGCATTTGATATCGTCATAAATATTTGATATTGTTATAAAGTAAATATTTGATATCGTTTTAAAGTAAACATTTGATATCGTTATAAAGTAAGTATTTGATATCGTTATAAAGTAAATATTTGATATTGTTATAAAGTAAATATTTAATACTGTTATAAAGTAAATATTTAATATTGTTATAAAGTAAATATTTGATATCGTTGTAAAGTAAAATAATTGATATCGTTATAAAGAAAATATTTGATATCGTTATAAAGTAAATATTTGATATCGTTATAAAGTAAAATAATTGATATCGTTATAAAGTAAATATTTGATATCGTTATAAAGTAAATATTTGATATCGTTGTAAAGTAAAATAACTGATATCGTTATGAAATAAATATTTGATATCGTTATGAAGTAAAATAATTGATATCGTTATAAAGCAAATATTTAATATCGTTATAAAGTAAGTATTTGATATCGTTGTAAAGTAAATAGTTGTACAGTAGCTCGAAAATAAAAATAGTAAGTGAAATGGGCCTGTTATTGTGTACTTTACATTGTACACTGTACATATCCTATCTTTCATGGTCAATGGACTACCTTAAATCACAAATTGAGTTTGACAGTCGTCTTCATATTTCAAAGTTTTATTTATATAAAATAAAGGTGCCTTCAAAATGTTATCCCAGTTTTAAGTATCATTATTGATGTTATTAGTAGTCTCGATACGGATTTTAATACAATTTTCATCATTCATATTTCAATATAATTTTTATCATTATTATTTCATAATTTTCATTTAGATATTTTTCAACAACTCAATCAGAGTGAAAAATGAGTTAATACGTGAAGTAAAAACTATTTGTAACATCTTAAATCTTGAAGGGAAAAATGTAGTACCCTCCCCCCTCCCAACCCCTATTGATTGCACAGTTTTGTTCACGTACGATACATAACAATGGAGTACGGTACATGGCAGGAAAATAGGTAATGCAAATCTATATAAATAACTATTAAGAAAAAAATTTAACAAAATGAAAAAGTATAAATTAGACTAAGTAGATAAAATTTACATGAATAGATTAATTATAAATGAATGAGATGAATTATGAATGAATGAGATGAATTATAAATGAATGAGATGGATTATAAATGAATAAGATGAATTATAAATGAATAAGATGAATTATAAAAGAATAAAATGAATTATAAATGAATGAGATGGATTATAAATGAAAAAGATTAATTATAAATGAATAAGATGAATTATAAATGAATAAGATGAATTATAAATGAATAAGATGAATTATAAATGAATAAGATGAATTATAAATGAATAAGATTAATTATAAATGAATAAGATGGATTGTAAATGAATGAGATGAATTATAAATGAATAAGATGAATTATAAATGAATGAGATGAATTATAAATGAAAAAATGAATAATAGATGAATGAGATGAATTATAAACTAATGTGATGAATTATAAATGAATGAGATTAATAAATGGGATGAATTATAAATGAATAAATGAATAATAAATGAATGAGATGAATTATGACTGTATAATATCAATTATGAATGAATAAGATGAATTATAAATGAATAAGAAAAATTATAATTTAAGAAATAAATCATAAATGAATGAATGAATATTAAATGAATTAGTAAATTAATAAGATGATTTATAAATTAATAATATAAATTATGAATGAATGAGATGAATTATAAATGAATAAATAAAATTGTAAATAAATAAATTTATTATACATGAATCAGATGAATTATAAACTTAAAATGAATTATAAATGAATAAATGAAAAATAAATGAATAAATGAATTATAAATGAATAAATGAATTATAAATGAATAAACGAATTATAAATGAATAAATGAATTAAAAATGAATAAATGAATTATAAATAAATAAATGAATTATAAATGAATAAGTGAATTATAAATGAATAAATGAATTATAAATAAAATGAATTATGGATGAATAAATGGATCATAAGTAATTTAGATAAATTAAAAATTAAGAAATAAATTGTAATTGAATTAGATGAATTATAAATTTAAAAATTAATTGTAAATGAATAGGTGTATGATTGAATGAATATATGTATGAATGTATGAATAAATGTTTAAATGAATTAAAAATGAATAAATAAATTTTAAATGAATAAATTATTTAATGAATTATAATGAATAAATGTCCAGGAACGGTAACCTTGACTGGCTTCAGCGTGCCGGTGAATTAACAGATGTAAATATTCTGGTTGAAGGGGTCAGCTACCCGGCCCATAGGGTCATCCTAGCAGCTCACTCAGAATACTTTCATAGGTTAGTAGATGTCATGTTTGCTAGAGGTTTAGTAGAGGTCAGGTTTATTTAAGGTTTAGTAGAGGTCTGGTTTACTAGAGGTTTTTAGTGGGTGTCAGGTTTACAAGGGACTTTGTAGGTGTCAGGTTTACTGGAGGTTTAGTAGAGGTCAGGTTTACTTGAGGTTTATTAGAGGTCAGGTTTACAAGAGGTTTGGTAGAGGTCAGGTTTTCGAGAGGTTTAAAAGAGGTCAGGTTTACGAGAGGTTTAGAAGAGGTCATGTTTACGAGAGGTTTAGTAGAGGTCAGGTTTACTTAAGGTTTAGTAGAGGTCATGTTTACTTGAGGTTTAGTAGAGGTCAGGTTTACTTGAGGTTTAGTAGAGGTCAGGTTTACTAGAGGTGTAGTAGAGGTCAGGTTTAGTAAAATTCAGGTTTAATAATATAGGGGGCATCAAATGCCCCCTCCACACACTTTCTTTGGGTTTTTAGTATAAAACATTATTAAATTCTTGCTTTAAAAATACTGTATATTTTTTCATAATTCCATTGATTTTATTGAATATGAAAACACTTGTTCTATCATATTATTCACACATTTATAATATTTATAAGTAAACTTCTTATGGATGTTGTAATCAAGGTTTAACGGGACTGAACAGTGCCCTATTAGCTCATTTATGATATTTATTTATTATAAGGGTACTTTAAAAACTTTGTCTGTTCAAGGATTAATAAGATATTCATTTTTTTCTGGCTAAAGAATCGAGTATTTTCTTTCGTGGTTTCTCTGTAAAAGTGACTCGCGGATTTATGTATCAGAAAATGAAGAAAATTGTCAGAATTTAACACTTTTTACTTAGATAAAATTAGAGTTACTACTTTAAATCGGACTTTTTAAATGGAGGGTTTCTTGACATTACTTGTGGAGTTCATTAAGAAAGCTGTTTAAAATAGTTTTACGAAAACTGCAGAAGCAAAGTGCAATTTTTTGCTTAACAGATTTTATTTAGATTATTCAAGATAAATATTAACTTCAAAATGTGTTTATTCAATGAATGAATGAGTGAATAGCGGTATTGAGCGGATAAATATTGTATTGTATAGGAAGGGTGAATGAATATCTGAATTGAATATCTGTATTGAGAGGATGAATGAATATCTGAATTAAGTATCTGTATTTAGAGGATAAATTAATATCTGAATTGAATATCTGTATTGAGAGGATGAATGAATATCTGAATTGAATATCTGTATTGAGAGGATGAATGAATATCTGAATTAAATATTTGTATTGAGAGGATGAATGAATATCTGAATTGAATATCTGTATTGAGAGGATGAATGAATATCTGAATTAAGTATCTGTATGTAGAGAGGATGAATGAATATCTGAATTAAGTATCTGTATTGAGAGGATGAATGAATATCTGAATTAAGTATCTGTATGTAGAGAGGATGAATGAATATCTGAATTAAGTATCTGTATTGAGAGGATGAATGAATATTTGAATTGACTATCTGTATTGAGAGGATGAATGAATATCTGAATTAAATATCTGTATGTAGAGAGGATGAATGAATATCTGAATTGAATATGTGTATGTAGAAAGGATGAATGATTGAATGAATAAAAGTCTGTATTGAATTGATGGCGATGAAAGTAGAAATGCCAAAACCAATTCTCCTGCCAATACCTTCCTTACTGGCTTTACAATAATTCACAATATAATCTAGATACCACTAATTTTCTTATGTAGGTTTGAATATATAATTCACAATATAATCTAGATACAACTAAATCTCTTACTATTCTTAGTAATCAATACTAGCCCGGCCACTGTTGGCTGAGTATTTAAAAAATGATAAATAATAAATTAAGCAGCTCAACCACAGACTAGATAAATACATACTTCTAATCAGCTTTCACAGGCTGGATTAAGTAGACCTATTGTTGTACCGGCATGACATGCTATACTCCTACAAAAGGTTTTTGACTGCCATCTAACCGCCTCTTGCTGCATGCATGTAAACCAGTACGGTGAGACTGTGTACATAAATAGATAGTAAAAAACACAGACCTAAACCTAATCCAAGGTTTAGTTGTCCGTTGGAATGTCTAAAAATAGTTTTTTAGTTATACATAATGGACCTTGTTGTAGAAAATATCGCATATTCTAGCCTTTAATAGATCTCTGTACTCTCTTATCTCCTTTAATAGATCTCTGAACTCTCTTATCTCCTTAGATAGATCTCTGTACTCTCTTATCTCCTTTAATAGATCTCTGTACTCTCTTATCTCTTTAGCAAAACTATGCAAGAATAATTGCGCAGAAAAGTTTAAGACAGATTTATAATTTTACACCATGTTTCATGAATAACAATATTAAACAATCAAATTGCATAGATACAAATTTTATTTAGGGTTTGTATGTTTTATTTCTAGTAACAATAAATTCCATATTTGTGGAAAATACAAAAATATTCCTTGGAGATGACTTTTTTTTAAATTTTGCTTTATTTTCAGAAAAATCATTATTTGAAGGTTTGTCCTTTAAAAAAAGCAAAAATCTTCTTTCTTTTAGTTTTTGGCATTTTTTAGAATCAAAATGTTGTTTTGTGCTTTTTGCTTGTTTATAAAATATTCAGCCATAACCATTTTAAGTTTGAGTTTTTCTACTTGTTTTAAAAAAGTTAAATAGAATTTAGATTTTATTTTTGTTTTTTATTTTATGTTGTTTTCCAGAATGTTTACGTGTGGTATGTCTGAATCTCGAAACCAAGATGTGAAGCTGCAAGGAATGGAACCAGATGTTTTTCAGGAAAATTATTAAATCCTTTAAGTTTTTTTTTAAAAAGCATCCCAGGTTAAAAAGTATCATTTTGTATTCAATACTAGCTCCGGTTCATTTGAAGTATCAGGCCGACCTTTAGGCAGCCAGAAAAAGTTGTTGCATACAGACAGACATCAATACGGGACATTACGTCAATCTTAACCTTCTGGTGAGGTTAACATTAGTTATAAACCATTCAATTTGAGCTTTGGTCAAACTATTGCTTCAAGCTTAGAAGTTCTTTGAAACTTGTTGAATTTCCGAGCCGGGTCAACCTTTCCGGTCCTAGTTTTGTACTGTACCTAGCTCTATGGACAGGAGTAGCCGGTGCAACAAGGTTGACGCGGTCAGACTTTATGCTTCATAAAGGTTGAATTTACTTTTACTAAAGAGGCAGAGGTGCTGACCGTTGTGAAATTTATGGTTATTTGAAATTATGTCTACAGTACCTTTGATAAAAGTAAATTGCGCAAACCTGAACAATAATTTGCTTACAATATTAAAACATATTTATTTTGATTTTTTTGATTTAATATTTCATTTAAAAGGAAGTGCTAGGTTATATTTACTGTGGCCGCCTTGTTTCAACAGATATAGATATACTGAAGGTAAAAAAAATATAATTTTATAATAATAGTAAATTATAACAAAATTCACATTTTATGTAAAAACATAATTGTCAAAAATAACATTGAAAAGTTAATCACCCCTTTCTTAAATTGCAGTCGTCTTTGATTAAGTGTACTCTACACACTCTATGTATTCTATGTTCTCTATGTTTTCTATTTTTTTCTATTTTTTTATCGATTTTGATGGTTATTATATCGTTAGAACTAACAAGGGTTAACCCAGATCGAAATATATTTTCAATAAATGTGGAACTAACATCTACTTTTTTACTCTACAGAGGTTTGGTCCATCACCATCACCGAATTTTAAATTCTATGTACTCTATGTGATCTATGTAATGTACTCTATGTACTATATGTACTTTATTACTCTATGTACTCTATGTACAGGGTGTGTATCTGGCCGCTAACATGCTGCAGATGTCAGATCTGGAACATTTAACAATTAATAAACTTGGGAAAAATTGTACACTCTCAAACTGCCTTGGTAATTATCATTATTATTATTATTATTGTTATTATTATTATTTTCATATTATCTTTTTATTTATGTTCAGCACTTTATCTACAACTACAAAAGAAGATTTGTGAAACAAAGTTTCTATATATTTTTGCAGTTACTCATGTTCATAGATAAAGAAAATGTTTGCAGATTTATCAAGTATAACCAATGTATAACAGAGATTATACGGATAAATACAATGTAGTTTTGTTTGTATTCTGGAAAAAAATTAAAAATAGAAAAGTTTGGAAACCTTGAAATTACAATAAATTTTACATATCATAGATCAAACATTTCTATTCAAACCTCACTCCTCTCTCCTCTAATCGAAAATGTTTTTAAAATTACATCAAATTAAAAGAATGAGGTTTAATTAGATAAATTCTAAGTTATTTTTAGATCTTTACTTTTTTGTGGAATCTTTTTGCGACTTGGATCTTCATGCAAATATATTTAAAAAGGTAAAAATATTGAGTAAAAAAATATCGAAAACTAAATATTCGAATAAAGTTTATAAAAAATAAAACTATTTATTAATAATTTAACAATTATTTTATCAAAAGAAACGATTATGAATAAATATAAACTTAACCTTTTAATTGTAAGAATTGAGTCTTTGTCACAAATTCTAATTTTCTAATTCCTATAACTTTGTAACCAAATGTCGAAGACATTTGATATCACAAACTATGAATCCTATTGGATCAAATAATCTAAGTTTGAAATATCAAAGGTTTAAACCATTAGATTGCAAAGATATAGGAATTAGAAAATTTGAGTTTGTGACAAAGACGCGATTCAGCTTTGAAAGCTGGGATTTTTTAAATGAACGGCATCAGTTAAACCCAATCTTTCAAAAGTTTCCAGCTTGTGTTGATTAAGGTGAAGAGGATTCTGTATGAGCTGTTATCTGAGCACTGGGGGGAGATGATCAGTCAATCAAACAGTGCTACTGTCAGTGATAGGTGGGTCAGAGAGCCTTCACTTTCAAACCCAATCCTTCACATTTTACACTTTTTGGTTAGGCAATAAGTTTAGGACCCATGATTAAATTTGATTTCTGGAATTGCAATATTATTTATTGTAATGTAATCAATGGCAAATATGATGATTGACTACTGCATGTTTCTTTTTGATCATATGTGCCATTGCCACTTATTTTTTTCCTTCATTTTTGATGGAATTTATCACACCTAATATTTCCCGTTGTAGGGTGATTAACAACAGGGCGAAAAAGTCACTTTTTCACCGTGCTATTAAAATTTAAAAATTCATACATAATTTGTCTCATTTTGGATGATAAAGTTACTTAATCACCCTACAACAGGGTGATTAAGTAGCTTTATCGACCTGCTTTTAAATAATTTGAGTAAAGCTGAATAAAATTATATATGTTATTGAAATGGGTATCATGCGTGCGAAAAAGTTTTTGCTGTGATTTTTTATTTTTCTAGTTTGTTTTCGATCAGAATAAAAAATCCCGACAAAAACTTTTTCGCACTTAATAATACCCATTACAATGACATTAATAGATATTTCTCCATTTTTTAATCTATTGTTTCTGAACAGGAAGCGCGGCATTTTTTTTAAACAATTTGCGCAACCTTCTTATAACGGTTGAATCAGGGTCACATAATTCATATCTTTCCACCAAGATTTATTATCTTAAACTTTATATTTGTTCCAAGATGGAATACTCCCATCTCCATCTCAGCTCAACAACAGACCAACTTCAGGTTTAAATATATTTTTTTTTTATTATTTTCCAAAAACTAATGTTTAGCATCTTAAAACGTACTTTTCTTCTAAAATATGATTGTTTTTTTTTACATCAAATATCAAATATTTAAATATTTGGAAAAAATATGAATGTTGTTTTTAGGCAGTGGTAAATTTGTAAACCTCCCTGCAAATCTGTAAAGAAAAAATCATTGTTTATAAATTATAAAATAATTTGAAGATAATTGAATAATATTTCAAAAGTATGCACTGTAAAAAAAAACAGAAACAATAAAAATAAAAAATCATTTGTAAAAGCTTTTACACGTCTTTAAAGTCTGAGTAAGAGTACGTTTCTTCAAAACGTCCTAATTCACCCTTAAAACGTTCAATGAAACGTCCTTACTGACTGTTCAGCATATGTTGATAAAGTGAAAATTGCACTTAAAACAAGTTGTCTCACTTAAAGTTTGTGTCTCACTTAACACATGTTGTCTCACTTAAAACGTGTTGTCTCACTTAAAGTTTGTTGTCTCACTTAAAACATGTTGTATTACTTAAAGTTTGTTGTCTTACTTAAAACATGTTGTATTACTTAAAGTTTGTGTCTCACTTAAAACGTGTTGTCTCACTTAAAGTTTGTGTCTCACTTAAAACATATTGTCTCACTTAAAAAATGTTGTTTCACTTACCACATGTTTTCTCACTTAAAGTTTGTTGTCTCACTTACAACATGTTGTATTACTTAAAGTTTGTGTCTCACTTAAAACATGTTGTCTCACTTAAAGTTTGTTGTCTCACTTAAAACATGTTGTCTCACTTAAAGTTTTATGTCTCACTTAAAACATGTTTTCTCACTTAAAACATGTTGTCTCACTTAAAACATGTTGTCTCACTTAAAGTTTTATGTCTCACTTAAAACATGTTTTCTCACTTAAAACATGTTGTCTTACTTAAAACTTGTTGTCTCACTTAAACCATGTTGTCTCACTTAAAACATGTTGTCTCACTTAAACCATGGTGTCTCACTTAAAACATGTTGTCTCACTTAAAACACGTTGTCTCACTTAAAACATGTTTTCTCACTTAAACCATGTTTTCTCACTTACTTAAACCATGTTTTCTTACAATTAGCTGACTCACTTAGTAAAAGGTTAAGAACATGTTGATATCTTGGAACATGTGACTCACTAAAATCATAAACGTTCTGACTGGTTCATAATGTTCTGGAAACGTACCGATCACTAAGACAATACCATCTTGTTTTCAATAGGTATGGAGAAGTTACAGCAGGATTTCCTAGACCTAGATGTTCCATCCTTATGCGAGATATTTCGTCTGAAAAATGAACAAGAAGAACTCGCAGACTTTAGCTTTAGCTTTGGACAATCAGATCTTTGTGAAGGTAGGTGTACTGTACAATTTACACAAAGCAACGCATGCCCAAATATAATTTTTTTCAACTGTTAAAGGGACAGACCGGCTATGTAAGGTAGTTTAACTGAGTGTGCAGTGTTGTGGACAAATTCTTTAGGATTTATTTAAGACATATAACACTTTTTAAAGATCTGTAAACCCTGAGGGTGAACGCAAAGTCGACGTTTAAAATCGTACTTTTGGGTGGATACGTTTTCAGAATGGTTTTTTTTAATTATTAAATAACGACGACAAAAATGTAAACAAAATTCTACAGTAAACTAATTAGTTGTTCAAGGAACAGGTAGAGAAAATAAAAATTAACTCTTTTCATCAAAAATAAGTAATCTTATTCAATTATTAGTTTCTGTAATCTTTCTTTAATCACAAAGATTTTCTGCACATTTTCTGAACTTTTTCTTAAAAGGACGACATTTGGTGGATTTGAAGATATCTGCTAACAAATTCATAGAAAATAAGAAATTCATTTTTCAATATAATGATAAAAAAGGAAATAATTAATTCTAACTTCAATTTATGGACAAATTTCTTTTGAGAAATATGTTCCTAAATATCTAATTAGTTTACTATATAGAACTTTTACTATATATATCGTTGTCGTTATTTAAAAGTTTTAAAAAAAAAAACCGATTCTGAAAACGTTCCCACCCAAATTCATGATTTTGAACGTCGACTTTACGCTCAAACTCAGTAATTTTACATCGTAAAATTGTTTTATATGTCTCAAATGAATCCTAAAGAATATGTCCACAACACTGCATACTCAGTTTAACTGCCTCACATAGCCGGTCACTCCCTTTAAACAAAATTATGAAACTTTTGAAATTGCAATTTGTAACCCTGAAACCAGGGTCACAATGATAGATTGCAACCTTGGGGATGCAATCTAATTAATTGCGAATTTTTCTACCAAGAAGTTGCGGTTTTACAACTCCGAAAACATGAAAAAGATTAATTTCTGAACTCAAACATATGTGTTACAAAACTGAATAGATTTTACAGCTTTTAAAACCAGAAAAAGGATTTTTTCAAATGTTATATTTGTTTAAAAGTTAAAAATTCTACATGAAATTTGTTTAAGAGTCGAAAGAATTACGCATATATAGTTATTATACTTAGAGATTCTTTGCAATATGAAACCGGTTTTTGAGCTAGCTGTCTAATGCTGCCAAATAACATTATATGAACGTTATTCTGAGGCACATCAACGATAACGTTAATAAAGGAACTAAGTTTTGCCACAAACTCAAATTTTCTAATCCCTTTATCTCGAATGGTGTAAACCTTTGATATTTCAAACTTAGATTATTTGATTTAACAGAATTCATAGTTTAAAATTTCAAAGGTCTACGACTTTGGGTTGCAAAGAAATCGTGTTAGAAAATATAGTTTGTGGCAAAAACTCAGTTCCTTTGTAAGTAATTAGTAAAATTAGAATTCTTTCAGAAGTAATTTGTGCCTTTGGCAAATCGACTTGTTACCCAATTTCTAGAACATTCCCTTTTTATGGTCTTTTTCCAGGTCTAATAAGCTGGGTATCTAGGGATAGAGAATCCAGACAAATTCATATTCACACACTCAGGCAGTACGTTTGTCTCCATCAGGTTGGTAATTCATATTCACACACTCAGGCAGTATGTTTGTCTCCATCAGGTTGGTAATTCATATTCACACCCTTAGACAGTACGTTTGTCTCCATCAGGATGGTAATTAATATTCACACACTCAGGCAGTATGTTTGTCTCCATCAGGTTGGTAATTCATATTCACACCCTTAGACAGTACGTTTGTCTTCATCAGGATGGTAATTCATATTCACACACTCAGGCAGTACGCTTGCCTCCATCAGGTTGGTAATTCATATTCACACCCTTAGACAGTACGTTTGCCTCTATCAGGTTGGTAATTCATATTCACACCCTTAGACAGTACATTTGTCTCCATCAGGATGGTAATTCATATTCACACTCTCAGACAGTACGTTTGTCTCCATCAGGTTGGTAATTCATATTCACACCCTTTGACAGTAAGTTTGTCTCCATCAGGTTGATAATTCATATTCACACTCTCAGACAGTACGTTTTTCTCCATCAGGTTGGTAATTCATATTCACACCCTTAGACAGTAAGTTTGTCTCCATCAGGTTGATAATTCATATTCACACTCTCAGACAGTACGTTTGTCTCCATCAGGTTGGTAATTCATATTCATTCTCTCAGACAGTACGTTTGTCTCCATCAGGTTGGTAATTCATATTCATTCTCTTAGACAGTACGTTTGTCTCCATCAGGTTGGTAATTCATATTCACACCCTGAGACAATACGTTTGTCTCTGTCAGGTTGGTATAATTCATATTCACACACTCAGACAGTACGTTTGTTTCCATCAGGTTGGTAAATTAATTATACTTTTTATGAAACATTATTGTTTTTCAATTCAAAAGACATTTTTTTAATTATTACTCTTTCATTACAAAATTTTCTTTTAAAAATTACTTTAAAAGCAAAAAATGAAAGTACTTAATATTTATAGCGTGTAGGCATGTCTCATTCAGAACAGTACCATGTATAAGCTTTACTTTGTCAGAATGAATTAAATATTACAAGGTATCTTTTTAAAAATTAATTTGGTTAATTATGATTTCCCTATAGTAAAAGCTTTTTTTGATCTTTTACTGCAGAAACAATGGAAGGAATTGTCAGAATGAAACACAGATGAATATTTTATAGGTTTCGTTCTGCAGTTCAGACATGGCCCTTTTTCTATAGATGGTTACTCCTAATATACTTTCAGCCCCTTTATGGGTTTTTATTAAAAACCGTCTTAATTACGATAATTTCTTGGAATTCTGGTTTCAAACTATGTGTAACTAGAGCTTTAATCTGAACAGAGGAAACTTTATTACCCAAGAGAAAACATATTGACAATTTTCAATATCATAAACCTAAAAAAGAACAAGAGTGGATGATAAAATGGCTGAATTTGACTCACATCATGCCAACTTTTAAACTGAAAATTTAAGTTTCATGTAATTAACTAAGCCTGTCATGCATGAACCGAATTAAAATTCATAAGATTTGACTTCAGGTGAGTGGGAGTACTAAGAAGAAGTACTGCAAGTTGCTCCACGATATAACGAACCATGATCTGATCTATCAAGAGGAGGAGGGGGAGGGAAGGACAGGGGTTACTTATGGGCAGATAGAACAGGACTGCATAGGTAATAATGTTTTAAATTATTTTTGATTTTTTTATAATATCACTTTAAACCTTAGTTCACTTGAAGTACTACACCGACCGTTCGGCAGCTATAAAAAGTTGTACAGTAAACAAACAAAAGAAGGCAAAACAGGACGGTACGCCAAATGAATTTTCATGTTCTTGTAAGATTAATGTAATTTAATATATAATTAATTATAATATATATAATTAATTTCTTACCAAAAGTACTCCAAATTCTTTGAAAATTTGTAAGAACAAATAAAAAGGAACGTGATAAAAAAAAACAATTGTTTAATTTAGGAATCTGGTGTCCTAACCAACGTATTGAATTTAGAAATCTGGTGTTCTAACCAACATATTGATTTTGGGAATCCGGTGTCCTATCCAACATATAGAATTAAGGAATCTGGTGTCCTAACCAACATATTGAATTGAGGAATTTGGTGTTCTAAACAAAAAATTGAATTTTTAGGATTCTGGTGTCCTAACCAACATATAGAATTAAGGAATCTGGTGTCATAATCAACATATAGAATTAAGGAATCTGGTGTCCTAACCAACATATTTAATTAAGGAATCTGGTGTTCTAAACAAGATATTGAATTTAGGATTCTGGTGTCCTAACTAACATCTTGAATTTAGGAATCTGGTGTCCTAACCAACATATTGAATAAAGGAATCTGGTTTCCTAACCAACATATTGAATTTAGGAATCTGGTGTCCTAACTAACATATTGAATTTCGGAATCTGGTGTCTTAACCAACATATTGAATTTAGGAATCTGGTGCCCTAACCAACATATAGAATTAAAGAATCTGGTGTCCTAACCAACATATTGAATTTAGGAATCTGGTGTCCTAACTAACATATTGAATTTAGGAATTCGGTGCTCTAACCAACATATTGAATAAAGGAATCTGGTGTCCTAACCAACATATTGAGTTTAGGAATCTGGTGTCCTAACCAACATATTGAATTTAGGAATCTGGTTTCCTAACCAACATATTGAATTTATGAATCTGGTGTCCTAACCAACATATAGATTTAAAGAATCTGGTGTCCTAACCAACATATAGAATTAAGGATTCTGGTGTCCTTACCAACATATAGAATTAAGGAATCTGGTGTCCTAACCAACATATTGAATTAAGGAATTTGGTTTCCTAACCAACATATTGAATTTAGGAATCTGGTGTCCTAACCAACATATAGATTTAAAGAATCTGGTGTACTAACCAACATATTGATTTTGGGAATCTGGTGTCCTAACCAACATATTGAATTAAGGAATCTAGTGCCCTATCCAAAATATTGAATTTAGGAATCTGGTGTCCTAACCGGCGTATTCCTGGCCTCCTCCTAATCCATGCCTGGAACCCGAACGACATGAACACTTTGACATCGGACCATGTCAAGTGCCACTTTGTACGCCCGAGCATAGACAGGTACCGGGAGCGGGGGAAGGCAGGCGGCCATGAGCCACCACTTATTCCCCTTCCGTACCACATTAGACTTTGTGATATTTCAAGATGCAATACTCAGTCAAATTTGTCAAAAATTCATTGTAAAACAGTTTAAGAATTCAACACACAAAAAATTATCTTAACTAGAATTGAAAAAAATGGGTTGAGTTGTGCTTTTTTGCGTGACGAGGCTGGATTTTTAAAAATCACACTTTAAAGGCCCTAAATATACCATTTAAAAGAGTAATTTTGCCCGGAAGAGTCAAATGTGGTGGTACGGAAGGGGAAATAGTGGTGGCTCATAGCCGCCCGCCTTCCCCGCTCGTACCGGACTTTACTTACTAATTAGGTATTTAATTAAGCACTTAATTTAGCACTTATCAAGCTAAAGAAATGACGATATCTTCCACAATCTTGATCAGATAAAGGTTTAAAGGGTACAATTGTGAATCAGCAATGCTTCTATAAAAATTTACATATCCTATTTATATCCTATTTTAAAGAGATGGAAGGGATGAAGTGCTTCGCCCAGATGTTCTCTACAGTGTACGCGAGGTTGGAGAACTTAGGAAAACAAACAAATATTTCACGCGGCATTAAGAAAACATTTCGCGCATTTTCAATCACAGATGTTTTCTTTCAAATATACCTGACTCTATGTCTGTATCCTACAAACATTAATCTGAAAAAAAAAACAATTAGATGAATTCAATCAATTTCAAATCTGTCTCGGCTGCATAAATCTGTCACATTTATAGAAAATTTAATTGATCATTTTTCGTTTTTAATAGAAAAATTAGGATATCTCCTTCTTTTCCGGCATGCTAACTGTTGGAAATTGGGCCTATAACTCTTTAAATAGAATTTTTAGGTTTCTTTTTTTTAACTGGTTTTCACATAATAGAAGTTTTGCTTAGATTATTTCAAAACTCTCGACTGTATTTCTAAAAAATGACTTTTCATTTCTTAATCAACTTTATTAAAGATAATTAAACTTTAAAAAGCAGCATTTTAAGAATAAATAAATGCAACAATATCTTTTTTCTGAAATTGTCGGATGGTGTCGGGTCAGAACTTTGCTTAATTTATTCTCTGCAATATTTTTGTTATTTTTGTTTTTTGATTTTGAATATTTTTTAACGAACCTAAATTATTTTGTTTGGTTAGTGAGGGTGAAACCCACTGGTTAACCAGCAATAACCCTTCTCCTCTACCTAACGGCTCAACTATGATGCTAACTATTGATTGTGGGATTATATGCGGACAGGTTCATTAGTTTCTACTTCAATTAGACTTTTCTTTATTTATTTTTTCAGTTTTTGCTTTTATAATTTCTGTAATACTATTTTAGGGATAACTTAATCTTTTTATCTCTTATCTTTTAATATTTTTTTTTACAATTTCAAGATTTCTTTTGTGAGTTATCACGTTCTGAACTCCTGCATTATATTCCTATTTTATTCTGAACCCCTGCATTATATTCCAATTTTATTCTGAACCCCTGCATTATATTCCAATTTTATTCTGAACCCCTGCATTATATTCCTATTTTATTCTGAACCCCTGCATTATATTCCTATTTTATTCTGAACCCATGCATTATATTCCTATTTTATTCTGAACCCCTACATCATATTCCTATTTTATTTTGAACCTCTGCATTAAATTCCTATTTTATTCTGAACCACTGCATTATATTCCTATTTTATTCTGAACCCCTGCATTTTATTCCTATTTTATCTGCATTATATTCCTATTTTATTCTGAACCCCTGCATTATATTCCTATTTTATTCTGAACCACTGCATTATATTCCTATTTTATTCTGAACTCCTGCATTATATTCCTATTTTATTCTGAACCCCTGCATTTTATTCCTATTTTATTCTGAACCACTGCATTATATTCCTATTTTATTCTGAACCCCTGCATTTTATTCCTATTTTATTCTGAACCACTGCATTATATTCCTATTTTATTTTGAACCCCTGCATTATATTCCTATTTTAGTCTGAACCACTGCATTATATTCCTATTTTATTCTGAACCCTATGTCAAATATAAGGTAGATTCCCTCACTTCTGTATGTCAAATATAAGATAGATTCCCTCACTGCTGTATGTCAAGTATAAGCTACATTACCTTACTTATAAATGTCTAATATAAGGTAGATTCCCACACTTCTTTATGTCAAATATAAGGTAGATTACCTTACTAATAAATGTCTAATACAAGGTAGATTCCCTCACTTCTGGTGGGTTTAAATATAAGGTAGATTCCCACACTTCTGTATCTCAAACATAAGGAAGATAGTACCTCACTTCTTTATGTCATATATATGGTAGATGCCTTCACTTCTGTATGTCAAATATAAGGTAGATTCCCTCACTTCTGTATGTCAAGTATAAGCTACATTACCTTACTTATAAATGTCTAATATATGGTAGATTCCCACACTTCTGTATGTCAAATATAAGCTAGATTACCTTACTAATAAATTTCTAATATAAAGTAGATTTCCTCACTTCTGTATGTCAAATATAAGGTAGATTCCCTCACTTCTGTATGTTAAATATGAGGTAGATTCCCTCACTCCTGAATCTCAAATATAAGGATGATAACCTCACTTCTTTATGTCATATATAAGGTAGATACCCTCACTTCTGTATGTCATATATAAGGTAGATTCCCTTGCTTCTGTGGGTTAAATATGAGGTAGATACCCTCACTTCTGTATGTCAAATCTAAGGTAGATTCCCTCACTTCTGTGGATTAAATATTAGGTGGTAAGTTAATACCCTCACTTCTGTGGGTTAAATATATGTCAAATATAAGGCAGATTCCCTCACTTCTGTATGTAAAATATAAGGTAGATTCCCTCACATCTGTGGGTCATGTATAAAGTAGATTCCCCTATTTTAAAATGATAAAAGATCCCTAGGAAGGAACCCAACTTTGAGTCCTTTAAAGGAATTGATTTTTCACCACAAACTCTGATTTCTAATTCCTATAACTTTGCAATCAGTTTTTCTAGACCTTTGATATTTCAAACCATCAAAATATTAGATCAAATAGTCTAAGTTTGAAATATCAAAGGTTTACGCCATCAAGTTGCAAAGATATAGGAGATAAAAATGCGAGTTTTATGGCAAAAACTCAATTCCTTTGTTTAGAATCAGAGTCTTTAATTTGTTTAGAATCAGAATCTTTATTTTGTTTAAAATTAAAATCTTTAAATTTTTAGAATCGAAATTTTTAATTTGCTTGGAATCAAAATCTTTTTTTTTAATTTGTTCAGAATCAAAATCTTTGTTTTGTTTAGAACTAAAAACTCAAAATCTTTATTTATTTTGTTTAGAATCAAATTTTTTATTTTGTTCAGAATAAAAATCTTCGATTAGATTCATTCTTAAAAAACTTAAATTCAGAGATGAGATTTTAAAAACTTAAACCCGACTAAAACCCAAACTCGGACTTAGGAAGAACCCAAGTTAGGATTGTTTCTGATTCGACCAATGAGAGACTGTTTAGCAAGCTTTCTCTCTGTAGCAGACATAATGCCGTCCGACCAGCTGTAACAAGGAGATATAAATTTCGAAAGTTCAAACTTTATGTAGATAAATTATTTTTATACTATGTTTATTTTATATAAATAATAAAAATTTGACACCACAAATAATTCCCGAGATTTTAAATGTACAAATATAAAAGATTTTACTAAATTTACGATCATCAGCTCCTGAAGACTCGAGCCTTAAAGAGAGAAAATCCCAAGATGGTTGGTTCTTACTAAACTTAAGGCCATCCAAAACCCGGGTCTTGACTTGAGCTATACTTGGGTCTAAACCAGGGAGTAAGGAATAGAAGGGAGAGACAACTGACACGGTTCGCCCTACCATATGATTATACATGCTTTGCAGACGGTACTCCATTTTATATCGAGCTGTTTGGTTTCTTTAGTAGGGCCCCACAGGAAAAATATGTATTGGCTCAATTTTCTTTGACCATTTTCGCCAATACATATTTTTCCTGTGGGTCCCTACTAAAGAAACCAAACAGCTCGATATAAAATGGAGTACCGTCTGCAAAGCATGTATAATCATATGGTAGGGCGAACCGCGTCAGTTATATCTCCCTTCTATTCCTTACTCCCTGGTCTAAACAGACGTAAAGACCAGGTCTTAGTCGGGTTTAAGCTTTTAAAATCTCATCTCAGTTATTAATTCTAAATTTTGTGAAGTGAGGAGACTGTGGACCTACGATCAGCTTGTATCTGCGCATCAGAGGTAGATTATAACTAGTTTTGCAATCCGTCACCTTATTGGTATAATACCAATTTAGTACACTATCCCTTTAAACTTTTTAACATTTTTGAATAAAGGTTTTCTTAAAATGTTGTGGTTCTTGGAAGCCTCCAATGAATATTTACTAAATTATTAAGGAAACAAAAATTATAAACTTTTTGTTAAAATCCTAAAATGTCCTCTCAAACATTTCAAGAAAAGAATTCCACAGGGATCTTTCAACTCTGTGTTTGATGGACAAAGGGTTGAAATACAATTAAACTTGAAAAGAGACTGGATTCCAAGGTACTAATGCAAGGAAAGTTATTTCAGAGGTGTAGGCATTTTTTGTACTCCAGTGTACTGTCTTTGGGCGGAAAAGTAAACACAAGACGGATGTCACAGCCTGACATGGAATCTATTTTCACAAAAATTAGCTAATAAAATTCTGGTCAAAGGAAACTATTATGTGAATTTTGAAAATTATCAAAATTAAATGCTTTTAACCTCCTCGGATACTAAACGAATACTGATGCATCTATTCTTGTTTACAAATTCCGCCCAGAGAGAACTGGTTTCAATATGTACGCAGAGTATAGGCGACCGCAATTAACTTTCCTTACATTAGTACCTTGCGTGATTCCAAGTATCATCTTCTCTGTAGTATTGAATAGTAAATAAGACAATGAAAAAGTACTTTTGTTTAACTAATAGAATTCTCGAAAAGCACGAAAAATGTGACAATCGCAAAATCACAATCGTAACTTTATGAGTTCAAACTTTTTAAATTAAAAATAGTTCTTTCTAACTTTTAAGATGTGCATCAAACTTGGAAAAATGTTTCCTGATTTGTAAACTATGCTGCCTTTGTTTCCTTTTAAAAATATTCTTTTCCTTAAAATAATTTCCAAGAAAGCGAAAGCAAAAGATGAACAAGAAAGAGATTTTTATTTAAAGGGAGTGTTCGCGAAAACTGAAAGGGGGTATCGGCTTACGGCTAAAAATAATCGCTTTTGATCGCTACTAATCTTACTTCTATTTGTTGATTCTATAAGGAGAACATTGTTAAAAACAACTCATACCGAAGAACGTAGCGTCCATACAAATTCAGAAATATGCAACATTCAACTCGGATCTAAAAAAAATCAATTTAATTCCAAACAAATCAATCAGATATTGCAAACAATAGTCATCGATTATTTTTCGACAAATTCCTGTATAGTTGATATTTCATAATATTTTTTATTTTTTATGATCTGAGAGTTACTTTTGAAAGCATTTATTACTGTTTCGATTATTTTTAACAATGAAGACGACATTTCATATTTTCCAGAAATGTTCGAAAATCAAGCGCCAGCGAAATATTATTTAAAAAAAAAACAAAATCAAAAATGTTATGAAATATTAACTATATACGAATGCGTCGAAAAATAATCGATGACTATTGTTTGTAATATCTGAATGATTTGTTTGGAATTAAATTGATTTTTTACTTTCTGAATTTGTATGGACGCTACGTTCTTCGGTATGAGTCGTTTTTAACAATTTTCTTCTTATAGACGCAACCGATAGAAGTAAGATTAGTAGTGATAAGAAAAACGCTTATTTTTCGCCGTAAACCTGAAACCCCTTTCATTTTTCGCGAACACTCACTTCAAATATAATTTTAAATATTGCTATATCCCAGATATCCAAAAATTGAAAAAATGGAACTGACATATGGTTGCAAGATGCACTATAAGTCCTTTACTTAAATTAACACAATACTTTAATTTGTTTAGGCAGGATATATCTATATAATTGGACGGGAACTATTGAATAATAGAACAGCACAGGATGAGGTTGGCAATCAAATTCGACAAGGAACTGCAATTCATTCATTAATTGACTAATCCATAATTCAATCCATTCATCGTTTCATTCTATATGTCAACTATTTCTTAAATTAGTAAAAATTCCCGAATTAATTGTGTAACATATCACTGTAAACTCAAGTACGCAGCCGCCTTTGCACCAGATAGAGAAAACAGTACAGTACACATACAGACTTTATAAGGCAAACTAGGACAGGACACCCAACACGCACTACCAGTGTACATTTAAATATCCGAGCTGGGCCAACCTTTGCAGTTTGGACTGTACCGCTAATTTATACTTACTAAAGCGGGAGACCTGTGTGCAAATGAATCAGCCCCTTCTGTGGAGATCCTAGGATCCATGTGGGATCAAAAACCCTCTCAGCTTTTATACATCCCATTATTCTATCCACCCATCCTTCAATCCTAGGTGAATTGAAAATTAAAACAACTGAATTAATTCTAATCAAGACAACTTTCTCAAATTAAATACTTGAACACAATATAACAATAGAAAATATTTATTGAATCGATCTACACATCTGGTCCAAATGTCGTTCATAGCATTGTGCGGAAATAACATTATTTGTCAAGGAAAAAAATTACTTTTTTGTCAAAAAGGAAGTTAAGGATATAGAGAGAGGAAGTTATATATGTAACATATATTCATCGCTGAGCAATCTCTATCATAATTCGACGTTGATTATGGATTATTGTCCAAACTTATTATATACAGTGGCAGTGGATATAAAGATTTCAAGTTTCCTCTAAAATCAAGTTCAGAGAAAAAATTCTCTTTTCTTTGAAAGGTTTTTTCTGTATTCTTTTTTAAATGTACCCTTTCTTCTCTAGTATGGATTAAGACTTTGTATTTGTTAAAATTTTAAAGATTCAAAACTTTGTAAAAAATAAATTTAGCAGTGGCACAAAACTGACATTTCATTTCACGTTATGGTTCTAAACTGTCTCCTACCCCCCACCCCCCGAGGGAGGGAACCTACGGACGCCATGAGCCTCCTCTATGCAGACAACATGAGCCTCCCATATTTGCTAGGCAGACCGTGCCTCCACCATATAGAACAGTTTTTTTAAATCTTGGTTTTTTGTGTAATGGAAAATGTTAACAATTCTTTTTTGACATAGTGGCATGAGAGGTTTCTCAAAGATGAGAAGTATTTATAAATAATCATAAATAGTTTCTAAGTATGACTTATAAAATGGTATATAAAACTTTAATCATTCTTTACATGAAAAGAAAAACATTTAGAGAAAAAAAATTTGAATTAAATTTCATTTCATAATTTTTAATCTTTGATTTAAGAAATACCTTTTTTGTAGTTCAAATTCAAACCAGAAAATATGAATAATTTATTTAATTCTTTAACATTTTTCAAAAAAACGTATTGTTTAAATCAAAGATTACAACAAAACAAAATAAATTTACTCCAGAAATATTTCTCAAAATATCTTCCTTTTTGCGTCAGAAATGTTTAAAGTTTTAGAATAAATATTATAAACCACTTTATGAGTCTATATATTTTTTTAATCATGAATATCAATAAACAACTCTAATCTTTAGTAAAATTCTTATGCCACTACGTCAACAAAAATTGTTAAAATTTTTATTACACATTAAAACCAAAATTTAAAAAAAGCTGTTCTGTATGGTTGAGGCTCGTTAACTGCATAGCGGAGGTACAGTCTTCAAAGCGGAGACTTGGACTGCATAGTGGAGGCTCGGTCTGCCTAGCAAATCTGGGAGGCTCATGTCTACATAGCAGAGGCTCATGGCGTCCAGGGGTTCCCTCCCCCCCCCACCTCTCCCCACTTCAATTTGTGAAACTGTTGAAACTATAATTACAAGATGATAATAAACTTGATATAATTGTTAGTTGCAACATTAACTATATAGAAGTACCAACAGTCAGATATTAAAACACTCCCACTCCTCCCACCCCATACCGACTTTATATTGTCATATTCTAATTCTTTTCCTAAAATATTGCTGCTTGGGAGTGGAGAAGGGGGGGGGGAAGCGAATGCTTTAAAATGACTTTGGTTGTAACTTTAAGTGATCCTTCTTTAGAAAGAAAGGCATGTCTGCTAAACAAATTAATCCTCAACAGCTTTGTGCAAAATGATCAAAAATTTCAACTTTTAACTTGAATTTAAAACTTGAATTTAATATTTTTAATTGCGGTTTCTCTACAAAGTAACTTATAAATTTAAACAGTTTTTAAGTAAGAAAAACAACAATATCTTCTACATTCCTAACCTGACAAAGGTTAAAAGGTTATCGACATGCTCTTCTTTAAAGGGAGTGTTCGTGAGAACTGAAAGGGGGTATAGGCTTACTACGAAAAATAATCGCTTTTGATCGCTACTAATCTTACTTCTATCTGTTGTGTCTATAAGGAGAACATTGTCAAAAACGACTAATACTGTAGAACGTAGAGTCCATACAAATTCAGTAAGTTGCAACATACGACTCGGATCGTAAAAAAATCAATTTAGTTTCAAACAAATCATTTAGATATTACAACCTAAAGTCATCGATTATTTTTCGACGCATTCGTATATATTTTATATTTCATAATTTTTTATTTGTTTTTTATACAATGGACTATTAAAATGACTTTTTTCCGCTAGGTGTCTCTTCCACGTGTAACCATTCAAAGCATTGAGAGCAGAGACATCTGGCGGGTAACTATTTTTGTGTTTGCATTGGATACAAAACGAATAAAAAATTTGTCCTGTGGTCCTCCTATACCCTACATCCTATACAGGGTGATTCAATAAACATTTAAAATTCTGAGACGACTCAGAAATAGTCCTTAATTTGAGAGCTGAACGATAAAGAGAGTGTATAAAAAGGTTTTAATATTTATTTAATGTTAATTGAGACACCCTGTATAAAACTATAGAACATAACTTATTATTTATCACAACATTTCTCCGGCAGAAACTGTTTCCAGTGTTTTCTGCATGCTCATGATTTATAAATCAAACCAAGAAGAAATTCAAAACAATGAAAACATTTACTTCATGTAATACAAAAATAAGATTTTTCTCATACTCTGGAACTTTCTTTTTCGGGTAGAGATCCTGACAGCTATGTAAATTATACGCTGATTTTTAAAGCCTTGGTAGATTTTTACGTGTCGCAACGCCTATGCCTTTTTGGCCACAGTGATCCATAGTTTGCAAGCTTTCACGCAATAATTAATGAGAATGTTTTGCAATTACTCCATAAAAACTAAAACAAGTGCTTCACGGGCAGCCGTAGTACACTTGAATTTCCAAGCCGGTTCGACCTTTCCTGTTTGTATTGTATCGCCCCGACACTCAATAGGACTAGCCGGTGCAACAAGGTTGACGCGGTCAGACTTTAGGTTGAATTTACTTTTACTGAAGGGTCAGAGGTGCGTGGCTTTATATTATAACACATAAATGTCTAGGGCTACACAAATGTGTAAAAGTCGACTCAGTTCTGTAAATTGATGCAACTTTTCCAAACAGTCTGGATCTATTTGAGGTTTTACAGATTACCTCAGTTATAACATTTCGTAGCCCCAGACACGCAACATATTAAATCTATAATCCACTGTTCCTAGCTTTAGTAATATGGCTAATTCATGATTTACTTTTACTTGAGAGCTGATTCCTTTATTCCTTTCTCAAAGACACTTGAATGAATGAACTGGATAGGAACAACTTGTGAAACCTTCAAATTTCTTCCATCTCCTCAAACTGATCTGATCTACTGTGATTCCAACGCTGCTTGTCTTAAGGTAGGTTAGATCAACCCTATATACCGTCTTATTAATCTCAATTAGGAATTGAGTCTTTGCTACACACTCGGATTGTCTAATCCCATAATTTGAGCAACCCTATGGTGTAGACCTTAGATATTTCAAACTATGAATTCTGTTTTATTAAATAAACTAAGTTTGAAATGTCAAATGTTTACACCATCAGGTTGCAAAGATATAGGCATTAGAAAATTTGATTTTGTGGCAAAGACTCAGTTCCTTTCCCTTAAAGGTGAGGTGTACTCTTCATTTTAATTCTATAGATTTAAACATTATTGGTAATTTAGTAATCAATTCAGATATTTTAATATTTTAAAACTGTCTGCCCTTAAGTTTTTCTGTTGTTGGCCCAAAAAAAATCTGTTTAAAAAAAAGTTGCCAAAAAATGCTTAACTTACTGGAAATGCATAATGTTTACCTATGTTTATAATTATTTATATTAAAGAGACTCTGGTTTTATTACTTCGAGAGAGTAATTATGTCCTTCCTCTTAATGAATGAGTTAAAATCATGTCCCATTTGAGGCATTGATAGTTTCGTGCTTGTGTCTGCACAGACATTGATAGCTGATTGTGCCCTATGGTTGGGTATTGATCGATTGAGTGGTTGCTTCCGTAGAGAGACATTTATAGCTGATCCCGCCCATTGGTTTGGCGTTGATCGATTACATGCTTGTGTCCCTGGAGATACATTGATAGCTGATCACACCCATTGGTTTGATCGATTATGTGCTTGTGTCCGTGTAGACATTGATAGCTGATCGCACTCATTGGCTTGGCGTTGATCGATTACGTGTTCGTATAGAGACATTGATAGCTGATCACGCCCATTGGTTTGGTGTGATCAATTAATGTGCTTGTTCCCGTGTGGACAATGAGCTTGTGTCCGGGTTTAGTATTGGTAGCTAATTGTACCTGGATAGATACGGGTTCGAGAGCAGTTTATGGAGTAGAATATTTACTACATTCTTTCTGAAAATTGGATTATTTTTAATTGTAGTTCCACTATATAAAGTTACTTACGGATTTTGAGAATTACGTCTACAGTTCAGCTGAAATATATTGCTCATTTCTGGAATTTGCTGAACCAGATCCTCGGGATAAAGTTTACACAATAAAGCAAACACAGCTCAAGTACTCATCAAATATTATGTAAACACACTTACATTTATGTATATACATGTCTAACCTCAATTATAAAGAAGAAGAAAATATAGAAAAGAATAAAAGTATTAATAGAATAGTATTTATCACTGTCTAATTTAGTTTTGAAATAGGAAATTCGACAGTGGCGTATCCAATATTTAATCTAAATGGCTTGAGAAGGACAAAGTTGTAAACAAATGTAGGATTTTAGAAGAAACACTTTCTTGTATTTTTCAGATTTTAAAATGAGATTTATAGGAGGGTAATTAATTGGGGTGTAGGGCTCAGTAACATTTTGCTTAGTACAAGTTCGCCTAGTACACTTTCGCCTAGTACATGTTCGCCTAGTTCAAGTTCGCCTAGACAACATTTTGCCTAGACACAGTTTGCCTAGACAACATTTCGCCTAGATAACATTTTGCCTAGATAACATTATAGAGTAATTTTCGCCTAGATTAACATTCTTCAAATTATATTTAACCAGCTTTTAGAACAAAAAAATACGCAATTTTTACTGTACAAAGAACCTGTCAAATCTTTGTAAACATTATTATTATACATTTTTTTGTGCTTTTAATTGAATTTCTTGAGTAAAAAGAGGAACTTTAGAAATTTTTGAAAAAAATTAGTGAATAGGTAATAGGCGAAAATTACCTTCTAATATGTTATCTAGGCGAAATGTTGTCTAGGCAAACTGTGTTCAGGCAAAATGTTATCTAGGCAAAAAGTTAGTAGGCGAACATGTACTAGTCGAAAGTGTACTAGGCGAAAGTGTACTAGGCGAACTTGTACTAGGCAAAATGTTACTGAGCCGGGTGTAGGGTCCTGCCCCTGTGTACGCCTAGATTTTTACAGTTCATTGTTAAATTTTAAATATTTTTAGGGGAATTTATATCTTTTTGGTGGAACGTCTGTCATCGAAGGTCCTGACTTTGGTTACATTTGGTGCTCATTTGATCTTCAGGTACGTAGACAAATGTTTTTAAGTAAAATTCTCATGATTTAATGAATAGAAGAAGTTAAACAGGTTGAACCGACAGTAAGTGGTGGTTGAACTATTTCTCTCTATTTATTAACCCTAAACAGGCTGGGGGGGGGGGGGCGTGAAATTTTGTGGTTTTTTATGAATAGCAAGTTAAAGGAATTTTTGTTATAAAACAGACTGAGCGGTAAAAAGTCCGGTCTGTGTTTAAAAATAAAAGCTAAAATAGCGAATACTTTTTTTGTGACTTAAGCTACAGATCTAAAAATTGAAAATTGAAAAATGGATGTAGAAACATGTGTCACATATATCTGTTTAAAACAAAAAATATTTTTCACATTTTTTAATCCATTTTTTGGCATTTTTTTCAACCCTCCTTACTTTTAAAATTATCAGTCTAATTTTTTTTTTGCAATGAGCTGGCCTTGAAAAATTGGACTATTTTCTAAGGGGGTAATCCTATAAGACCAATTCTCAAGGCCTTTTTCTAGGGGGGGGGGTGAGGTCGTGGGGTCGCCCCCCCCCAGACTATACATAGATTCAGACCCCCCTGCCTTTCACTTTCACTTTCTTTGTAAATATTAAATATCAATGCAATGAAGACGACTTTTTATTAAGTTTTGATTACTATTTTACAAGTGAACAAGAGAAGCTGTTATTTGATAGCTTTACTTTGTTTCCATGATTATGTGTACCCACTATCCATACTGTTTAAAGGCTAGTTGAAATCTAAAGTCGTCTTCATTGTATTGATACATACGACGATGACTGTAGTAAACTAGTTTTACATCCTTTTAAATCACAATAAATGTTATAAAATTGTTATACAAAGGAGAATTTATTTTCAATTATTTTTTATTTTCAATATATTTTTCAGGAATTTCATACCCGATATTCTCAGAGCTATAAGGCCGGACATAGTATATGGAAAACAAAACTCACGTCCATAGGTAAACATGATCGTAAACATTACCATAAGGTCATACAACTCTTTATCCTACATTGTCCATAACATTATCATTTCTTGTAGTTTTCGTACATATTAAGTGTGTGCAAAAATAGCTAAAACAAAGTATTTTTAGACTGCATCGGAATATAATTACGTTACAAATCGCATAATTATTAACTTTTTAAAATAAGAATAAAATACGAAAATACGATAATTCGGATTCGAAGTACTGCACTGCAGCTAACAAAACAATAACATTGAAAAATATTTTTGCTAAATTTTAAAGTTAATTTTGCGAAATGACACAAAAAAAACTTTCTTTTGGGTTCGCTACTATTGGCCATTAAACTAATGTGCCGAAGGTTGTACTTTATAATTTTATGAAAATTTGTTCTGAAAACTATCTTTACAGAGTAGTAATTCTTAGAAGAGAAAATGATCCGATTACATTTAATCTCCCCCAACCAGATTGTAAAATGCATTGAATGTAAAATATGTTTTGTATGTTTATTTAGAATATTTTAGATTTCTTTAAAGTTTAATGTTGCAAATCTTTACATTTCAAAGGCTTTAAAAAAACTGGGTTCTAATCTTTATATCTTTACAAACCGATTTGGTAGACTTTTCATATTAATCTAAATTTTGTTAGATCAAATATCAAAGGTTTACACCATCATGTTGCAAAGATTTAAAGGTTTGGTTTGATTTTACAAGTTTAAAGGTTTGGTTTGGTTTTGCAAGTTTTAATGTTTGTTTTGGTTTTGATTGTTTAAAGGTTTGGTTTTTCAAGTTTAAAGGTTTGGTTTGGTGTTCAGGAGAAGAACCCCTGATATCCACAAATCTTCATATACATGACCTGAGCACTTCGGCATGGATGCTTTTCCCTGATGATACTCCATTTAGGTAATCAAAGAGACAAATCTTAAATGGAAAAACATGTTAAAGTAGAAAATTAAATTGAGAATAGATAGAAAACGGGTTGATATGGAATATAGATTAAATATACGGGTCCTAGAATTGAACCTTGGGGTGCGTCACAATATTTTTATCATTATCAAGATTCAACATCTCCAACATTTTCACGGCGGTTTCTTTAAACGAATTCTTTTTTTAAGATATATAATGACATTGCATTTTTTTGGTTCGTTAAATCCAAGATTTTTAAAACTTTATTTTTCATTTATTTTAAAGAAAATGTTATGCTTAATATATAAAGTTTATTTTTGTCACTTGCAAAATATTCACACTCTAAGATAAGATAAAAGACCAAAGCAAAAAATTAAGACAATTATAGCTTTTGTCAGAGTTAACATCTTTTTGTTAAGTGACTTAAAAGTCAGAAATCCTTAAATGTCCCCCAAAAAAGTTATAGGCATCTCTAACTGCGACTATATTGTAAGGATATCTGGTGGAGCTACAGTATGGCACCTGGGTAAGCTCTATCTAGTGGGTGGATACACTGTAGAGTACGACGTGGAGCTGAAATCCTTCTACCAGAACCCGTCCAACTCTGTCTGGGTGTTTGATCCCGCCAAGGGGATTTGGAGCCAAGGTCCCAGCCTTCCCAGGTTCAATGCATTTTTTAATCTGGTGTCTTATACAGGATTTAGTCCAGGGGGGAGAGCTCACACTTTTTTCAACATTACGAGAGGGGGGGGGGGTTGAAACTTACTTAAAATCATAGTTTAATTAGAACCTTAGACAACACAATTCTGATTAAAGTTAAAAAATTCTGTAGAATCAGCTCAGGGTCTAAAGTTTGGCAAGTTTACTTTGCGATAGATACTTAACAGAATGAGTAAAGTTAACCAGCCATGCCAGTACCAAAGCTTTAATAGGTTCAGAAAAGGTGACAATCTAAGCGGACATGGAATACTTAAGTAGTTTCAAAGATGGAAACTTATGAATTGTTGAAAAGAAGTTGAACCAGGAACAGCTGTTAAGCTACTTATTCTGTTAGGATACAGTAAAGAGTTATAAACTAAACCCTTGTGTTATAGGACTAGTATGGAGTTGCAAGGACGAATTATTTCATTCAGAGGATATGCCTTTGGTACAGCTATTATAATAATTTATTTTTATCAATAAAAAAAAATTATAATAATACTTAATAACAAACCATTAGAAATGATAATAATTAAACATTAATGTGCATATATGGATTCTGTTTTTTTTTATTTGTTAAGAGCAGACTTATAAAAAGATTTGTAGATTTTAGCTTACTAATTAATAAACTTACTAGTAAAATATAAAATTTGTCGCTAGCCGGCATGATTATAGGCCTTAAAAATAAAAACGACACTAGGCACAAAAGAAGTTTTATATTCCTCATATAATTGCATAAGTTTGAAAAATAACCGATTACTCGCCTCAAACTCTAATGTTATAGTTCATATGTCTCTATATGACAGCAAACCTATAAATATTAGTAGAATTATCAATATCAAACCAGTTTGCAAGGATATAAGGATTAGAAAATTAGAGTTAGCGCTGAGTAATAATTTTTTTTAAAAGATTAATTTCTAGGTGAACATCGTCAATACGGTGTTTTAATAACAAAAATTTATCTTTTTCAGGTCAAGCTGTGAGTAATGCTGGCTGTATATATTACAGTGGCGGGGCAACCCTAGCTGTCAATAATATCTTTAAAAGCTGTGACACCGCGCCTCTTAATAAATATGAGTATGTTAGCCTACCAAAGGTAAGAATGCAGAGCTATGACCGATGCTTTTTAGTTGGAAAATCACTCCCTTTTTTTAAATAAATGGGCTGTCGACATAATTTTCAGTGAAACTAAATTTTAAGCTTCACATTTACGATTCAGAACTTCATCTGAAGTTCAATGAAAAAGATATTGACATAGATAAATAAATAAACATAGATAGCTTATGTACGCAAAATCACCAAGAATTGGACAGTCTGCGAACTCATACTTCTAGGGGTCAAAGTGTACTTCAATGATAAGCGGAGTGGTTTGGTGTTTTAATGGATTTCATAATTATTAAACCACTCAGGAGTGAATTTTATTTTGAGAATATCAATATATCATATTGACGAGAACTGAAGAAGGAGATGAGAAGGACTAAACTAATTTAAATTTCTCTCTACAGAACTCATGTACACCACTTAAGTACTCAATGATAAGAACAGCCAATGTTCACAACCGACCTAGTTAATCTATATAATAGGAATATCTTTAAAACATCTCTGTACATTTATATCTTTCAAGATGAAAATTGTCGTCTTATGCGCAATCTATCTTTATCTATGGATATTGATCACTTTTATTCAATATTCTGATAGAAGAACTAACGCCACTCTATAAACGAAGGGTCCCTTGGAATTACGTAAAATCAGTCCCTTTAATGAAGAAACGATTGTTTTTCTTCAGATTGTGGTATCAAAATAATTTCTTTTAAAATGTTAAATGTTACTTATTAAATTTAAATTTCGTGAAACTCAAGTTTCAGAATTCCATTACGCATGTTTTATAAATATTTTTTCTATTCCAGGTATTAAGGCTGGAACCAAACCAGGAAGAATGGCGCGCAATCTTTAGTCCAAGTCCAGGACACACACAGGAACATTGTGCAATTAACCTCTAAACACAAAAAAAAATGAAAATCTACAAAAAAATGATAATGATCACATTTAATTTGTCATCCTTATGACAGAAAATTATATTTGATTGTGACAATATGTCTTTACGCTTCGCCAAGAGCTATTATTAAAATGCCCTGAAATGTTTTATCCTTGGTGGAAAAAACGTCTAATTGGTATTGTGCATAACTGCCACTAATTATGTGCAATTGCAAAATCAAAACATTAAAAAATAATCAAAATCGGGTTTTATAGATTCTTACATTTTTTGTTGAATAGTTTAATTTCAATTGCATAAATATCTCAGGACTATACCCTTTATGGAGCTGTCCCTGCATCAGTAACCCTCAAAAAAATTAAAGTAAAATTTTATTATAAAAAAATAATTTTTAACTTTTTTCAAAATCCCTTGTTTTAGGTTAAAAATGGACGACTAGCAAGCTGTCCGCTTAATGTTTGAGAACAATAGATATATAAACAGATAAACAGATAAACAAACAGATAAACAGATAAACAGATAAACAGATAGACAGATAAACAGATAAACAGATAAAAAGCTTAACAGATAAACAGATAAACATATAAACAGATAAACAGATAAACAGATAAAAAGCTAAACAGATAAACAGATAAACAGATAAACAGATAGAAAGCTAAACAGATAAACAGATAAAAAGCTTAACAGATAAACAGATAAACATATAAACAGATGAACAGATAAACAGATAAACAGATAAACAGATAAAAAGCTAAACAGATAAACAGATAAACAGATAAACAGATAAACAGGTAAACGGATAGACAGATAAACAGATAAACAGATAAACAGATAAACAGATAAACAGATAAATAGATAAACAGATAAACAGATAAACAAACCAAAAACAACGAAGAGTAAAGAAAAAAGAAGAAAAAAAGAAAATTTGTTCAAAATATGTGATTTTAGACTAAAATACATTGCAGAACTGATAACAAAGTGAAAATTATGATATTAACAAAACAGGAAATGGCAGCTATACTGAAAAACAGTATAAATTATCAGGGCTAAATGTTGAATAAATATTGTCATAACTCGGAATGTTTTAAATGTATATATTTTCCCCTGCCCAGCACATTTTCCGGCCACAAAACATTGTAATTAACCTCGTGTGGTATGATTAATTATGTCTGTTTGGAAACATTTTGCAGATACTATAGAGATATTTATAAAACTTATGGTCACAGTATAAAAAATGGATTCTATACGAAAAAACTGAACAATCATTGTTTATTTTTGACTGAAGATCTTTGGATAATAAATATTATGATTTATTTAAAATATTCTTGATTATAGCTAATATATAGAAAACAGGAGCTCTAAAGTTGCAAAGCTTAGATCCAGGGTTCCTCATAGAACCAATATGGCCCCTAGATCCAGGGTTCCTCATAGAACCAATATGGCCCCTAGATCCAGGGTTCCTCATAGAACCAATATAACCCCTAGATCCACGGGTTTTCATTGAACCAATATTGCCCCTACATCCAGGGTTCCTATTATAACCAATATGGCCCATATATCCAGGGTGTCTCATAGAACCAATATAGCCCCTAGATAAGATAGGTAAGGAGAAATTCAATTTTTACCACAAATAACGCGATTTCGTTAAAAATTATCTAAAATCAGATAGAAAGATAGTATGATTTTATGTTATTCCGACTAAGTCTTCCCACACATATATATTCCATGATTGCACTTTGCAATCATCAATTTTATCTAATACTAGGCCTCACTGACGCTGCGCGCCCATCTTATAGGTAGTTTCGGAATTTTCATTGAATTGCTCTCTAATCGATTTATTTTCGTTGATTTTAAGAAATCTATATTTTTAAGGACAATTTTTTTTATTTTAATTTTCCATTGACGATACCTGGGATATGGGAGTCGGTACCAACGAGGTTATAGTGTACAGAGTGATAATGTACGCTAATCCTTTACTAATTTTATAGGCCATAAACTATACCGAGAGCATAGTGCATATTTATTTACTATAAGTTGATTCTGGCCTAACCTATAGTATATCAATAATAATAAACAGGTGTAAGTGTACAGTACAGCTAACTGAGCACACAGAGAACTATCATCCCCTCTGAAGTCGCCTCATAAACATAAACATAAATTAACCTAATCTTCAGGTTAAAGTATAAACGACTTCAATAGCTATATGTGACTTCCTATTACAAGTGAAGATATTGAGGAACTCTGCTTAACTATAATCAAAGACAATTTATTAAGTTCACTTTGATTTCATAAAATGGAGTAAATAGTCGTTTCTATATTCTTCAAGCTACTATTTTGTTTTACTAGTTCTTGTTTTAGAAAATTTAAGTGATGAAATGTTTTAATATAGAGAAAGAATACACAACTGTTTGCAAAATAATCTAATCTACTCAAACACATGCAAATTGGTGAAAATTATATAATAGATTTCACTAATCCAGGGGGGGGGGGCCTCAGCCCCCATAGCCCGCCCCTGTAATGGCATTACAATTCTTGCGACTTCAAGCGGTGATTTTTACAACACCTCTGTTGTGCAAGTACGCTATGCATTAAAAAATCTTGAAAGTTGATTAAGTAAAATTATCTGCGCAAAGCGACAAAAAATTTGCTGATATTTTGCCTTGTAATGGTAATTATGGACATGAAGAATGGAGATCAAGTTTCTTAACGGGGANCGCCACTGCTATTTGATCTAACTATTATTTAGATTAAGATGAAAATCTGCCAATATTTATGGAAAATTACCAAATTATGGAAAAAATCTGCCAATATGGATGGAAAATCTACCAAAGGAATTTAGTCTTAGCCACAAACTTTGATTTTCAAATCCCTGCACCAAATGTTGTACACCCTGATATTTCAAGCTTATGCTATTTGATCATACAGAATTTATAGTTTGAAATATCTTAAGGTTACGACATGAGGTTGTACGAATATAGGGATTAGAAAATCAGAGTTTGTGAAAAATCGGCTAATATGGATGTAAAATCTACAAATCTTAGGGAAATATAGGTCAATTTCAAATCTATCTAGAGAAGATTTGCCGAAGAGCTCTGTGTAGATCAGTAGCGGAGCTGCTTATGCTGCTCCCAAGGAAAACAGCTCCTTCCAAAGTGTCCATAAGCTGCTGTTTGTTGAAATATTGGTTGTTGTAGCTGCAGATCTTGAACTATTCGTCCAGGCCGCAAATCAAAGTTTTTCTTCACTATTTCGGTCAACTTCTAAACATACAGGGTGGGTCAATAAACATGAGACATTAAATACAGGGAGGGTTAACATATACACATGAGACAAATATCATCACTAGGATACTATTGTAATTTTAATTGTTGTTCTATCTGTGAGCAAATTCTATTTTTACAACAACAACAAAATTCGCGGATTTAATAATATTTCTTTTGTAATTTTGGGCATCCATAAACCTTCCCTGGGGTCATGTGAGGTCCCAAAAAAAATTTGAGCCCGAATCGGATCAGCCGTTTTGAAGATTATCAGTTTCAAACAAAAAGACAAGCAAAGTATGTATATTATATATATTATTATCATTATAAACATTATCATTATATGTATCATTATTATATCTATCTATCTATCTATATTCATGATCATTTATATTAATATTATTACTATTATTATTATTAATTATTATTTATAATATTACTCTTTTAATTTCATCAGTCAAAGCATTATCATCAATATCTTTAAATAATAACCTGTGAGGATAATGACCCAGTTCCATAATCAAACACAGCTATACCCAATGGATCAGATAGTCCAATAGCATAAGAGACCTAAGGATTATTTCACACGAGTAATCAATTTGTTTGTACTGTAATTTTAAAAACATCCCTCTCTAAAGTAATATTAAAAACTATCCTGCTATATACAGGAACGCCCAACTCAGATATACGCATATTATGTACTGTACACTGTGGGAGGAATGTAAACAAACCCAGTGCCCCCACAGAAGTTGAAGGGAAAGGTCTACAGCTCTGATGTGATATTACAGTCCAACAAAAAACAAGTTAATATATCAAGTTAGAGTGAATACTTATAATTTCTGGCTTTCTGGTCAATATGGAAAATACAATAGCAATATATTCTTATTCCACCCCTTGGGTCTTTTCCCCTCAAAAATGATGCGTTGCCCCTGAATTCTTTGTTTTGATCTCCTCCCACTGCAGTACACAGATTTGACGCATGAGATATGGCGGTTCCTGGTCTATATATTTCTTGGTGTAGCTACTCTAGTTTTCATTTTTGGCACAATAATAAGCAAACAACTTTATTTGGTTATATTATTGGAAATTCAAAACCTTTTTTCTCATTGAAGCTTTTCTATAAAGAGAATTTATGATTGAAAACCAGGGGGCAGAAACGTCATGTGTGCAAAGAGTGTGTGTAAAGTTTACTGAACAGTACAAACGAATCTCGGTATTTGTACAGTCTAGGAGAGTACATTTGATTATTGTTAATTGTTTACTTAAAAATAAGTTTAATATACATGTAGTATATTATTTATATATTTAAGTCAACACTATAAGGCAAATTTTCATGCAAAGAATATAATTTGATTAAAGTTTACAATAAACTAGTCGTTATTCAAGCTTAATTATAATTGATTGACAACATTGTTCTGCAATTTCCTGGACTGTAGTCATGTTGTGTGTCAGGACCAAAAAAGTGTGTAAGGTTTACCGTACTTGTCTGCATAGCATTGCGACTGGCTTTCTCATGCCAGACCAGCGCCATTTCCTTTCCCTTTATTCCTATTCCTTTTTGAAAATGTGTAAGATTTCAATCTTTCGTACAATTTACTGTAGTTTAACAAGAAAGTGTACTGCAGCTTCTGTAAGTAATATAAAGAAAACTCTGCACACCAACATTTGCATCACACATTTGAAAATTTGGAGGCTTCTGGTTTACATTATCTATACTATAATACCTGGACTAAACAGCGGCGGCAGAGACCTGACTTGACCAGTGATTTTGCAATCATGCGCAGGGCGTATGCCGCTGAACGGTCTACTTTGGAATAATCCTTTCCAGAAAATGCGCCACCACCATGGGAACCCCACCCGCCGTAAGTATCCACAATAATCTAGAAATTCATAGGTTAGGTGTATAGATATTTTGGAAGAGGAATTGAGTCTACCTATATTTTTGCAACCAAACGTCACAGACCTTTGATGTTTCAAGCGATGAACTCTGTTAAATCAAATAACCAAAGTTTGCAATCAATTAAAGATTTACACCATATGCATCAGGTGCAAAGATATGGGGTTACAAAATTTTAGTTTATGGCAAAGACTAGAAGATGTTCACTAATAATTGTTTCTCTGTCTTTTTGCTTTCTCTCAATTAAATACTTTTTAATGTACAATTAAGTATGATGCTTTAATTCCAATAACCACCCCCTCCCCCCTTTGCCCTGAAGGATCAAAGTTTTAGGCCTGTTAGGGGAGGTAAGACACATGTCACACATATTTCTTGTCATTACCACAAATGACGTCATTTATAAACTTATATTTTTGGCAGTGCGCGTACCATACTATTAAGCAAGAACGCACCTTTTTAAACACTGAAATAAATCATGGACGAAAAAGAAGTGCAGTCCTGATGAATAATAATTAAGCGCACTTCCAAGAAGTTTAATTTTGACGCCATTTGCGGTTCAGAAGAAAAACAAGTGCGGTGTGCCTTCACCACCCTTTTCTGTTATTATCCCGGCTTTTCAGGAGATAACAGCTAGAATCATTTATCCTTGAAGTTCGAATCCCGAGAGGATAGAATGGATCTACAAAATTCGGAAATAAGGCTAAAGTGGAGCTAGTGACAGAATATTAATACCAGGCCGTAACTGGGCGTTTCTGTTTAGGGGGGGGGGGGCACACCGGGTGAAACATATTGAACGAGGAAATTTTTATAATTTAATGATTAAAACTGAAAATTTTCTTAGATTTTGATGATCTTTTACATCTTACATTTATAATAGTTTACAATCAAAACTGATCATTTTAGATGAAAACTCACATAAACATTGTTTTGAGTTTATTATCTAATTTAGTTTTGATAGCCTATTTTTTAGTTTTCTAGCAAACTACAAAATATATTTTAAACACAGCATTACTGAGCTAATAATCACTGTACTACTATTTGAAAAATTGGTATGTTGATCAAAAATCTTATTCTACAGGGGGGGGGCCACCCCAATGATCCTTGGGTGTATATAAAGTAAAAATACCTTAATTTTGGGGAAAAAATTGTGATTCTTTTTTGCAGGTGACATATGCTCCTCCCTTCTCACAAAATTTATTTTTAGGATAATATAAATCTAGTCGATACATTGGAAAATTCTTAAATCAATTTACCTATAATAACCGTAAACCAACCTTTCTGCCTGTAAGTCCTGCGTCTCCCATGGGACCTCCGATAACAAAACTCCCACAGGGATTGATATGAACCACAGTATTTTTATCCAGATATTTCAGGGGAATTACTCTCTTCACAACCTTCTCCAGGACATCACATCTCAGGTACTCAAGACTCACCTCAATTAAGAAAATATTCTTCAAAAAAAAAATTAACTTTCGCAAAAACTTGTTGAGAATTTTAGAGCCTTCCTATTTCAATTCTTTTCAAATGTCCTCAAATTAACCATTTCAGAACATTTATAAAACTCATTGTAAGAATTAACTGTTAAATTTGGTGTTTTGTTTTTTGGGGGGGGGGCGACTTTTTACAAACTTTTCAGTCCATTCTATTGTGTATTGTAAAATTGAATGCTTCTGTTAAGAAAATGAATTTGTGAATGTTTTATTATTATTATTATTATACAAATGACAACTACATTTTACAGGAGGTACTCGCCGGCATGTACTATGCACCATATCTGACTGAAACTAAAGTGTTTACATTGTACATAGGAGGAACTGTTTACATGTTGGTTGTACAGAGCCAACAAAAGTAGCATATCATACACAGGAGGTAATGTGCACATTGTACAATGTACATGTTGTTATCTATGTACTGTTTCTCAGTGTTTTACAAAAAAGCAAAAGCATGCACATTGTACACAGGAGGAACTGTTTACATCTTGTTAAAGTTATCTATGTACCGTTGTACAATGTACGATGTCCTTGTTGATATTTACATACCTTTTCTGAATGCTGTACAGAAACTACAACAGTATGTACACGTATTGGAATACAGGCTCCATTATCAAAGAAATATTCACATGTCACCTAAATAAAAACAAAATAAAAATACAAAATAAATTTTAGCAAAGGAACTGAGTTTTTGTCACAAACTCAGATTTTCTAAAACCAATATCTCTGCAACTGGATAGGGTAAACTTTTGATATTTCAAACTCAAATTATTTGATCTACCAGAATTCATAGTTTGAAATATCTAAGGTGTACGACATTGGGTTGTAAAGTTATAACGATAGGAAAATTTCAGTTTGTGGCAGACTCCATTCCTTTATGTAATATTATTTTTTTTTTCATAATATTTCGATCACTGTAAACTCAGGTTAATTTCATGTACACTGTACTCTGCTGACTTTTAAGGAGCTAGACCATGCTGTACAGTACACATAGATTGTATATGAAAAAACGGGGCGGTACACCAAATAAATCAGTCTTGATAACCAGAAAATAAGTTACATAAGTGAAATACGAATAAAATAATACGTTACATAAGTGAAATACGAATACAAAAATAAGTTACATAAGTGAATTACGAATACAAAAAGAAGTTACATAAGTGAAATACAAATACAAAAATAAGTTACATAAGTGAAATACGAATACAAAAATAAGTTACATAAGTGAAATACAAATACAAAAATAAGTGATCAGGAAGAATTTTTTTCTTCATATCAATATAGCTATGCATCCATTCATGAGACAAGGTTAACTTTGAAGCGTTGCATCACCTTGACCTTGGGTTTTATCTTACTGACTCACTTATACTTTTCTATAGAATTTTAATATTACAACATGTATGTTTCTAGATTTAGTTGAAATGGAGATGGATTTATATTTGAGAACATGCACTCATTGTAACATTTTCCTACCTGTGCTTTACTATCAGGTCTAGCCCACCATAATGATCCATCTTTTCTTAGATCAGCTATTTTCTTGTTCAGTTGATGGGCCAGCATAACAGTCAGGGGCATACACTCATCAGTTTCATCTCAAAAAATAAAGTCGAATTATGAAGGAAAAAAAATCGATTTTTTAGCCTATGTTACCCCCAGGGTACCCATTGATTCCTTCCAAATATTCAGCCAATTTGGTCCAGCTGTTCGGCCAGCTATAGCTATATTTATAATATTTGTAAAATACAATAAAAATCCAAATCATGCGTTAAATACTTGTTTTCTAATATATTTAAATATAACGAACAGGCACATGGTACATTTCTCTCCACATATATGTGGAAACTAAAAGAGCAGCATTAATCTTTCACAGTTACCTGGAGTATCAGAGCATTGGTTCCAACATATAAAAAGAAAACTAGATCCTGTTAGCTTTGATAATCATAGAAAATAAAGAAAACACTTTGAAAAAAAAACTGAAATTCCATAGATAAATAAATAAACATAGATAGCTTATGTACGCAAAATCACCAAGAATTGTACAGTCCGCGAACTCATACTTCTAGGGGTCAATGTGTACTTCAATGATAAGCGGGGTGGTTTGGTGTTTTAATGGGCTTCATAATAGAGTGTAAAATAACTCCGGGAATGAAACTATTTGAACAACAATATTTCACTGAGCAATATATCATATTGACGAGAACTGAAGAAGGACATGAGAAGGAATAAACTAACTTAAATTTCTCTCTACAGAACTCATGTACACCACAAGTACTCAATGACATAAGAACAGCCAATGTTCACAACCGACCTAGTTAATCTATATAATAGGAATATCTTTAAAACATCTCTGTACATTTATATCTTTCAAGATGAAAAATGTCGTCTTATGCGCAATCTATCTTTATCTATGAGAAATTCTCAGCTCCCTTGAAAGCAAAGATGTAATAGATGGTCGCTTTTTACAGACCTATCCGCTGCTGTTACTGTATATGTACATAATATGAATATTGCCGCGCTATGGATTAAACTTGTACCTGTAGCATATCCGAACATAAACCCTTGATCTCCAGCACCAATATCCTCCTTGAGTACACCGTTGTGATGAACACCCTAGCACCTCTCTTCATCAGCTTTAGATCGATGATATGGTAATTTCAAATTATTTTTAAAACCTGATATTTGGTAATAATGATACAAAGATATCACTGTTTTAATCAAATTCCAACATAACGTGTAAAACTGTTTCAATCTTGAACCAACCATATTTGAGCCAAGGTTTAAATTTAAGCCGCCGCTCAATTTCTTTTAATTCTGCCTCGGAGTGTGCAAATCTCAACACTGTTTACTATCAAAATTCCATTCCACTGGTTGTCACCTTTTAGATGAAGAAAGAGATACAGATTATCCACAAAGAATGAGACTTTTATGACGCCCTTTAACTATGAGAATTGTCAAAAACACTCTTTGAATTAAGATTAATTTTAAGGTGATTTTTGGGGGGAGTGAAGATCTTTATTTGAACAACTTGCTCAGGATTTATGAAAAAAAGACAAAAAAAAACAATGATGATTTCTGGGCGATATCTGGGCTTTGGTGTTCAAGGGCCACAATCGATATTGATCAAATTTCAAAAACAGAAACATGGATAGCTCATTCGTTCATGGACGTATAAAATAAATAGAAAGGTCACTTGTAATTATATTCAGAGTCGCTTCAAGAAACATTCTTCGGGGCAAGGGGTTTTAATGATCAAAAAAACACATAAAAAGCTTGATAAAAAGGCTAAAAAGCGATGACGGTTCCTGAGCGATATCTGGGCTTTGATGTTCGAGAGCCACGAGGAGGCTTAGAGTCTTATAATCAAACCCTTTACTTGAGTCATCATAACCAATCTCTTTCACTGTATCCCTAACAACCTAAACAGTTATACTGGAGTCATCATAACCAATCTCTTTCACAGTATCTCTCACAACCTAAACAGTTATACTGGAGTAGTCATCATAACCAATCTCTTTCACTGTATCCCTCACAACCTAAACAATTATACTGGAGTCATCATAACCAATCTCTTTCACTGTTTTCTCTGACAACCTAAACAATTATACTGGAGTCATCATAACCAATCTCTTTCACTGTATTCCTGACAACCTAAACAGTTATACTGGAGTCATCATAACCAATCTCTTTCACTGTATCCCTGACAACCTTAACAATTATACGGGAGTCATCATAATCAATCTCTTTCAATGTATCTCTCACAACCTAAACAGTTATTCTAAAGTCATCATAACCAATCTCTTTCACTTATCCCTGACAACCTAAACAGTTATACTGGAGTCATCATAACCAATCTCTTTCCCAGTATCTCTCACAACCTAAACAGTTATACTGGAGTCATCATAAACAATCTCTTTCACTGTATCCCTGACAACCTGAACAGCTATACTGGAGTCATCATAACCAATCTCTTTTACAGTATCTCTGACAACCTTTACAGTTATACTGGAGTCATTATAACCAATCTCTTTCACAGTATCTCTGACAACCTTAACAGTTATACTGGAGTCATCATAACCAATCTCTTTTACAGTATCCCTGACAACCTAAACAGTTATACTGGAGTCATCATAACCAATCTCTTTTACAGTATCTCTCACAACCTAAACAGTTATACTGGAGTCATCATAACCAATCTCTTTTACAATATCCCTGACAACCTAAACAGCTATACTGGAGTCATCATAACCAATCTCTTTCACTGTATCTCTCACAACCTAAACATTTATACTGGAGTCATCATAACCAATCTCTTTCACAATATCACTCCCAACCTAAACATTTATACTGGAGTCATCATAACCAATCTCTTTCACAATATCTCTCCCAACCTAAGAAGTTTGAATCATGGCATTTTTGATTAGCTAAAATGATCCTTTTAAAACGGAAAAAAACAGAAGTCATCAAGCATTAATATTCATCTTGTGCAGACCTCCGGATTAATCTAATTCCTCCTTGGTGGTCATATGATGCAGGGATAATTAAAATTGGGGTATCAAGGATTTATCCTAAATATAAAAGTTCCTAACAATAATGAATTTAATTCTGACCTTCTGGTAGTCAATATTTGCCTTGCTGGTGACCTGACCGATTAACATGATAAGGCCGGTTGTTGTGACCGTTTCTACAGCAACCTTCGCATCACTATCCTCACGTAGATGTGCATCAAGAATCGCATCACTGCACAACCGTAGACTTTTACTTATCTTGTAAAGGTGGCTTAATTAATATTTATTAATATTTATTATTATTTATTAATATTTAATAATATTTATTAATATTTATTAATATTTATTAATATTTATTAATATTTATCAATATTTATTAATATTTATCCGCACCTTTTTATTTATTAAATGGATTTGATAAATCGCCTCATTTTTTTAATCCCTTTATAATTACAATAATATGGTGTAAACCATTGATTTTAAACTTTAACTATTTCATCTAGAATGATTCATCTTAACCAACGTCTATCTGAGGTTGCAAGTGACCTTCTTAGATTTTCTAATCCTTATCTTTGCAACCTAATATGTCAACCTATGAATAATGCTATATATTTAATAGTCAACCCTTGAAAAATCAAAAGTTCAGCACCTTTTACCTACCATGGCCATTTTGAGATTATACCAGTAATTAATCAAGTTTAAAATTGAATCGCGGTCATAATCACGCACCTCTGCCCCTTTAGTAAAAGTAAATTCAACATATATGAAGCATAAAGTCTAACCGCGTCAACCTTGTTGCACCGGCTACTCCTGTTGATTGTCTGCTTAATTAAGAAAATGTCTGTGCGGTACAGTACAAATTCAAATGTACTACGGCTGCCCGTATAATTTTACTATTCTGCATATAAAGTAAGATCCATAAAATGTTTTTCAAGCTTTTTTAAGAACAAATTCTAAATTGATTAGTAAACATAGTTTTGATTAAAAATGTTATGAAAAGTATTTAAGTCTCAGTATTCCTGATCTGGTCACACATCTTGTCAGGATGCCCCTCACCAACACTTTCAGAGGTGAAGCGAAACCGTTCACCATGCTGAACATAATATTCATTATTTAACAGAAACTGTACAACTTTTCTTAGATCAGCTATNAGAAACTGTTCAACATGCTGAACATAATATTCATTATTTAACAGAAACTGTTTATCATGCTGAAAATAATATTCATTATTCAAAAGAAACTGTTCACCATGCTGAACATAATATTCATTATTAAACATAAACTGTTCACCTTGGTGAACATAATATTCATTATTTAACAGAAACTGTTCAACATGCTGAACATAATATTCATCATTTAACAGAAACTGTTCAACATGCTGAACATAATATTCATTATTTAACAGAAACTGTTCATCATGCTGAACATAGTATTCATTATTTAACATAAACTATTCACCATACTGAACATAATATTCATTATTTAACAGAAACTGTTCACCATCTGAACATAATATTCATTAACAGAAAATGTTCATCTTGCTGAACATAATGTTAATAGTTCAACAGAAACATATGCTACTATATACTCTTAAATGCTCAAAATTTAATTAAATTAAAATTTTCCAGATAATTTTTCCTTAGTCTGCAGTGTAATGAGAGTAAGGGTTAACCAGAAAGGTTAACCATTAATTTATATAAAAAAGTCTTTACAAAAAAAGACAGTTGTCTTTGAATTATCATCCTTAGTAACCATGTTTTAAAAAAATAGGTTACCTTCAATTAGATTATCAATATATTTGGTTACCTTTATTTCTCTGATATCATGCCTGTATGTTGATCTAACAGGTTGACGCACTGTTTGAGAAACCTTCAGTGTGACCCAATCAGAGCAACTTTTTTTGCCACTGAAACCCCCCTCTCCTCACCCCCAGATTTATTTCAGGTTTAGAGATGATTATTTAAAACCTGAAGCTAATCAGACCAGAGTGAGAACTTTAGAATGGGATACCTTTAATCCCGACTGCTTAATCCGAATATCCAATGTAGACACTTTTAATTTCTTGCTTAATCCACTCTTTTTTGGATATAGTAGAGAAAATTTTAAAACCGGTTTTTCAAAATTAGAGAGTCCCTCCCGTTTCTGTATATTAATCATAAATGGCGCGCAAAATTTCAAATTTCCCGGCTTCTGATACGCGACAATGATTGGTTGAATTTTATACACTTTTCAGGAAACAAGCACAAGATTAGGTTAGTCTCGAGATTAATAAAAATAGAGGATCAAGCATTGATCTCGATATTCACGATTCTAAAGTTCCCAGCTCAGAGTACATGTAAAGGGCTTCAGAAAAGTATAAGTGAGCTAGAGCAACAATTTATCAAAGCCCAAGGCGTTGCGACACTTCAAAGTCGATCCTTTCTTAAAAATTGATGACTTTATATAAGCAGACTGAATCTACGTGAAAGATTAAATTAATCTGCAGATTAGTCAAATATTGAGATCAAGCATTGCAGAGACCAGATATAATAAATAGGATAAGTGTTAAATAAATGAGGTGGCTAGACTAAGTAGAATAAGTTGAACCACAATTCTCTTCTGCTTAACCCGGAACAAAAAAGAACTGTTTGAACCGACATTACGTGGTTCAACTTCTTCTAACTTCTCATTGATTCTGGTCCTAGTGATAACGAATACGGATAATATTAGGTATAGAAGAAGACATTTCGAAAAATGCTCCGACGCAGAATTTCTTCTGGAGTATTATAGCTCAAGATTTGGGATAAAAACTGAGAAAATCACCCTTTCAAGCAAACTGCCAGCAAGAATTTTGCCATTACTTTTAAACTGAAGTAAAAAAATCAAGCTGTGTAAATTTACAGGATAACTTACAAAGAATGAGACTTTAAAGACGACCTATAACTATCAAAATATAACGAGTGTAACGTTAAATTGTATTTTAAGCCTAGCTCTCTCAATAGCTTATTTAATGATTGAGCAAAGAAATAAATAAATTTGAAGGGAAGCTTACACATAAGGAAACAGACAGTGTAATTCCGTACAGAAGGTTCTGAAGTCTTATCCTTTATGAGTAACTCTCTACATGTCTAAGGCTACAATTTGTCCCGAATTTCAATGAGTTACTAAAATAGAATTTAATGCGAATGGGATGTGACACTTAACAAACGAACCGGTCTTGAAATATGAATCATAATTTTAATAGGTGTCTATTAATAAGTTGCTCTCTTTGATTCCTTAAGCTCTTTAATGAGGGTAAGCAGCGGGTTTTCACTCTCCATTCTTAACTCCTTTGAGTCCTCATCCTCCCTTTTCTTATTCTTCAGTTCTTTGACCTCCATTTTGTTATCAACTTTATTGTCATTGTCAACAGGTTTCATCTTCTTCATTAGGACACGACAGCTTTCACAGCACCAGAATACTCCTCCAATATGATCCTTAACTCCTCCGATTTGTTGGTCTTTAAGTCCTCCGATTCTTTCCTCTTTTATTTCTCCAATTCGTTCTTCTTTAACGCCCTCGATTCGTTCCTCTTTAATGCCTACGATGTGTCCTCCAAATACTTCTTCAATAGGTCTGCTGAGCTTTTCAAATATTTCAGTACTGCCTCCATTAGTTCCACCTGTGCCTAGGATTTCTCCATCCCTGCTCCGAGCTTCTCCTAGTACTCTGAACTCTACCTCCGACAACCCCGCACAATCAGCATCAAAGACCAATTTACAAAGGGCACACTCAACACAGTGCTCCTTATTCACCCTTACTTTACATTTGGCGCACTCTCCCATAGTTTCCGACATTTTTTTATCTTGCCAATAAAAGTTTGATGTAGCACTAATAAGACTCTTTCAAGACTGATATATTAATGACAATTTTGATGTGCGACGCATGTCGACTCGAATAGACGGTTACTGGATAGCCAATTGCGTAAATTAAGTCAAACTCCGTTTAACTATCTATTTACGCACTAAGAATAAATTTATAATCCCGGAAAATAGTGTCTACGGGTGTGTTTGCGGGGGGGAGTAGGGGGGTAAAGTGTTTCAAACTTCAAAAACGAATAAAATTGGCTCATTTCATATTTCTACCCTTTTTTAACTTAACAAGTGCTAGGCAACCTAATTTTCCCCTTCTTTTAAAATTAAGTTTTATTTGGGATTCAAAAAATCAAGTTCAAACTACAGGGAGTCCCACGAAACAGGACAGTTGGTGGTGAACAGTTTTGAATGTCTTCTTCCACATACTGTATTAGATATTAAATTATGGAATAAGACATTTTGAACTATTCACCAACTGTCATGTTTCGTGGGAGGGTATATTGCAGACACTACAAAATGTGCGATAAAAGTTTGATTTTTACGTAAATGCTAACTCCGGCTGTAGAGATGAAGATTGAAGGCACAAACCCGAGCACACAGCACAAACTGTCACATGTAAGGAGGATTTTAAAATTCAACATCTTAACATCCCGAATGATTTCATTAGAATAAGAGCGTTTAATTAGTATTTCACATAAATCTCCTTAAAGTAAAAGAATCCCAAAACTTGTAATGCATATATTTACTATTTAGAAAAGAATATCTTTCATATAAATTAAATAAGAGAGAACCATTGAACACTCCCAAATGGCGAGTTAAAATAAATCATAATTTTTTGTTGTTGTCAAATATTCATTAATGAATTTGCAAACAATACTTCTAGCTCATCGTTAGTCATAAGTGTGGGTCCAGACAATGAGAGAAAAAAAGGTCTTACATTTTTTGACGAATATCTATAACCCGGGGTCCTCCTTGCTATTAATTGGCAGGTTAAGATCACATTTGGAAGATTTCCTTCCATCAACTGGCGGTTTTTTCGAAATTTGATAATGGTAATTGGTAGGTCAGGTAGTCTGATCCGAATTACTGTGAATTAGCAATATTGAGGTGAAGCGGCTCAGTTCTACAATATTTTTCATTTTACATCCATAGTTCATATTTTACTAAATGAAGCTAGTTACGTGAAAAAAAATTTGTTATTTAAAAACTCATTTTTAGAAAAATAGTTTCCCCAGGTGATACATTAACAAGTTTACATATGCATAGGTCAGGTTCACATCTTCTAAGATCAGTTACATAATCTTCTATTACATAAAGCTAGGATTAGAATTAAAACTGGTTCAGACCTGGGATTAAGTTCAGTATCAAGTATCTACGGCAAGGCAATTAAGTGCATAAAAACGGGTTTCTATGTTAAATATGTGAAATGGATCTGCACTGTTTTCAGAAGCATATTCCAATAATTTCGTCATTTAATATCAATTTACATTTTTTGTACATTGTGTCAACTTTCATGAAAAATAAATTCATGAATTCATAAACTCCGGTCAGAGTTTTCAAGTTTTTAACATAATTCAAGACATAACAATATTTACAGTTCTCAAACACTGTACAGTGTACATAAAAACTCTTGTACATAAATGTACATAAAGATTAATACTGGAAGAAAATCTTCTAATTGTAATGCACTTGGTGGAAGATCCGATCTAGATGTGACATATCGGGTCGTGATTCATCTGTTCTAGGTATTGATAGATGACCCGCCTGACCGTAATCGATCTTATGATCCATCCTGTGATGATCAAGGCGGGGTTGCATCAGGTCCGGTCTAGGGATCGTCAGATCGCCCCGGTATCCGAGGTGCCCGCCCATGGGAAGGTCAGGGCGAGGTTGAGTATGATTTCTTGAGGAAGCATTGTTTATTCTTGGCATCGAGTGATCAATCGGACCGTTCACCGACATTGAGTGATCGACAGGGCCCGGACGCGGCATCGAATGATCGATCGGTACCGAATTATCCGGGATGTTTGCACGCACATGCAAATCTGGACGTTGAAGATAAAAGTTTCTCAGATCCGACTCTGTGATGTCGTTCCGATGCGAGCTCTCAGGGCGGTACATCGGAGTTCCGGCAAAATGATCCGTTCGCATCGGAAAATGTTCATATCGGATCATGTCGTTGCGAAGATCAGTTCTAGGCAAATGATCGACAAGGAAATGGTGTCCACTTAGCATATAGTTAGGATAGTTGAGAGGTTTGGGATCAATGGTAGAATGACTCGGCGGTATGTGATCAGACGGCGGTTTCTGTTCAACAAACGGCGGTTGATGAGATCTCGAGTAGTCGATCAACTGATCGTTTTGGCCTGGTACAGGACCTATAATAGGAGGATCGGCCTGCGGTTTGGCTGCTTGAGACACGGGTGCTTTAACTGGACTAACGCCATTCCTTGCGTTCTCGTGAATTCTCTTCTTGTGATCTCTTAAGTGATCAACTCGTCTACCCACATAGTCACACATGTCGCATTTAAACTTGTCGTTGCCATGTTTTCTTCTCATGTGTCTCTTCAGTTCGTTGAGAACGGATCCAACATAGTCACAGAACTGACAGGGAAACTTCCGTTCTTCGTGTTTACTCTGACCGTGATATCTCATTCTAGGGAAGAAAACATTAAAAGTTTTTATTTATGATAAAATAAGTTAAATGTTTTCAAGGCACTGATGATGTAATTTTGGTGATACTCCCTGTATATGTTTAGTTCACAACCAAGGTACCATTAAAAGCTTTGAAGGATTAATGAATGAATGAATTTCAATATAAAAGTGATTTGCGGAATTCTGCTACTAAATAAAATGGAGGATATAATTAGAATTAAACACTTAGCATGCTTGAAATTTCGACAGTCCCTTGAATTGAAATTAGAACATCAATATTTCATTTTTTCGATTTTAACTATTTCCCAATCATCAGGAGTTCTGATATACTTTTGTCTTTTGAACATTAAAAAAGAAGAAGTTTTCAGTCAAAGTTTTTAGGGACGTCCTATGATGATTGACCACACTCCAATCCAGAAATGAATTTACTAAGTCAAGTTTAACAATTTGCAATGCAATAATAATGCGAGAAAAAAAACAACCCTGCTTTATTTCAAAAAATAAACCCTAGCTCTGAAATAGCCATGGAACTTTAAAGAGAAACCACACTAAAAAAGACTGGATTTTAGATTGAAAAGCAGTGATACTCCCATTATGTTAAATTTTTCACTCTCCCCTTTCGACACTCACTCCTTTCCCTCCCCTTTTAATTTGCAGCTGAATTAAGGTATAGGTGTCACGAATCTAAAGAGGGGGGTGGAGGGGAGGGGGTGTTTTACCTGTTCGCATCTCTGGTAGAGTAGCTACACTTCTCACACTGCAGAACCTTCCCACTATGCATCCTGTCATGATGATTCTTCAAATTGTACTGAAACGTTGCAACATAATCACATTGATCACAGTGGAACACTGAATCGCTGTGATTTCGAATCATGTGCGCTCGTAAATTTCTAGCTTTATCTGCGACATAATCGCATTTTTCGCAATTTTTATTTGGTCCGTTGACATATTTGACAGTACGCACTTTCCTAGGTTGCGGATTTTCGTGTTTCCTCTTCTTGTGCATTTTCAGTTTGTCTGGCCGGGTGCCGGAATAGTCACAGAGATCACATTTGTACCTCAATCCCTCGTGGACAATCCGCTTATGGAACCTGAGTTTATCCGACCTGGAGCAGGTGTACTCACACGCTTCAACATCACACTTGAGGGTGACCACGGGTCCAGTCTTCTTCTTCTTCATCTTACCCACCTTCTTGGTTCCTGGTCAACGAAAAGTCGTCATTAAATGTTTTTAATAAGAGACGAAGGAGGAAAAAAGCCAAATTTAACATTTTTAAGTAAGCTTTATATATCTTGAATATAACTAATTCTCTACGCTCTAATCATTCATGGGTTTTCGGCTTTACGCCAAAAATTGTTTTTAATGATTTTTTCCTTTAAGCATTATATGCTATATTCATCTATATCTGTATTGAATCCCGGAGATGCGGCAATGTTTAAAAGCCAAATATTTCACTATTTTCTGATTCTCACTGTATACTATTCAAACTGTGGGCTTTAATGCTCACCTGAGACTGAGTATGTAGGATCCACCTTCAGATCGTCCTCAACCTTGAAGAACTGCAGTTCCTTCTCGTAGTACTGTCTTACCTCCGGCCTCTCCACAACCTGCACCTTCATGGTTAAATCTCATAAATATTTATCATTTTAATCAAATACTTACTTGGGAACCAAGCTTTGACTGGAAACTTAATTTTCCCTGAAAAAGTCAACTCATTCAACTTAGAATGTTGAAATCAAGCGAAGAAGAATCTAATTCCCCCAAACAAATTTGAGACAAATCAATTAAAGAGTTCCTGAGTTATGATCGGACATGTAAACAAACAGACAGATAGACAAACAGGGATTACTACTTTATGTAAATAGATACGCGTTGTCTGTTTGAGTGCGTGTTTGTTCGAGTCCAATAAACGTCAACACGACTGAATACCGGTCCAAATATAAAAACATTACTTCAGTTCCAAAGAGAATGGAATATATATTAAGAGGGGAATTTACTAGAAAAAAGTGTAAAACGGCCATTTTGTTGTACTGTTTTCATACTGCAGGTGTACTTCACACATTTATGCTATATAACCTTTTGGGCCCTGGAACATCATTTTATAGAAAATCTAAAATTAATGTTAAAAGAAAACCAATTATGAAATAGGCTGGTTTCATAATTGACCAATGATCATTTTACATAGACTCTATGCCTTTCACTTTACAAACGATGATTTTCCGTTATAACTATAAATCAAATGATGTTTTTTATTCACCGAATTCATTTTATAAAGCTTATTTACCAGCTTTAAATTTGTCGAAATTCCTCTCTAAAATATATTCTATTCTCTATGTTCAGTTCCCTGGATTTTTAAACTACAAGCTCTTATTTAGAAAATAGTATAAAATTGCACTTTGTCAATTTAAAATTCGTTAAGAATTTTAATCATGAATTCCTGAGGCTTCTTTTTCTCCTCCTTATCTCCCTCTTCAGACTTTGTATCACTCTAAAAATAATTTTAAATTCAGAAAAAAAATATCAAGAAAATAAAATGGCGTTACAATAATATAACATTAACAACCGTTTTAAACAGAATATGAACAAGTTTCAGCCAAAAAAATATTAGTTTCATTTAGAAATAGAACTGATTTGGAAACTTATAAATGAATGCATGGAGTTAATCCCATTCTCTTATTGCGAAAAGATAAACCGATCTCTCGTTGATTATTTAACTTCCCCTAAAAATGATTTAATATTTCCCCCAGTTCAGCGAATAAAAACCCTAAAAAAAATAACCCAAAATTTGAGAAAAAATATTTTTAGAGGGGGGATTTTTCTAGAAAACAAAAACCCTCTGCAACGAGTACATAAAGTTTTGACCAATAAAAGATTGTGTCACTTTGCGCGAAGAGAGAATTAGTTTAACGATTTTTTTTCATTTAAAAGTTTCGAGCTTCGACCTGATGGAACAACCAGAATGAAGGATCTATCTCCTCCATATCCTCCAGATCTTCATCATCAATTGGTTTCCCTCCTCCGCCCCCAACTCCCCCTCCCCCTCCTCCTCCACGCCTCCAGGTTGTTGTAATCTAGAATTTAAAAATAAAAAATAGGCCAAATAAAAAAATCACAAAAAATAAAGGAACTTAGGGAATTTAATAAATTTATGAAAAATACTTCTGATTGGACACTTTTTAAAGAAATGAATTTTTTAAAATTGTTTGCAAAAAGTTGCAAGAAATCTCATTAAGATCGCCCATTATTTTTCTCAAACCAATAAAAAAAATAAGATTGATGCCGATTCTCAGTTCAGCATACATAATAAATGCTTCACATTCCATCCATACCACTTTTCCGTGAATTCTTCGTTGGTGATTCTTCAGATGATCCGGTCTTTTGGCAACATAATCACAATCATCGCAGGGATATTGCTTTATTTTGTGAATCACCTCCTGCAACCAATTAAAATGAAAAAGTGACAAAACTGAATTTCTATAAACTTTTATACCTTAGAGTCAACAAAGCTTCATAATAATTAGACAAAAACAAATGAGGAACAGACAAACTTACAAAAATACAACATTAACGATGAATATAGAAAAAATTGAAAAAAAGATAAGGACATAATAAAAACTTGTTTTAAAAAAGGTTTCCTTGTGCTCTATCAAGTTCTGTCCAGTTTCTGCCACAAAATCACACTCAGTGCAATTTAGAACTCTCATCTGATGCTTTTTCTCTATATGCTCCTGTAGCCTAAATAAGAAAAAAAATTAAACAAATGAAACAAAATCTGAACAATTCGTACAAATTGTAAATAAAAATGTTATTAATAGTTATATTCTATTATAAAATTGTTAAAAAACAAACAGAAGTATAAAAAAAAGTTTCGCAAAAATTCAAATTAAATTTTTAAAAAAATCAATTACGCCTGAAATAAAATAACAATGAAAATAACAAGAATATTCTACAAAAAAAAAATTTTTTAAATATTAATTTGAAGAAAAATCAGGGAAAAGATCTAGAATATAATTTGTTGTTACCGATTTAATATAAATATGGAAAAAAAGATATTAAATAAGTTATTTACTTGAAAGGACGGTTTGTTGTGAAGTTGCAGGAGTCACATCCATAAATCTAAAAATATGGAATTAATTTACCGAATTTAAATTCGTCGATAAATTCACAAATTTGAGTCATGGAGAACAAAACCCCGGCTACCCGCAGTCGAAGCAATCAAGCAACGCCAGGAAAGGGACTGTTAATGTCAATTTAAGTGCCCTTTCAATTATAAAGTGGGTTGTCCGATTCACAAGGTACCCTTAAAACTTTAATTTAATTTAATTTGATTTAATTTCGATTAAATTCCCTACCAACTGTACATTTCTAATCCAAAACTGTTTATTTTGACATAAATACATACCCCCGTTTTCGCAGGATGCTCCTTCAAGTGTATCTGCAAACTTCTGTAATTTTCTCCCACAAACTCACAAACATCACATGGATATGTGGTTTCTATCCCGTGCTTTTTTCTTCTGTGATCTCGCAGTTTATCGGGTCGGAGTGCAGCATACTCACAATACTCACATGGAAACCTTAACAACAATTATCAGGGGCGAATACTTTGAGCATTCCACAGCCAGAGGAAGGGGTGGAAGAAAATTGTACATCAACTGGCACTTTTTTTAAGGCATAGAAAGGCAAACTATTGTTATTATTTTTTATGTTCTCACTCCCAAAAGTTCATACGATATCCCTAAAAGATTAAGTACAAAAAGTTAAATTTCTAACTTTCTTCTCAAGTTAAATGTGAATGATTGATTTCAATACCTGAGTCCTTCGTGTTTGGTTTGAATGTGTAGTTTCAACTTGTCATTTCGTTTCGCAGAATATTCACAATCCGGACAGTTGAATTCTCCGATCTTGTGTTTAAACTTCTTGGTACCTCCACCTTTAATAACAATAAAATTAATGGCAGTCAACATTCAACATTCAAAAGAATGCAAAATGCACGATTTAAAACGGTACCCTCGAAACCTTAATATGATCAATAATAGTATATAATAATAAGTATAATAATCAATATTATAACAATAATTTTGATTATAACACTTTCTTCCTAAAATATGTATAATATATTGATATGAAAAAATATTTAAATGAATACGTTTTGGCCCCTGTTCCCTTTCTACGCCCCTGATGAAAGATTAAGAAATGAGAATTTTGAAAGGGTTAAGGTTAAAAAAAAATATTTAAAAAATTCAGCAATTTGTTAGTTTCATGATTCAAGTTCCCGGTGAATAATTCTTCTTATTGTCACCTACTTGGATAGAATTGAGCATTTTCACTGTTCCTTATTGATTGAAAGAATACAGGTCCAAAGTTAGTAGTGTACCCTAAATTCTGGGAATGTATTCAAATCCTCTAAGAATGTGGTATATTATTATGCGTAGGCAGAAAGTGTAATAATCAAAATTATTGTTTTAATATGCTAATAACTTTGTTGTTATGGTATAAAAGGTGTTAAATTCTGACAATTTTTCATTTGTTTCTAAAGCAAAAAATGGACAAGTCACTTATCCCAGTAAGTAAAAAATGAAAATAAACATTTTTTAAAATTTTCCCTATTTTCTTATGGGTTTAAAAGTAAAATAGCACCCCAGCTGAGTACACCTTTCAGTATTTGCGAATTTTTTGCTATGAAGTTCCCGCATTCTTTTGAATGATCATCTTCCAGCGTTTATATTTGAGATTTTCTTTAATATGCACTTTTTAAAAGTTTAAACTTTATATTACATGTTATATAATTGACGTGCCATTTTTGCGTATTTATTTATTTTTATAGTGCTAACATTTAAATTCATATTTCTTTATATTTCTTAATATTTTCCAGGGCATAAAATTATCTAAAACCCTACTAGTTGAAGGGGGCTCGTAAAGTATTTTCGACAAAAACATTTCTTTCTCTCGAAGGTTCTCTACTTTCTCGAAAAAAAAGTTTTCGGCTCAAATACTTTATACCTCGGCTCCCTTCAACCAGTAGGGTTATAAATAGTTATCACAGTTCCTTAAAGGGTGAATGAAAAGTTAAATTCCTGCAAAGCCCAAGATCTAAATAACATGGCCTTACACTACACACGTGTCTCTCTTTGGTTGTCAACTAGTAAACTGTTTTTTTTTTCGGTTTCTCTGATAGCGCATTTCTTGCTTAAATAGAAGCAATGGAGAAATTTAGAGAAATAAACACTTTTTGAGTGAGAAAAACGACGTTATCTTCCACATTTTTGATCAGATTAAAGTTTAACTTTTAAGGATACCATTCTAAATCGAGTATAGCCATCTTTGCATGGAGGGTCACTTGAAATTACACATTAGATTAAAAAATTAGGTTAAAGGCGCGAGGACAAATCTGAATATTTACCTTTCTCTTCTGAATCTCCAGGTTCAAGTTTAGCTCCGTAGTCTCCATTAGAACCCTGAGCTCCAGATTCTAATCCTTCATCCTTAACACCGTCCGTCTAGGATTGAAAGAAATTAGGTTTTTATTTAACATAAAAACCCGATGGTGTAAACCTTTGATATTTCTAATTTTGGGATGTTTGATCTAGCAGAGTTTTAAATTTAAAGGTCTTCAACAACAGGTTGCAAAGATCTGAGGATTTGAGGCAAGTGTTCAAACTTGTAAATCTTTAATGAAAACGTTGCTATGTAACAATAAGAACTAAGATCTGGTGAGCAGGGGAATGAAAAAGACAAATTATTAGGATAGTGGCATTTGGGCCAAATAGCCAATAACCCAAAATCTTAGCGTATTGTTTTACATTAACATAGGTAAAATAGGATTTTAAATGGATACTTCGTAAGAAAATATATCCGAATCAACAGTGTGTAGGATATAAATCTGGATACGCAAAAAATGCGGTGATTCGGTACAACTATCAAACAAACATACAAAACAATCTTTTTGTTCTGAACACAAATCTCAAGTGTTGACTTATCAGCAATCAGTTTAAAGTATAAACAGAAAAATAATGGAAATGTTACTCTTGGAATTTTATTTTTTTAAAACTGCCAAAACTTTTTCTAGGCCCTTCGAACTATGATAAATATATTACCAGTGGAGGTGGAGGTATGTATGGGATGGATCCACTAAAGTCTAAACCTACTGGGTAGGGTTGGGACCCGGAGTAAGGTTGGATCCCAGGATAGATCTGGGAACTCAGGAGACCCTCGGGTACAGGTTCAAGCTTTACCTCCAGGGAGGATGCAACTATAATAAATAGGAATGTAGGAGGTTGCAACTTTAATACAAAGGAATGCCTAAGAGGATGCAACTATAATAAGTATGAATAAATGAAGATGAAAAAAGGAATAAATTTAGTAATTTGAAGGATGTAACTATATTAAAAATAAATGGTGAAGGATACACCAATATTGAATGGTTCTTTTAAAGATGTGTTTTTTAGGAATTTATCCTACCTAAACGGGGATCCATATTCTCCTCCACTAACCCTGATTCGTCCGTCCTGTCGTCCATTCTTATTTCTCGCCGATTTCTCTACAATCGGCCATTTCCGGGGGAAATTTTCATCCTACATTTCAATTTCCGGCATAAACCCCTTCCTGTCCAAATTAGTTTACCATTTTTCTGAAATAAATTAATACACTAAATTTTTAATAATGGATGAAGAAAGAAGAAAATGTCTATGAATCGTCACAAACAAACAATACTTACGTAAAAAAAACTATAATTCACTGTAAATTTCGAGAGCCTAAACCATTAAAAAAAAACGATGTCTTACAAAAAATAATAATTATAATAATCTTATCTAGAATTTTCTTGACTAAATATGACTAGCCGCCAGTATGGACGTTGTAAACAAAATATTATTTCATTACATATTTCCGGTTCAAAATCAAAACCAGGGTTTTAATTTTCAATTATTTCAGTTCCACTGGCTTTGGAACTATGCCGAAAGGTCACAAGGCCAATAGGTCACCAGCTAGGCTACTAGGCCGAAAGGCCACTAGGTTACCATTCATCATCCTCAGAATCAGGGAATAAATCTCTCCAATCTATGGAATATCATATTAATTCAACTTTTTACCTGCCGACCCTCATCAACAAATTTTAGGTCTGCTTTAGGATTAAATGCGCAATTATTTAAGAAAATGTAACATTTTCTGTTTTTCGCTTCACACAGAACTACAAAATTCTTAATAATTGGCTTCTGATTGAACCCCTCTACCCCACCCCCCATATCACCCATTACCTCCATCTAACAAATCTAAAATTTATTTATGTATCTTTCTTACTTGGTTTATGATTTATTGATCTTGACATGGATATCCCTCCCTTTTCTGTGTCAGGAACAGAACCTTTCTCATGCTCAAGAGCGGTACTGGAGATATGTTCAGGAGTAGAACCTATTCCAGGAGTATTGGGCGGAGAACCTAGAATCTTGAATCCGCTCACAATCGGCGGAGAATCTTTCAGGAACCTTGAAGCCTTTAGCGGAGTTAGATTTCCCTGCTTTAATGATTTGGAGGAGCAAGGTTTAGGAGTGCGGTTGAATTTAAAAGAAAGGGGCGGAGATGGGTTGGGAGTGCGGTTGAATTTAGAAGAGAAGGACGGAGAAGTTTTAGGATTGCGGTTGAATTTAGAAGAGAAGGACTGAGATGGGTTTGGAGTGCGGTTGAATTTAGAGGAGAAGGACGGAGATGAGTTGGGAGTGCGGTTGAATTTAGAACAGAAGGACGGAGAAGTTTTAGGAGTGCGGTTCGATTTATAAGAGACGGACGGAGAAGATTTAGGAGTTTGAAATACTGCATGTTGAGGCCTAGGAAAACATAAGGGAGTTGACAGGGTATTCGGAAATGAACTGGGATTGAATTGGGCAGCAGAGGGAGTTGAACTAGACACAGGAGTAGATGAAGGAGATAGGTTTGGATATATAATGGGACTAGGAGTAGTTTCAGCTTGATTCTCCGGGATGGAACTATGACTAGGCGTAAATAAAGCTTGGTCGAGTAGGGTTGAGGTTGGTATAGGAGTAGAAGTATTGATGGGGGTTCCTGGGACCTGGTTGTGTAGGGTTGAGGTTGGTATAGGAGTAGAAGTATTGATGGGGGTTTCTGGGACCTGGTTGTGTAGGGTTGAGGTTGGTATAGGAGTAGAAGTATTGATGGGGGTTTCTGGGACCTGGTTGAGTAGGGTTGAGGTAGGTATAGGTGTAGAAGTATTGATGGGGGTTCCAGGGACCAACTGGTCCTGAGAACAGTCACGCAAACGTCCTTAAAAACGTATTCTCTACAAATCCTCATATTCTCATTTATGTTTTTCACTAAAAGTAGGCCAGAAAAATCTGCGAAAATTATTTTATTAAAAATTAAAAACGAATACAACGGAAAAAATTAGAAATGTTCATTATATATTGTAAAAGCCTGGTTTTTAGTTATAAGAAAATATGATTCTTTCCTACGTGTTTAAATTATAATTGCGCAATACGGATATATCGCAAACTTGTTGAATCTCGGATTTTACACTAGTCATTCTTAGTATGTTAAACGAGTAACATATGAATAAATAAACTTGTGAAAATATATTATCATTCTGAGTTATTGAGACTTCTATAACATACAGGATAAAGAAATATAGAAAACCCAATACATACCAGATAGAAGAGATCTAAACTGCGGCGTGGACTGCAAATCTGGAGACTCTAAATACAAAATATCTAAATATTTTTTATAATCCCCCCCCCTCACTTCTCACTCATTCATTGAAAACCTACCCCTTTATACTTGCAACCTATTTGTGTAAAACTTTGATATTTCAGACTTTACTTTGATATTTCATCTAGCAGAATATAATGTTTAAAATATCAAAGGTTGTTAAGATAAAGGATTAGAAAATTAGTGAGTGAGGAGACCAATTATTTTCTTCAAATTATAACCGTTGGATAAATGGATACATGGATACATGGAAACATGAATACCTAGATTAATGGATTATAGATTAATAAATAAATGGATACATGGAAACATGAATCATAGATTAATGGATTAATGGATTTGTGGATTGATGGATTAATAGAGTGATTGATTTATGGAATAATGGATTAATAGATTAATGGATTAATAGATTAATGGATTAATGGATTAATTGATTAATGAATAAATAAATTAATGAATTAATGGATTAATGAAGTAATGGATTAATGGATTAATTGATTAATGTATTAATGGATTAATTTTGATTAATGAATTAATGGTTTAATAGATTATCAAATTAACGAATTAATGAATAAAAATATTACCTAGCTGGACTTGAGGAACAAACTGAAAATGCTCCAGGGACGGATTCTGCTCCTGGCACGGGTTGTGATCCAGGAGGATCCAACCTGGTATTCTAGTTCGGTATATTCATAAACCATGGACTGGAGAAAGGGGCGCATACAGGGAGTTCGGGAAATAAGAACTGANCCCCCCCCCGGCCCCTGGAAAGCTAAAAAATGTTAAGCAGTAGGTAGTAGCCGCAAAATGGTTTGCGGCAAAATGCTTACTCGGAGGGGAAATAATAATAAGACTAATATTATTTTAAAAATTAAGATAGATCCATGGTTTCCGAAATACCCTTGAGCCGAAGTTTGTCTTATTAATCTTGTCGGCGGAGGAACCGCCGGCGGAAACCTGGACGTCACGAAGGGCGGAGAGAATGGCAGATGGTTTAACTGAAAAGGCGGAGGATGGTTGGATGGAGAAGGAGGTGGTGTTTGTTCCTGGGATGAGACGAAAAACTCCTGACTGTTGAGTGGACTCTGAGAGAAGGGGGAACATGGAACTGTCTGAATATCTAAATTAAAAAATTCTATTTGAGTCCCCTTTAAACCACCCTGTGAACCAAAGAAAAAAAGAAAATTTTTTTTAACATTAAAAACAATATTTAAGTCCCCTGAACCCTAAAAATAACATTTGAAATATAAGGAATCATAAGGAATTGGAATCTGCAAGAGACCCCATTGTGGGCCCCCCAGACCGCCCAGAAAGCAGGGTGCACTGCCCCACCCCTGTTCTAACTAGACCTTTAAATCCCCATCATCTAGTCCAAATCTAGAGAAATAAAGTAGATACATTCCAGTCAGTTGGCTAACCAATTAAAAACCATTGGTTGGTTGGTATCTGTCAACCCTTTAGGTGAAGAATATAGGTTACCGATGATTAAAGTGCTCCTGCCAGGTCCAACCACCTGTCCAGCAGCAGGTTGAGCTTACCCGCTCTCTTCAGAAGCACTTCCCTAGAGACATTGTCACCCCCTAAGATCCTAGCGAGGACTGTCGAACTGCTTCGGGTCGAATCGGTCATGAGTACTCCCAATCCTGAAGCTGACCTCTCATAGGCTACTGCCTGACAAGATACAACAACATGATGTTCCGAAAGGTGGCTAACTAACCCTTTATCAAGACAAAGTGGACACCACTTCGTTGTCGAGCCGTGGATGTTCGGGCGGCGGTTGCCTAGCCCCGCATCACCTGCTCTAAGCCTGTTCAGCAAGCCCCCTGCTTTGCTATCACACACGTGTGGCTGCAGATTGAACCAGACTTGAGGGGTTGGCATGCAGTTTAGAGACACAAACCGCCTCTTTTGCCTCAACACCCCTTGTATTGCTACCTCGGTTAGCCTCTTCTTCAACCTAGATTTGGGACCGTTAAAAGCTTCAAAACCCAAAACTGACAGTTTCTATAAACCTCCATGAAAACAATAAAAATAATACAGTCCCTATAAACCCTCCTGCACGACCCATCACCTAAAAAAAAACGGCTCTTAAAACCCTCTTTAACAAAAAAACTGATCTAACCTGGACCAATGGTAAAATCCAAAGAATGAAGCCTAGGGGTCCCAGGAACATTCTGGTCATACACACTGTCCCTACAGTAAAGAATAAAATGCCAGAAGTTAAATTTAGCATTTTTCGATTTAACAATGCAAAAATGTTTGTTAACAAGTTTCGTAGAAATTTGACTGAAAATAAAATATCAAAAACACTGATTTCTAAACTATATAAAATTCTGAATTTGATAAAGTCACTAAATAATACATTTATAAATTAGAATTAAATTCTCAAGAATTGTTAAAAGAATCAAACCGGAAAGGCAACATGTAAAAAAGATTAATCTAAGGTCGTATTTTGTGAACCAAATATAGTCAGTTGAACTAGCAACAACTGGCTCAACTATGACTCTGAAAATAACTAAGCTGCTAAAAGGGAGGTGGTCAATTTTGCCAAAGCGGCTTAATAAACGCGGTTTAACTAATTCTAGATATTCTTGAATTCCTATATTAGCACTTGAGATTAATATGAAAGGAATTTTTTTATTGCTATGATAACTATATATAAATAATAGTGCCAGCTCAAAGTACAAACATAAGAAATAAATCAAGCGAACCCGACGTGGAACCCCGAGACCACCTTTAGGGCAGGGTGCAGCGCATCAACATGCAGCATAGAGCCAGGATCCATTCAATTGCGGTTTCTCTTCCAAAGTGACTAGCGCATTTCTATTGCAGGAACCCACATAGTAAGAATTAGAAATGAACAATAGAAAAATGAGAATGTCTCCCACATTAATGATTGGATCAAGGTTTTTAGGTTACCGATGTAAATCAGACATTGCCATCTTTCAATAGATGGTCACTTACAAATAGATTGTTAAGTACAATAGATGGCAACGTAGTATTTGTACACTCTCAGTACAGCTGTATTTTTACATCACAAGTGTCAACTCAGTTTTTGTGTCTGACAAAATTATTAATAATTTAATAATTATAGAATAAAGAGCTTACAGTGAAAAAATCTCTGTTGCCACCTATTGTACTTGATAATCTATTTGGTCACTTATAATTGCGCTTACAGAGAACAGACCCATTAACACGTGTAAATATTTTACTCTGTAACTAACCTGCTATTTTCAGTGGATATGTAACCTTGACTGTTAATTTCCATTTCTTAAAATCTGAAAATATTTATTTCAAACAATAACAATAAAAACAAACTAAATATGGCGGTAAATAAACAGCTGATTTACAGTAAAATCTACTCTTCAAGAACTTTCCTTAAAAAGAACCTATTTAAATAACATTATGTTTGATTTGTAAAATATGCCGAAATATAGATGCTTTTTTTAATTATTACTCAACTGTGTAAGTGAATGTAACGGTGTACACTGAAACATATCAAGAATAATAATAAAAAATGGTGTCTGTAACAATTGAAAATTTTCAAAAATAACAGATTTTTTCACTAATTTTAGATTGGATTTGATTCCGGTATCAAATCCATCCCAGTAGTTCAGTCTCAATCCTGGAGAAGGTTTCCTTGGTCTCTTTTTATCCTGGAGATGGTCTGAAGTATCTTGTCTTGGAGATTGTAATTCTTGACAAGGTTCTTCAGGTATATTCTACACCTAGAGATTGTGAAATAACAATCTACTCCAAGAGATCTAGAGAATGTTCTGAAGAAGTTTCTTCAGGTATATTCTACACCTAGAGATAGTGAGATATCCATCTACTCCAAGAGATCTAGATGGAAGAGTATGATTCTACTCCTTCAGTAGAATTGATGATCTAGGATTCTGAAAATCAACCAGGATCTCATACCTAAAATTGTAAATATAATTATATCCATGGATAATACGCCGTGAGATAGGTCGGATACTTAATCTTGAGATTCAGAACACATAAGTTCCCACTTCAGAAACTTGAACCTACAAATATGATATTTCGACTCAGTGTTCTGTAGTGGGGGGAAGATCAAAACAATAGAATACCCCCGGGAGTCATTTCATTCTCTGTAAGGGTTCGACATTCAACAACTTGTGGAACGAAAAACGTACATTTTAATTGAAGTACTTAACGTATCCTTGGTTCACAAACCATCGAATTTTTATTGCTTAAACTAAAATATAACAATACCAGGACCTTACTTACCTTTGTTCTTTAATTTCCTTCAACGCAATGAACGTTCTTTAATTTCCTCCAACGCAATGCATGTCATCTAACCTGACTATCTATAACTAGGAGGGAGGTGCCATTTTTTTCTACATGGATTAAATTAAAGATTATGCTCCGGGTTTAATACAAGTTATGCAACGAAGATAAAAAATATTCTAGAAACATCTTTTTTAAATTGTATCTTAATATTAATTCAATGAGAGGAAATCATGGAATTAAGAATTTTGCGAATTCACAACAAAAAATTTAAAATTAGATGTTTGCATTTATGAATTTTCTTGCGATTTGTTCTCGTTGATGTTCTTGAAAACATGAAATGGAAAATAAATCGACATTTATTGAGATTTCGTCATGTAAACATTCTTTTTCGCCATCTTTTGCAATCGGACCGGTATGAATAATTAAGATTGAAAAATGTCTAGAATATTTTTTTATCAATACCATTCAATATCTTAACATTAATTTATCAAATGAAACAATATTATTAAGTGTAAAATGTAACTAATTTTATAGAATGTAAATGAATTGAACTAAATTAACTAAAGTAATAAACAAAAATTTAGTATGAAGTATAAAAATAAAAAAAATTCATGTAATGTTTGGCACCATTTGTCGAATTCATTATGTCGGTATGAAAAGTATAAAATAATAAATGGAGATCAAAATGAGATTTTTTGTTGCTTCTTCATACAGCAAAGCTCCAGATAGAGAACATATCAATCGAAATGTAGAAAAATAGAGTTAGTAAACAACGACCAATTGATTTTAATATGCGTTTGAAACATTAAGATTGAAACAGGAGAAAATTCCGAAAAATCCGCAAAAAGTGTCGGAAAGTTGCGGAATTTTCTCCTTTTCAATAATGAGTACATTTATTGCCACGAGTATAATTGTGCAGAGAGAGATAGTACAGGGTGTGCAATGAGGATCTACATCTACTCCAGCTCCGGTTTAATCCTCCTCACCCTGTAACCGAACTGCTGGGGGTCTCTAGCTAGTAGAGACGCTTCTCGAATGAGTGAAGGGAGTGAACTCCTCCCTCGTATTGGGAGGAGGGAGTTCTTCGTTCGAACTTGAGCTCTCCGGAGTACATCATGGATCGGAGGATTGAGAGACTCCGAGCTCCGATATCCTGACAGCCGTGTTGCAACCCTCTGAAAATATTAAAAATAAGAAAATATATTTTTAAATAAAGATTTTTCTAGTCAGGACTATATCGTTACTAATCTAGGCGAGTTGCGTCGTTTTACAAAATATCTTTGAAATCTCAATTGCCTCAGCTACAGTTTTGTGCTAACTTGCTAAGCAAAAGCCAAGAACAATGTCATTAACATGTATGAAAATAGGTAATCTTAAATCTATAAATATCCAAAATATTTTCAACTCTTGGCGAGACTAATACTCGAAATGATGAGAATCGGTTCCCTTACTTTTATTCTCAAACTTAAAATCCTAACCACATTTTCAGTACAGCAGTAAAGTGAAAATATTTACAGTCACAGTTTGTGAAAATGGTTCTTTTTACTAGAATTAGATTAGATCCTAACATATCCCTTCTCCATGTACCTGGCTAGATAGAGTAGCTATCTGAGGACAGGTCCCTTGTCTACAATAGACCCGGATACACCCTGAACCCCAACCTATCCCTACTCCATGTACCTGGATAGATAGGGTAGATATCTGGGGACGGATCCCTTGTATACAATAGACCTAGATGCACCCGAAACCCCAACCTAACCCTACTCCATGTACCTGGCTAGATAGGGTAGATATCTGAGGACAGATCCCTTGTCTACAATGGACCCGGATACACCCTGAGCAACCTTCACATTATCACTCTCCTTGTGGAAATACCTAAACACAATCATTTGTCAAAAATATTTTAAAGGGTACCATTGAAAATCGGACATGTATCTCTTTTTAAATCAAGGGTTACTTTAAACTACGTTATAATATATCCAAGAAAATGTAAAATGTTCGAACCTCTCCATGGCAGCTGATCCTCCACCCTTCTGTTCCATTGCCTCAAGGCTTCCCATTCCACGATACTTCTTTAGCCTTACTCCATCCTATATAGGAAACCGGTATAAATGAATATTTATAATAAACAAGGGGAAATTTATTCTTTTCAGAAGTCCCACCCTCTTGTAAAATGTTTATTAAGTTTTCTTAGAGTGAATTGGTAAAATGTTTGATTGAGATGATACTAGTACGGATATCTAGTAGAAAAATCTAGGACGAATATCAAGGACGGATTCAAGGACGGATTCAAGGACGGATTCAAGGACGGATGTCTAGTACGGATATCTAGGACGGATATCAAGACGGATATCTAGGACAGATATCTAGTACGGATATCTTGCACGGATATCTATAAAGATGTCTAGTACGGATATCTAGGACGGATATCAAGGACAGATATCTAGGACAGATATCTAGTACATATATCTAGTGCGAATATATAGGACGGATATCTAGGACGGATATCTGGGACAGATATGTAGAACACACATATCTAGGACGAACAGACAGAAACCGAGGACGGATATCTAGGGCGGATACCTAGTACGGGTATCTAGGACGGATATCTGAGACAGATATCTAGAACACACATATCTAGGACGAACAGACAGAAACCGAGGACGGATATCTAGGGCGGATAACTAGGACGGATATCTAGTACGTATATCTAGGACGATATCTGGGACAGATATCTAGAACACACATATCTAGGACGAACAGACAGAAACCGAGGACAGATATCTAGGGCGGATATCAAGGACGGATATTTAGGACAGATATCTAGGGCAGATATCTAGGATGGATGTCTAAGATGGATATCTAGGATGGATATCCAGGATGGATATCTAGGATGGATATCTAGGATGAATATCTAGAACACACATATCTAGGACGAACAATTAGGACAAAAACCGAGGACGGATATCTAGGGCGGTCATCAAGGACGGATATTTAGGACGGATATCAAAGATGGATATCTAGGATGAATATCTAGGACGGATATCTGGGACGGATATTTAGAAACAAATATCCAGGACGAACACTTAGGACAAAAACCAAGGACGGATATCTAGGACGAATATCTAGGACGTATATCTAGGACGGATACCTGGTAGAAATAATCTCCAGGTGCTTCAGTAGTACCAGCCAGTAAACTACCCATCATCACAGAACTAGCACCCAGAGACAACGCCTAGAAAACAAATACAATTTACAGGAACTACTAACTTGCATCAAATTCTTATTTTCTAGTCTTGCAACCTGATGTCGTAGACATTTGAAATTCCAAACTCAGAATTTCGCAAGATTAATAAGTCACGGGCAGCAGTAGTACATTTGAATTTACGAGCCGGGTCAACCTTTTCGGTCCAAGTTTGTACTGTATCGCCCGGACATTGGTTAAATAAAGCAAACACTCGATAGTACTAAACGGTGCAACAAGGTTGACTCGGTCAGAGTTTTGTTTGAATTTACTTTTAGTAAAAGCTCAGAGGTGCGTGAAGTCAACGTTTGAATAAAGATTTTTAAGATGTATAGATTACAAAATTAAGAGTTGGAGTTAAAATATTATCGAAAAACATTTTCTATTCTTTTTTAATAATTTTTACCTTCATAATATGACCAACAGATTGAACTCCTCCATCTGCTATCACAGGAACTCCAAACCGTCGGGCGTACTCCGCAACCTTAATATAATTCATTTTAAAGGGAACCTTTGTTGACAACCTCTTTTATAATTCGAAATAATAATATCTACGTTCTAAGAGTCGCAGAAAAATCTGTCCTCGATAAATAGTCAAAGGTTTAATCGGTTCCGCTGTAATTCGGACATTGGCAGCTTTGCGTAGAGGGTAGCTTCGCGGAATGTATCTACGCGAAATTAAAACTGTACTTTCAAACACCCGCTCTTTGAATAAATAAATAAATAAATAAAATGGTCAGGATTAAGCTCTCATCTAACCGCACCACCAGCTTGGTTGACAGGGCTTATTACTAAGCAAAATCTTGACTTAAAAACAGCGTTTCGGATCCGGATCCGGATCATTTGGTCGGATCCGGATCCGTATCAGGAAACGTTGATATGGATCCGGGTAGCGCCAAAAATTAACCAAAACCATGGAATAAATAAATCAAAATGGTTCGTAAATGTATTATTTACATAACGAAAATTTTTCAAAATTATCTTTAATAATTTAATGTTTACATTTATATAATAGTAATGACGACATTTTTAACTTTAGGATTACTCAGCGGCAAATGCTCACATGGCATCCGGATCCGGATCCGTATCAGTCAGGATCCGGATCCATCATCACGGATGCGGATCCGCGGATCCGGATCCGCATCAAAATGATACGGATCCGAAACACTGCTTAAAAATAGCATCATCGCTTGCTGTTTTGTTGAATATTCTAAACTTATTTAAATATATTGTAAATGAAGATTTTCCACAAAAATATCTAAATATATTTTTATCATATGAGTCGGAAACTTTTGAACAAAGGTTTTGATATTATATTTGCTATTCATCAACAGGGAATGATCATTTTTAATTGAAGCCCCTATTTTATTTTTCCTGTACATCATCCCTTGAAAGATCTCCAATTGAAGTATAAGAACTGTACCTTGTATACAGCTGTACCCTGAGGTCTGCCCACTGCCATAACCTCCTGGGTGATACAGATACTTCCACTCCCCATCCCAACCCTTAACCCGTCAACTCCAGCATCTATCAGGTTCTTAGCTTGGGAGGCAGTTACTACATTCCCTCCAATAATCTAGATACAAGAGATAGGTAATATTTATTAACAGATAGATGGATAGATAATTCCAACCCAACCCAACTTGGATACATTGAAGGTAAGGTAATGTAATGCCATAAGAAAATATTGTATAATGCAGTGGTTGTTTGTCAACAAGCGCATCCGATATTGGACTTAAACCAGAACAATAAAGTAAACCCAGTATTTAAGATAGGGAATAAATGGACAAACAAACAGACAGAAAAGTGAAATAAATATAAATAGATCTACATTAAAAACAATAGAGCCCCCACCCTCCCCCCTCCAACTCCCTTCGTTGTCTACCCTATTCCTTCACCTCTTGATAATATTGTTTCGAAATTAACCTAATTAGATTGTTTGTAAACAGACTGATAAACCAGTTTTAGCACTGAAACTTTGTTTAACGAATTCTAATTTGTACAGTGAATAATTTCTCTTATGGCCCACCTTTGGATAGATCGATGGAATTTAACCCTCATAATCATAATCCAATGGATAATATTGATCTTCAGATCGAGTTTTATTTTTAGATAGGTTTATAGTTCGATCTTGAGATATATAGCTATACCTTAAGATAGATTGATAGTTCGATTTTAAGATAGATAGTTAAACCTTGGGACAGATTAATAGTTTGATCTTTCGCTAGATATAGTTCTTCCTTAGGACAGATTGATAGTTCAATCTAAAGCTATATTTAAGTTAAATCTTTAAATATATAAGATAGTTGATAGTTCGATCTTAAGCTATATTGTTAGTTTAATCTTCAAATATATAAGATAGTTGATAGTTCGATCTGTATATATATATATATAATGTTTGATCTTTAGATAGATAGATTGTTTGCTATATATAAACTGTTTGATAATTTGCTCTATAAATGAATAAATGGAATCCTAACCTGCATATTTGGATATTTTCCTTGATACAACGGATCATATTAATCTTAAGATAGATAGATAGATAGTATCATTACCTGCATATTTGGATTTTTTCCTTGATACAACGGATCATATTAATCTTAAGATAGATAGATAGAAAGTACCATTACCTGCATATTAGTATATTTCTCCTTGATACAACGGATCATATTAATCTTAAGATAGATAGATAGATAGTATCATTACCTGCATATTTGGATTTTTTCCTTGATACAACGGATCATATTAATCTTAAGATAGATAGATAGAAAGTACCATTACCNATAGACACATCTTTACCCCTTTCGTATATCCCTAGATATATAGTTTGTTGATCTACTCCAGCCTGGACCAGAAGATCAAGACAGGTCTTATTATCATTCCGTTTGAGTAATACAGCATTGTTCAAACTAAGTTATGCTTGAAATTATGTTAGTTCAAGAATCAACTTGTATTTGAAAAGCTTCTGGAATGTTCCCCTTCTTAAATCGATGATGGTTTGACAGTTAATCCACTAACCGTCCACAATATGGCCGTCAATTGTGTGTAAGAAGGGGTCAGAACTACTGCGCCTAGACTGAAGGGGGGGGAGTAGTGGGTTCCGGTCATCTAATAGAGATTATTGTTGGCAAGTTGGCGTATTTGTGGTTAATAGTGCGTTAGACTGCTCGAGTAAAATTAATTTGTAATAGAGGGGTGCCGGTGATGGCTGAAGTTGTCGAAAATTTTGTAAATAAAAATACAAAATCGTGAATTGTAAAACTTACCTAGTAGAAATTGCTGCAGCGCAGAGCAGCTGATTATTCTCATCTTTGCTGGCGTGGGGGAATTCACGGGATTTCTTCAAATCTGTTCTTGCAATCAGAGCAACCAATTCTCCTAAATATATATCTATATAAATCTGTTCTTGCAATCAGAGCAACCAATTCTCCTAAATATATATCTATATAAATCTGTTCTAGCAATCAGAGCAACCAATTCTCCTAAATATATATCTATATAAATCTGTTCTAGCAATCAGAGCAACCAATTCTCCTAAATATACATCACCTTATCTTTTTCATATTGGATTATCTCTAAGCTTAAAACACCAAAATACGAACATAATAATCAAAAAACCTAGTAATTTCTCCATACAATTCTTTAGGATGATTTATTCCTTTTAATTTGTTTTGTCTCAAAAATAGCTATTTAGAGCTACAAACGATTCTAAAATCGCTATTTAGAGCTACAAACGATTCTAGATATTTAGAGCTACAAACGATTCTAGAATCGGTATTTAGAGCTAAAAACGATTCAATTTTATGCGGGACACCCAATTTTCATTTCTAAATTGCCACAAACTCTAATTTTCACATCCCTTTATTTTTTGCAACCATGGTGGTGTAGATGTTTCAACCTTTCGTTTATTTGATCTAAAAGGATTCATATTTAGAATTATCAAAGGTCTACGACATCAGGTTTCAATGGTGTAAGGATAATAGAAAATTATTGTGTGATAAATGTCCAGTTTCTTAGGTTAATTAAATAACATTTTCTGAAGGGACCGCTAAATCAACAGTTAAATTAATTTCAAGTAACACTCCATATTTAAAATTGCAGGCAAAGCAAAGTTAAGGAAGGAAATTGCCAGAATTACTTTTTAGAGAAAGAAAACGACACTTAACAAAAACCTACCGTCATCGTTGACAATGGGAAGTTTTCCCTTCTTAGAGGTTTCTAGAATCCTGTTTGCCTCGCGTAGGGTTATGCCGGCCGTTGCAGTCACCAGGTCCTTCTTGCCGGTCATTATCTCACTGAAAAACAAACAGAATCAAATAATTTTCATAAAACATTTTTTCCTTTCTTCCTTTATTTTTTCCCCGCATTTACAACTCGATTGTAAATTTTAGGAATTTAATATTTTCAGAACTATAGGGTATTTTTTTATTTCATTGCCAAATTTTTCAATTAATTATTTGAAGATTATTTACAGGGCAGGAGACGACATTTAATGTACAGACTCATCCTTTGTGGGTATCCCTTTCATTGTAGTTATTTACGGAGATTAAGGAAAATTATTGAAAAAAGTAAATCCCTGTCTTTCTGCTTGATATAAAAAAGATTATTTATCAAATATTGTAATAAAAAAATCTATTATTAGCATTATAAAGACACGAATCCTAATAATAAAAATAATAAGGATTAGTGTCAATACTTCAAAGCATGTTTACTTAGCCATACAAGACAGTGTTAGAGGTGGGGGGGGAGGAAATTTAAAAAAAAAGCTGGACCATTTTATGGACAGGATTACCCACGATGAACCTAATTCTCTTCCAATACATCAATTTGAAGTCTAGTTATGGTCTTGTCTTAAATGAGTAAAAGTGAACTTCTAAAGCTATTAGGAATTTTGAACGTACGGAACTGAATAAACTCTGTTTACTCATATCTTAAACTCTCATGTTTTGTGGGTACCTCTGTACTAGTTTCATCCCTTTTTACTTTGTTTGCCATTATATTTTTTGACACTGCCTAAATTGTTTAAATCTTGACGGATTTTGAATGAAAAAGTGATATGTTCATTTCATCATTAAAATGTAAAATTTGAGTAAGCGTTAATAAAAACTGTCGGATACAAAATATTCATTCTTTTGAACACATATTTTGCGAGAGTTTAAATAATAAAAATCTTAAACCTACCCGAGTTTAGTTTTCTGGGCCTCTTCTCCTTTCTCGATAATAAAATCAATGTCCCTGGATCAAATTATATTCAAGACTTCGTCTCGTATGGGTGTGGGGGAAGGGGGGATGAAAAACTCTTGAAATACAGGGTGTCCCACGAAATGGTGAATAGTTTAAAATGCCTTCTTCCATAATATGTCAAATTGTTTCGTTACCACAGAGAACAATAATAAATATTCCATAGCACTAAAGTTTTCTAAAACCAAATAAACTGCAAAAAGTCTTTAATATCTATACCGTATATGGAAGAAGACATGCAAAACTGTTCACCAACTGTCATGTTTCGTGGGACAACCTGTACGTACTGCGGAAAAGTCAATCTCCCAAAAGTTTAAAATTAGAATGAATATATGTCTGCTGGTGACTATACCGACCCCCCACCTTTCTCCTTCTCACTATAAATATACATATTATAATATCTTGAATATATGTCTGCTGGTGACTATACCACCCCCCCCCCCTTCTCACTATATATACATATTAGAATATCTTGAATATATGCCTGCTGGTGACTATACCGACCAGGACCGATCCCATCCGTCCTGACTCTGTGACAGGTATACCAGTAAATCCATGACTTCTCTTCACGTTCACAACATCTCCAACCTGGATCAACAGTTGGAAAATAAAATGTGGATTAGATTGAACTAAGTTTAGCTATTGGTTCAAGCTCAAGAGTGCTGTAGAAGTTTATGTCTTCTGTTCAGTAAATGATATCTCGCTCTGCATTCACCCTTTTCCAACCAGTTTAGATTCAGCAGTTGTGTCATCTTTCGTAAAAAAAACAGTACAAGGTGTCCCAATAAACATGGGAATTCAGTGACGAATTAGATATCGTCTTTTAAAATAATTCTTTGATTCAGTATAGTGATACCTACTACGGAAGCTGTAATCTGTTAGAGTTTCGTCTGCTATGTTCACATTTTGTTTGTATATGTTTTGACTGCATACGGTTGTACTTAGTAAAACAAGAAAATTACAGTATACAAACAGAGTAAACTTGCCCGTCTTCACTATACATCTTGCGGAGACATTATAGACACATCTTTACCCCTTTCCATAAAATAAACTCTAGCAGACATGATAATATTATGGCTTTTGAAATCAGGTATTACATTGCTTATTCATAAAAAAGACTATATCAAATTCGTCCCTGAATTCCCATGTTTTTTGGGACACTCTGTATGAAGGGACTGCACACAACTCTAATTTCTCATCCCTAAATTATTGCAACCTGAAATTGTAATTCTTCTTTTTTCCCCTTCAAATTTTGATTGGTCAAATTAAATATCAAATGTTTAAGATCTCATTAGAGTATGCGAGTTATCAATTCCTTTCCTGTATCCATAACCCCTCGACACCTGATAATTTGTTCAAAAAATTATATTGTTGGACTAACTAAAACTGCAGAAAAAATGCTTGAAAAAACAAAACAAATTGAAAAGGGAAAGTAGGATGAAGCAACTTTGAGCAAGAAGAATTAATGTTGAAGAAAATTACCGAAGAAAGGAAGGAAGGTGTTATAAAGAGAAAACATGGAACAGAAAAAAGTCAAAGGAAGGAAGGAGGTGTTATAAAGAGAAAACAATAAAAAGAAAAGTTAAAGAAAGGAAGGAAGGAAGGTGTTATAAAGAGAAAACAAGGAAAAGAAATAAGTCAAAGGAAGGAAGGAAGGAAGGTGTTATAAAGAGAAAACAAGGAAAAGAAAAAAGTCAAAGAAAGGAAGGAAGAAAGGTGTTATAAATAGAAAACAAGGAAAAGAAAGTTAAAAAAAGGAAGGAAGGAAGGTGTTTTAAATAGAAAACGAGGAAAAGAAAAAAGTCAAAGAAAGAAGGAAGGAAGGTGTTATAAATAGAAAACAAGGAAAAGAAAAAAGTCAAAGAAAGGAAGGAAGGGGTTAGTAAGACAAAACAAGGAAAAGAAAGAAGTCAAGGGAGGAAGGAAGGTGTTATAAAGAGAAAACAAGGAAAAGAAGAAAGTCAAAGGAAGGAAGGAAGGTGTTAATAAGACAAAAAAAGGAAAAGAAAAAAGTAAAAGGAAGGAAGGAAGGAAAGTGTTAATAAGACAAAACAAGGAAAAGAAAAAAGTAAAAGGAAGGAAGGAAAGTGTTAATAAGACAAAACAAGGAAAAGAAAAAAGTCAAAGGAAGGGAGGAAAGTGTTAATAAGACAAAACAAGGAAATGAAAAAAGTCAAAGGAAGGAAGGAAAGTGTTAATAAGACAAAACAAGGAAAAGAAAAAAGTCAAAGGAAGGAAGAAAGGAAAGTGTTAATAAGACAAAACAAGGAAAAGAAAAAAGTCAAAGGGAGAAAGAAAGGAAGGTGTTATAAAGAGAAAACAAGGAACAGAAAAAAGTCAAAGGAAGAAAGGAAGGTGTTATAAAGAGAAAACAAGGAAAAGAAAAAAGTCAAAGGAAGGAAGAAAGGAAGGTGTTAAAGAGAAAACAAGGAAAAGAAGAAAGTCAAAGGAAGGAAGAAAAATGAAAAGATGCACAATGAGTTAAAAGTAAACCGAAAAAGCGTTGAAAAGAATAAAGACGTAGAAAATGAATAATAAAGAATATGGAAAAAGAAAAAAAAGAAATGGGAAAGGAAAGAAAAGATAGGAAAGTGGAAAAAAGGGGACAGATAATAAAATATTGCTCACCGTATGTTCTGGACTGAGAGTTATAGGATCCAGAACAAAACCATGCTGATACTTCTTCACCTTCTGAACCTGGTGGGCCTAGAACAGGTTTTAGTTAAACTAAACGAATTCCATAAGCTTAAAGTTACAGTTTGCTATTTTTGCTGACTTTAAAAAAAGTCGTTTCATTTCAGAGGCGTAGTCACGAGGGGCTATGGGGGCTTAGACCCCCCCCCTGGACCAGTGAAATCTATGGATTTTAGGAAGTTTTCAGGACCTAACGGGTGCTGAGCCCATCCCCCAGAAGAAAAAAAATTTAAGCCCCCACTGGACTAATTCCCGACTACGCCCCTGAGTTTCATGGTTTCTTGATATAAGTCCTTAAATAAAAGGGTACCTGGTATTCTGGGGTGCAATTATGATGAATAACCCCAATACCGCCGCCCAACGCCATTGCAATCGCCATGCTTGCCTCTGTAACGGTGTCCATGGGAGAGGAAACTAGAGGGGACCGAATCGTGATTTTCTATAACGAATAATTATTACAAAATAATTTTCACAGGATTTAAAAATCTCTTTCAAATAAAGGGAAATCTAGGACTGTAAATAAATTCTAGGACAGTAAATCAATTCTAGGACAGTAAATCAATTCTAGGAAAGTAAATCAATTCTATAACAGTAAATCAATTCTAGGACAGTAAATCAATTCTAGGACAGTAATTCAATTCTATAACAGGAAATCAATTCTAGGACAGTAAATCAATTTTAGGAAAGTAAATCAATTCTATAACAGTAAATCAATTCTAGGACAGTAAATCAATTCTAGGACAGTAAATCAATTCTATAACAGTAAATCAATTCTATAACAGGAAATCAATTCTAGGACAGTAAATTAATTCTATAACAGTAAATCAATTCTAGGACAGTAAATCAATTCTTTAACAGTAAATCAATTCTATAACAAGAAATCTATTCTAGGACAGTAAATCAATTCTATAACAGTAAATCAATTCTAGGACAGTAAATCAATTCTAGGAAAGTAAATCAATTCTATAACAGTAAATCAATTCTAGGACAGTAAATCAATTCTATAACAGTAAATCAATTCTAGGACAGCAAATCAATTCTATAACAGTAAATCAATTCTAGGACAGTAAATCAATTCTATAACAGTAAATCAATTCTAGGACAGTAAATCAATTCTAGGATAACAGTAAATCAATTCTAGGACAGCAAATCAATTCTATAACAGTAAATCAATTCTAGGACAGTAAATCAATTCTAAGACAGTAAATCAATTTAAGACATTAAATCGATTCTAGGACAGTAAATCAATTCTAAGACAGTAAATTAATTCCAGGTCAGTAAATCAATTCTAGGACAGTAAATCAATTCTAGGACAGTAAACAATTTTAGGTCAGTAAATCAGTTCTCGGACAGTAAATCGATTCAAGGACAGTAAATCGATTCTAGGAGAGTAAATCGAATCTAGGACAGTACATAAGTTCTAGGACAGTAAATCAGTTCTGTGACAGTAAATCAATTCTAGGACAGTAAATTAATTTTAGGACAGTAAATCAGTTCTTGGACAGTGAATCGATTCAAGGACAGTAAATCAGTTCTAGGACATTAAATCAATTCTAAGACAGTAAATCAATTTAAGACATTAAATTGATTCTAGGACAGTAAATCAATTCTAAGACAGTAAATCAGTTCTGTGACAATAAATCAATTCTAGGGCAGTAAATCAATTCTAGGGCAGTAAATCAATTCTAGGACAGTAAATCAGTTCTGTGACAGTAAATCAATTTTAGGACAGTGAATCAATTTTTGGATAGTGAATAAATTTTAGGACAGAAAATCAAGTGTTGGCAGTTTATCAATTTAAAATTAGTGAGTCAATATTAGGACAGGAAATCTATTTTAGTACCCGAAACCAATTTTAAGACATGAAATCAATTCTAGATCAGTTTAACAATTAAAGGACATGCAATCATTTGAAAGACAGGAAATCCTTGTTCAGGGCAGGAAACTGTTTTTACCTTAGTGAAAGCTGATGTAAGATCACACTCCCCCGGCAGGAAATCAATATATCCGGGTAGAATAATGAAGTCATTGTAGGTCAACCCATCCCCACCAGACATCAGCTGAGCCCCAGTTATACCATCTTCTGGGACATATGTAGTTCCTATTGGAGTACAGAGTACATAGAGTACACACAGTATACAGTTAATAAAGTACAAGGCTATACCATATTCTAGGCCATATGAAGTCAATACAGGACTACATAGCAAACATAGGACACACTTTACAAAGTACATGAAGTACTGTACATAAATACGCGGTTATAGTTCTTCTTCTGGCACATATTTAGTTTAGTACATAACACAAAGTAAATAAAGTACATAGTTTAATAGTACATAAAGAACATAGTCCGTAAAAAACGAAGTACACAGAGTACACAACATAAAGAGTACACAGTACATAATATAGCTATACAATCTACTGGGGACATGTATAATTCCTAAACGAGTATATAAAACACACTAAACAGCGTACATACAGTTCACAGTACAAAAAGTACGTAAATATGTCATCTTCTGACATGTAAACCTTAAGGAGTACAAGTACAAAATACATATCGTAAACAGTTATACCATATTCCGGGACTTAGGTTCCTATAGGATTACCGAGTACACACAGTAATGTGTCATGAATTGTCTTAATTCCTAAAAGAATTCTTTTATGCTTTTTAGAATTGATTCCAGAAAATTGTTTCAACTTCGCCAAAATTTTTGTCCATTCGCTATGAAAATATAAACCGAAAAATAAAGCAAAATTTAAAATCGAAAACTTTAATAAGTATTTTATTTGCTTCAAACTTTTATTATATTTGTCCATCTTCAAAGATTTTTTTCCGGGTTTAAAAGTGTAAAAATTTTTATTTTTTGAAACACTCCTTTAATCTGAATAAAAATATCCCAGTTTTCGTGATTATTCAGCAATTTAAAGACACGGTTTAAATAATCCTAGTACAAAATCTTAAGACAAGCAATTTCTATCTATATATAAATTTAGCTTGTCTGTCTGTGTGTCTGTTTGTTTGTATCCCAATAACGTCAAAATGGCTGAACCGATCGGGCCCAAATTTTTTGTGGGACATTACGTGACCAGAGGGAAGGTTTATAAATGATAAAAATTTAAAAAAATGTGTTTTAAAGGTTTTAATTTTGTAAAAAGTTTAAATTCTTGAAAATCCGCGAATTTTTTTTTAAAAATCCGCAAAATTTGTTTCTTCCTTTTATAAAATGTAAACAAAAAGAACATGTTCACAATTTAAATAGAAGATGGGCGAGAAGCGCCCTAAAAGCCTAGTAATTCAAAAATAATTAGTTGCATTTTAAGTACTTACAAAAGTAAGTGTTTTTATTTTGTAACTGTAAACCATAATGTTGTAAATCATAATCTTTATAATCTACTGCGTTCAAAATATTTTAGATACTGTAAATAAGCCGTAGAACATAATACCGCCTTTAGACAACAATTTTTAAATACTTTTTTTTAATGAATTTATGGAAATCAAAATACATAAGTATCGAAACAGAAAATGAGTATAAACGGCGAAGAAATTCTATTAATATTAAAGTGAACTTGACGAAGGCGACGAAAACGAAAGAAAAAATGTAAGGCGTCGAAATACTACAAGGAGTATGGAATAGAAGGGAGATATAAATGACGCGGCCCGCCCTACCATATGATTATACATGCTTTGCAGACGGTACTCCATCTGTATAAAAAAATGTTGTCTGTTATAACATATTCTGAATATTTCTCATACAAATGGAGTACCGCCAACAAAGCATGCATAATCATATGTAAGGCGGGCCGCGTCAGTTTTATCTCCCTTCTATTTCATACTCCTTGAAATACTAACAATGGCACAAAATAAAAAACATACCAGCGAAATACTAAAAAATTTTTTAAAAAACTTAACTAGCTCCGAGGAAAAAGGCGAAGAAATACCGGAAACGACGATAATATAAAAAAGCACAATGTTAAAAAAAATGGGAAACTAACCTCCGCAGATCAGGAAGTCGGACGGGTTCTCTTTGACGGGATTCATATTACTGGGGTAGAGCGGAGTCAGACCTCTGCTCTTAAGCTTCGCCAGACTTATATTACAATGATCATCCTCCATTGTGCGTGCAAATTATCTGCAACATTGCATAAATATATTCATCGTTGTTTTAGCAAAATTTGAATCAGCATCTAGATAAAAACTGCGCAGCAAAAGCTTTTCTAAAGATTGCAAAATATCCTTCTATCGTTAAAAAAACAATTAAGTACACGAATTAAACTCTACAACACAAAATAATGTACAGTGTACACTGTACGTTGTAACACTGTACACTGTACGGTGTAACGCTGTACACTGTACATATTTGTTGAACAATCTAATTAGAAGATATTACGGAAGCCTGACAAGGCACGCAAAGAAGGGATTACGTTTGAATCAATATGGTTCAAGGCTATATAAAACACAGACAAGAAAACTATGGACAGTTGTTAACAATCAATATTGCGTCAGTTTTAAGCTTTTTCGCACATTTTCTTTCTGTTTTCTCCCTTTTAAAAACATTTTCATGGTTTCCGTCAGTTTAAATTAGATACCACTATCTAGTTTCCGCTAGTTTCGTCAGTTTAAATTAGATACCACTAGTTAGTTTCCGCTATTTTCCGTCAGATTAAATTAGATACCACTAGTAAGTTTCCGCTAGTTTCCGTCAGTTTAAATTAGATGTCACTATCTAGTTTCCGCTAGTTTCCGTCATTCAGGTTTTGCTAGGCTTATTTTTCTATCGGCTCTCCTACTATTTTAGTTTCCATTCTTTAAATTTAAACAATTTCCGAACTTTTTCTTTCAGATCTCCTGCTTTTTTCTGCATGTTACCGTATTGCCTGCTTCTAGACTCCAGTTCTCAAACTTTCCGGTCGTTTCCGCTTTTCCACAGTTTCCGCTTACATCCGTCGTTTTCGGACCAACAGTCATCAATTAAGTCAGCATTAGTAACATTCAGCATTTCCAAGAAAATTATCTCTATTTTAAAAGACTTATCTTGAACATCATCTTCACTGATATACACTACACTGGTTCTCAACCATCTCCAATTTTCTCCGATCTAAAAATAATATTAAAAAAATAACCAGTAGGAAACCTAGGAACAAAAAAATGGCTATAAAAGATTAAAGCCTAATTAGAAAACAGTGTTCGATATCCTAAATAAATGTATAATTGATTTACAAAATGACGATTAAAAAGTTATAAACAGAGAAAGGGGAAAAGTGAGAAAAAAATAAAATCAGAATATGAGAGAAAACAAGACAAAAGAGAGATAAAAAGACAATAAAAAAAATAAAAAAGGAAAGATTGCTAGGCGTATATAAAAAAGAAATGGAAAAAAAGATAAATAAAATGAAAACGTAAAGGTAGAAAAATATAACGTACTGAAAAAGATGTGAAAAAAAAAATTCTTTTTTAAAGACAAAACTAAAAGAAAAGAAAAGAAAAGATTTGTGAAAGAGAAGTATGGAAAGGTGAACGAAATAATAAAATTGATATCAAGAAAAATACTGAAAAGCCTTATTACTACTACCTTAAAATTTGTTGGTCCGATTTTGCGGATATATTCGGAGATGACGAAATTCCTGACAGAGTTTCCTTTTTTTGTTTGGCTTCTACCAGGGTTTCATTTTTACCGTAGAGCAGGGTTTCTTTTTTAGGCTTATTTTCCAGGGTTTCATTTTTGAAGTTGATGAGAGGAAACCGATTATTGACGAATTTTCTGAAGGTAGAGTACGCCATTATCTTGGTTTCTTCCCCAGAGAAATGATCCCTAAAATATAATATTTAACAAGAGAACTAAAAGTGACTTTATTGAACGATTGAAGACGTTCTTTCCATAATTTTCGTAATCTGAGATATCTTTTTAAAATGTAGATTTATAATGGAATGTTAAGTATCTGTATTTGTAAAGTATACCTATAATTTTAAGTACCTGTATGTAAATATATAAATGTAAGTTACACAAACCTGTATTTATAATGTATGTAAGATGTATGTGAGATAAAAGTACATGTATTTATAGTGTAGATTAATAAATGCAAGATACACGAATCTGTATTTATAAGTTATAATTATAAAGGTAAGGTCTGTCTGTCCGTTTGTGTCCGATAAACGTCAAGACGGCTGAACCGATCGGGCCCAAACCCAAGGGGAGGTCTATGGATGATCGAATTTACAAAAATTTGACTACATTAAAATTCTATCATACAAAATTTTTTTTTTAAAATACGCAAAATTTGTTTTTTTTTTTTTTTTTACAATGTACACAAAGAGAACGTGTTCACAATGGAAATGGAGGATGTCGCGTCCAAATAGCCTAGTATTTATAAATGTAACATATACGATCCTGTAATTATAATGTAGATTTATAAATGTAAGATAGACGAACCTGAATTTATCTAAATATATACGTTGTTTGTCTGTTTGTTTGTATAGGCAATAAACGTCAAAACGGCTGAACCGATCGGGCCCAATTTATTTTGTGGGGTTTCACATGTCCCAAGGGAATGTTTATGAATGAATGTATTATTTAAAAATGTAAGATACACGAACGTGTATTTCTAATGTATATTTAAAATGTAAGATACCTATACCTAAATACATGAAATATATTCTTAAATGTAAGATACACGACCCTGTATTTATAATGTAGATTTATGAATGTAAGATAGACGAACCTGTATTTATAATGAAGATTAATAAATTTAAGAAGAAAGTACCTGTAATTATAATGTATATTTCTAAATGTAAGATACACAAACCTGTATTTATAATGTATATCTATAAATGTATGATAAACAAACTTGTATTTATAATGTATATTATAAATGTAAGATACATAAACCGGTATTTATAATGTAAATTTATAAATTTATGATGCACAAACCTGTATTTATAATGTATATCTATAAATGTAAGATACAAAAACCGGTATTTATAATGTATGCTCAAAAATAATAAATGTAAGATACACCAACCCTTAAATATCTATGATGAAAATTAGTAAATGTAAGAGAAAGTACCTGTATTTATGATGAAGATTAATAAATGTAAGATGAAAGTACCTGTATTTATGATGAAGATTAATAAATGTAAGATGAAAGTACCTATATTTATAATGAAGATTAATAAATGTAAGATGAAAGTACCTGTATTTATGATGAAGATAAACAAATTTAAGATGAAAGTACCTGTATTTATAATGTAGATTTATAAATGTAAGATCACAACGTCCCTTCTTCCTACCACTGTTTTCACTCGCCAAAAACTCTTGAAGATAAATGTGCGCCTGAAAAAAATGTAAATTTTTTTTTAAAATGATCCAATAACACCTTCTTTCCTGCATCATGGACTGAGGTTAAAACTGTAAAACTGTATAGTGTTCAGGAGTGCTAATTCCCGGATTAAGAAGTTATTCGTATCATTTGTTGTCTCAAGAGAAAAATAACTCCACTCAGATATCCCTCATTCATGGAATAACTAAAATTGAGGATTAAGCGCGTATCTCTCAGATATCCCTGAATTCATGGAATAACTAAAATTGAGAATTAAGCGTGAATCTTTCAGATATCCCTTAGTTGGAATTCATGGCATAACTAAAATTGAGGATTGAGCGCGTATCTCTCAGATATCCCTTAGTTGGAATTCATGGAATAACTAAAATTGAGAATTAAGCGTGAATCTTTCAGATATCCCTTAGTTGGAATTCATGGCATAACTAAAATTGAGGATTGAGCGCGTATCTCTCAGATATCCCTTAGTTGGAATTCATGGAATAACTAAAATTGAGGAATAAGCGTGAATCTTTCAGATATCCCTTAATTGGAATTCATGGAATAACTAAAATTGAGGATTAAGCGCGTATCTCTCGAGTTAAAAGTTGCAAGAAATAACAAAGGGAGATCAAATAAAGTTGTGAAGAACAAAACAAAACGGATGCTTTAAGGCAGGCAGTGCTTAGGATCCGGATCCGTTGGATCCGCAAGATTTTGGCTTCCTGGATCCGGATCTGCAAAAATATGTGGATCCACGGATCCGGATCCAAGGGGCAAAATATCAACCAAAAACTGCAGCAAATTAAAATTTTACTCTTAAACCCAAATCTGAAATATTGAAACAAGAGAGATAATAAAAGTTTCATGATTTCTGAATAGTTCATCAAGTTTTAGCATAAAAATAAGCGAAAAAAATAAGACAAAAATTTGAAAATTTGAAAATAATTCAATAAATTTTAAAGAAATAACCTGGATCTGGGGATCCGGATCCGGATCCATTTTTCTCCAGTGCGGATCCAGGATCCGGATCCGCATTAACATTAATTGGATCCTAAGCACTGCTTAAAGGGACTGTAAGCGTAATTTCAAGCGACCCTCCATGTAAAGATGGCAATGTCCGATTTACAACGACCCTTTGAAATGTTTATCTGATTAAAAATGTGGAAGAAATAATGTTTTTCTAGATTGAAAAATGTACAAATCTGATAATTTTTATATGCCTTCCTGCAGCATAAATGCGCTTTTGAAAAGAAACCAAAATTAAAAATAATCAATTTCCTATGATACGATACAAACATTAACCATACTTGAAGCTTTGAAGGATTCGTTTAATCGGGCGTAGACATCTTTGCACATAGAGTCACTTGAAATTACACTTACAGTCCCTTTAATTTAAAAATAAAGGAAACATGAACTCTGAAAATAAAATGGTTTATTCTTTATAGTTTTTTACCTCTTTCAGATGATTCTCCGGGAAAGCATTTACAGGTTTATTTTTCAAAGGTTTTCGGCATCTAGGAACTATCCCATTCTCTAGGACATGTTTCCTAAACATTAATATTCTAGGAACTATCCCATTCTCTAGCACATGCTTCCTAAACATTAATATTCTAGGAACTATCCCATTCTCTAGCACATGTTTCCTTAACATTAATATTCTAGGAACTATCCCATTCTCTATAATTGCGATCAACCTTCACTCCTTTGAAATAAATTGCTAAGGGTACGCAAAAGATTTTAAATATGCTACAGGGTATCCACAATGGCTGAGACTTCAGGTAAGGTAGTCTCTGAAACCTCAGCCTCAGCGGATAACCCCACTTTCTTGAAAATCATACGCACTTTTCAGATTTTTTACTGCTAAATTTGTTAACACTTAGTTCACGGAAAATGAATGAATTTTTTTTGTGGGGGATTATCAAATAAAGTGTACTTTAACTTTAAAAAAAGTCAGCCACCTCCCCTATAAAGTTTTTATAATTATTCATATATTCGTACAAATAATAATATCATTTCCTACCTGATGAGTTTTAGTTGATAAATTGTAACATTTTCTAGATAAATATATGCCTCCTGGCACACTTCACGCCCCTGGAACAGTTCAACATTATTTATAATCTATTTAGTTGATAAATTGTAACATTTTCTAGATAAATATATGCCTCCTGGCACACTTCACGCCCCTGGAACAGTTCAACATTATTTATAATCTATTTAGTTGATAAATTGTAACATTTTCTAGATAAATATATGCCTCCTGGCACACTTCACGCCCCTGGAACAGTTCAACATTATTTATAATCTATTTAGTTGATAAATTGTAACATTTTCTAGATAAATATATGCCTCCTGGCACACTTCACGCCCCTGGAACAGTTCAACATTATTTATAATCTATTTAGTTGATAAATTGTAACATTTTCTAGATAAATATATGCCTCCTGGCACACTTCACGCCCCTGGAACAGTTCAACATTATTTATAATCTATTTAGTTGATAAATTGTAACATTTTCTAGATAAATATATGCCTCCTGGCACACTTCACGCCCCTGGAACAGTTCAACATTATTTATAATCTATTTAGTTGATAAATTGTAACATTTTCTAGATAAATATATGCCTCCTGGCACACTTCACGCCCCTGGAACAGTTCAACATTATTTATAATCTTTTTTTTTAGATAGTTTTTTATTAAACATTAAAGCAGTGCTTAGGATCCAGGATTCTGGATCCTGGATCCGGATCCGGATCCAGGTCATCTTTTAAGATCTACTGAATTTTTTTGACAAAAAATAATTTTCAAATTTTTTTTTAAAAAATTTCGCTCATTTTTATCCTAAAACTTGATGAACCATTCAGAAATGAGGAAATGTTTATAATCTCTCTTTTTACAAGAGTTCATATTTGGGGTTTTGGAGTAAAAAAGTTTTTTTTGCAGTTTTTGGTTGATATTTTACTCCTTGGATCCGGATCCTGAGCACTACCTAAAAGGAACTGTAAGTGACCCTTCATGCAAAGATACAATTCTCGATTTGACACCATAATCTGATCAAAAATGTGGAAAATAACGTCGGTTTTTGGCTCAAAAATTGATTATTTCTGTGAATTTCTCGATTGTTTCTAACAAGCAAGAAATGAAAGGTAATATCTTGGCTAGAAAACCGCACAGGAGACCTTCAATTTGAATCGTATAGTTGCTTAGTGCGTGAAAACTCAATTAATCGTATTTATAGCAAGTTCTCATTTATTGAATTTAACCCAGGTCTAGAGTGGTTCAGCCAAGTATCTTGAATCAATGATATAGGATTTGTAAATGTCCTATAGATGACAACTATACTGCAAAGCTACAGTATTTGAATCTACGGTAGGAAGTTCCGCGACCCGTCTCAAATTTATTTATTTCTGTGCTTGATTTTGGAGATATATTCAAAAGCTATCCGTCTCGGACTAGTTCCGGACTAGTGCTTTCTGAACGGATTAACATATGAAAGAGTTATCTTAATCCTGAAAAATGCTAGTAATCCCAAAGATGAATACTTACAAATTAAATGAATGAGTTACATTCTTTCTTTTCTCATAGGTCGAATTAACTTAGTTTAGATCAATGAGAGATTAGTTAAACACATTCTGTAATTCAAAAGTTCTCAACTCCAGTTTATTTTGATATTTTATCTTGACTAACCACATGACTCTAATGCATTGTACCCTCTCCTTGATAATAATTAATAAAATAAAACTACTTGTCAATCGATGGAAGTAGGCGTAGGGACGGGCAACAATTTGAAGTCTGTTAGGCGTAGGGATGGGCAACAATTTGAAGTCCACTAGACGTAGGGATGGGCAACGATTAGAAGTCCGTTAGGCATAGGGATGGGCAACAATTTGAAGTCCACTAGACGTAGGGATGGGCAACGATTAGAAGTCCGTTAGGCGTAGGGATGGGCAACAATTTGAAGTCTGTTAGGCGTTGGGATTGGCAACAATTTGAAGTCTGTTATGCGTAGGGATGGACACGATTTGAAGTCCGTTAGGCGTAGGGATGGACAACGATTTGAAGTCTGTTAGGCGTAGGGATGGGCAACAATTTGAAGTCTGTTAGGCATAGGGATGGACAACGATTTGAAGTCCGTTAGGCGTAGGGATGGACAACGATTTGAAGTCTGTTAGGCGTAGGGATTGGCAACAATTTGAAGTCTGTTAGGCATAGGGATGGACAACGATTTGAAGTCCGTTAGGCGTAGGGATGGACAACGATTTGAAGTCTGTTAGGCGTAGGGATTGGCAACAAATTGAAGTCTGTTAGGCGTAGGGATTGGCAACGATTTGAAGTCTGTTAGGCGTAGGGATTGGCAACAATTTGAAGTCTGTTAGGCGTAGGGATCGGCAACGATTTGAAGTCTGTTAGGCGTAGGGATGGACAACAATTTGAAGTCCGTTAGGCGTAGGGATGGGCAACGATTTAGAAGTCCGTTTTGACACATTTAAAGTTTTTTTCCTTCCAGGTTCTCTAAAGGTAATCTCAGATGTTTTACACAAATTAAAATCAGACTTTCTTCAAGTTTGCTATTATTCTTTTGCTATTTTTAAAACGTTTTTATAGAACGACTTAACCAATATATTTGATATCTCTGGCCGGAGTACACGTTTTGGATAATGTAATATAAGCAAACTTACAGAGCATATTTTAAAATATTTTATACATCTTAGATCTTTGTGAAGCCTCTTAAAAGTCAAATAATTAACCTTCACTGTAAAAAAAAAAAAAAGAAGCCCATCAGTAAGAAGAAGTAAGCGCCCCTCTCTCATTGTTACCTGATACATGTATTTGTTTCTTCTTCTCTTTCTATGCTTGAGTTTGGTGGTTTGGTTTGGATCTCCCAGGCTCGCCATCATCATACCCATCAGGTACATGTCGTGCTCCCTCTACAAATATATCAGGTACATGTCGTGCTCCCTCTACAAATATATCAGGTTCATAAACATTGTCTGATATTAAACACTAACCTTTGTAAGTTTTGATATATTAAGTCTATGATTATAAACATTGTCTGATATTAAAAACTGGAAACAGTCCTGCTCACATCCGCATCCTTTCTTTAATCTGGTCTCAACCTACATTTATATATTTATCCATTTTTGCATTTTCATACATTTATTTATTTCATTCATTCATTTATTTTAATATTTTCCTTATTCATTTATTCATTTCATTTATTTATTTTATTTATTCATTAAACTTAATCATACTTCGTTTCATTTTCTCCTTTATAAATTTTTTCACTTCATTTATTTGTTTTATTAATTCATTTATTTGTTTTATTAATTCATTTATTTGTTTTATTTATTCATTTTATTTATTTTATTATTAATTTATTCATTACCTTTATTCTTTAATTCATTTTTTATTTCATTTATTTCATTTATTCCTTTATTCATTTTTCATTTCGTTTACTCATCTTTTTCTTTCTACATAATGTTTTTTTTTTAACTATTTCTTTACATATTTCTTACATCTTTCATATGATTCAAAGATTTAAATTCATTAACAGTTTGTATAACCGATGTTAAAATCAGTTTTTTATATTAAGATTATTTTCTCTTCCTACTTGATATTACATAACAGTTTTAATAATAAAAATATTACTTTTTTATAATAAAAATGAAGCAAAGGAACTTTTTTTAATTATTTCATCAAATCATAAAAGCAATGAAAATTCTTATTATTATTCTTAAACTTTACCTGAGAACTAGAAGTTTCAAGCGAACCATTCTCCGGGTTGGGGTTAGAACTGATCTCTTCTCTAAGTATAGGTTTAGACTTGCAAGTTTTCTTAATCTTTTTTCTCTTCTTATCTTGTCTTCGAGTTCGTTTCAGATTTGTATCTTTTGTGCAAGACTCTTAAAAAATTGAAAAAAATGAAGAAAAAAATATTGTCAATTTCTTTACATTTAATAATAGTTATTAATTGTTGGGAATATTTCGATTACACAAGGCATCTTGTTTCTGAGCCAAATAAAATAATCTTATTTCCAAGAACATTTTAATTTTAAAAGGGACAGACCGGCTATGTAAGGTAGTTGAACTGAGTATGCAGTGTTGGGGACAAATTCTAAAGGATTCATTTGAGATTTATAAAACTTTTTAAAGTTGTAACTCCTGAGTTTAAGCGCAAAGTCAACGTTCAAAATCGTACTTTTGGGTGGATACGTTCACAGAATTGTTTTTTTTTAAATTATTAAATAACGACGACAAAGAATGTAAAAAAATTCTTCAGTAAACTAATTGGTTGTTTAGGAACAGGTTGAGAAATCTGCGAATAAATTCATAGAAAATAAGAAATTCAATATAATGAATTATTGACAAAATATGACAAATATGTTCCTAACCATCTAATTAATGTATAATTTTTACTTTATTTTTTGTCGTCGTTATTTTGTAATATAAAAAATGGATTCTGAAAATTTAGCCGCACCCAAATTCATGATTTTGAACGTCGACTCAAACTCAGTAATAATACATCGTGGAAACATTTTATATGTCCTAAACGAATCCTAAAGAATTTGTCCTCAACACTGCATACTCAGTTTAACTAGCTTACATAGCCAGTCTGTCCCTTCAAAAAACTGAAAAGTTTGTTTAATTTATACCTTTAATAAGATGACTGGATTCTTTGAGAATAACTTTAAGACGAGAATTAGTACTTAGTACTTCATCATTGTGGACTGGAGCCGCAGGATCAACTTGGACTCGAATTGCCGAACCTTCGTCACGACAATTCACTGCAGTGCGATCGTCAAGACTAGAATCTATATTAACTCTGATTTCTGGGACAAAGTTGACCTTTATCTGGTCTTTTAGCTGGCCGGTCAATGAGTAGTCTTGGATCGGCGGTTCATCTACGGCGTGGGGCGGGGAGAGAGCGGGGGTGTGTTCCCTGGTTTGTGGGGGGGAGGGGGCGGGGGTCGTGTAATCGAATGCTCGGGAAGGTAGGATAGGAGCGTACACGTGATTAGAGTGGAATATCCTATAAGGGGAGGGATGAGATCGGGGGGGAGGGGACGGGGAACGCCTATGCGGAGAAAATGATGGAATGTGCTCGAATCTCTTCAGAGTCCCAGCTAAAAACAAATTATCATCAGTGCACATCTTTAAACAAATATATTTTAACGTCGAGATTTGGTTATTTTCTTATAACCATTTATTTTCCAATAAAAAGGAGTATAACAGCCTAACTAAACTATACATTGTGTGTGTTGAGCTGAAAACTATAGAAGTAAATACCATTACTACCAATTGCTTATTCAGCATAATGAATTTCCACTAAGGACACTTTTGATTTATGCTTTTTTTAAAATAAATAAAAAAATAATTCATGTATAATATTTTCATATATTTTATAATAACGACTATAATTATCTGGTAATGTCCTAGAGAACGATAAATTGTAACATTTTCTAGATAAATATATGCCTCCTGGCACACTTCACGCCCCTGGAACAGTTCAACATTATTTATAATCTNAGTATAATGTATACGTGTTCTTATTCATAGACCCCGTAAGATTATGCGGCCTAAGGGACTGTTAGCGTTATTTAAAGTAACCCCAAATTCAAAGCTACTGGTACCCAGCTATCGTTCTCTAGGACAAACCCGATTATCTATTAAATTTTATCAAAAATTAATGCGCGATTAATATAAGATTACAGCAATAGATACAAAGATATAATGAGAGAATTTTTCTCTCTATTTTTTTGCGGATAAGATATACTATTGTTGATTTATTTTGGTATTGAATAATATAATAATAAGAAATAAGAATATAAGCAATCAGCCTAACAAAACCGCTACCTAGTAAGAAAGGAGGAGAAATTGTCAGATAAAGGTCGGAAAGCACAATTTTGTGCGAGGAAAAATGATATTAGGGGTTGGGGGTTTTACAGAATTTTGTGCAAGAACTTTTAAAATTTTTCATATGCAAGTAAATCTCACCTTGTTCTGATATTCTCAAGGGTGAAGAAATGCCAGTGTGTGATCTATACGGCGAATCGATCCTAAGCGGCGAATTAACACTCCGACTTCTAAAACTGATCGGCAGATCGCTGTAGGACTCAAACCGCGAAGGAGATGGATGGAATGATCGCTCGGTGAGCCCCACCAGGCCGGGGGAGAGAGGTGCATAACCCGTTAATTCGGCAAGTGCAGCGCCAGGAGATAAAGGAAACCCCAACGGAACCGAACTAAGAAAGGTCCGAATGATATCATGGTCGGATTGAGTTAGAGTGGTGAGGGTTGGAGTTGGATTTAATCGATGGTTTGATATCTCTAGGGTAGGAGTTAAGTTTGAGCGAGGGTTCAACGACTCTTGCTCCTTCATATTCCAGTGTTAAAATTACACATCCAAATGATAACTTCCTGAAAAAGACACCTCTGAAAATGTCACTAATTTGATTACAAAAAATACATGAAAAATAGATTTTGTATCTTATTTGTATAGACGCTTTCTACCCAAATAACGTGAAATTTATCTCAATCTACTCATTCGCAGGAGAGGGGAAACTTGTGCCTGGGTTTAGCAGAACCAGTTCTTGAACCGGAATTAAACGCGGCAAATAAAGTAGAGGATTTGTCTTACTGCGGAGAAAAGATGGAAACATAGCTAGGTTAGAGCTTTATTTCCAGCAATGACAATGCATAAAAACTGACTATTTCTATTGCTTTGACCTAATTTTCTCTTTCAGTCTTCTCTCCATCCTTGAGTCTTCTCTCCATCCTTGAGCCACCCTTCTATCCTTGAGTCTTCTCTTTATAAATCTTGAGCCTCTCTCCACCCCTCTCGAGTCTTCGATCTTCAACCTTGAGTAATTTCTTCTTGAGTCTTCTTTCCATCTTTGAGTCTACTCTCCATACATGAGTCTTCTCTGCAACCTTAAGTCTTTTCTCCAACCTTGAGTCTTATCTCCATCCTTAAATATGCTATAGTCTTCTCTTCATCCTTGAACCTTCTCTCCATCCTTGAATGTCTTCTCTCAATACTTGAGTCTTCTCTCAATCCTTGAGTCTTCTCTGAACCTGGAGTCTTCTCTCCATCCTTGAGTCTTCTCTGAACCTTGAGTCTTCTCTCCATATCGTTGAGTTTTCTCTGAACCTTGAGTCTTCTCTCCATCCTTGAGTCTTCTCTAAACCTTGAGTCTTCTCTCCATCCTTGAGTTTTCTCTTCATCCTTGGGTCTACTCTCCATCCTTGTGTCTTCTCTCCATTACTTGAGTCATCTCTTCTCTCAATCCTTGAGTCTTCTCTGAACCTTGAGTCTTTTCTCCATACCTGAGTCAAATTCTCTGAATCCTTGAATCTTCTCTGAACCTTAAGTCTTCTCTCCATACTTGAGTCTTCTCTCAATCCTTGAATCTTCTCTGAACCTTAAGTCTTCTCGATCCCTCCTTGAGTTTTCTCTTCATCCTTGCATCTTCTCTCCATCCTTGAGCCTTCTCTCCAACCTTAAACTTGAGTTCCTTGAGAACAGAGGATTTGCGTAGGTCGAAAAATACACATCATTCCCATCATTGAGTATTGACAGTTACGGAATATAATTCCCGGAAGACTGCAATTGGGGTATATAGGTTCGGAAGCCCTATGGGGACGCGCACAGCCGCAAATAGGTTAAATGAGGTTCGGAAGCTGTGCTAAGGAGGTTGCCTTCCCTCCCTTGAGTGTATGATAATTCAAAATGCTGTTGTTGCACTCCCTCACTGTTGTGCCTGGAAACAGGTTTTCTAATTTTGTTATCATTATTCATATCCCCGTTAGCACATCGCCGGAACCAACCCCAGCCAATCCTATATCGACAATTTTCATTTTCAATTTCAAACACTTGTAAGACATTAGACAAGAGAAGTACTTGTTCCTCAGAATCGATAATAGTAATAGTATAATTAGTATAATGTATACGTGTTCTTATTCATAGACCCCGTAAGATTATGCGGCCTAAGGGACTGTTAGCGTTATTTAAAGTAACCCCAAATTCAAAGCTACTGGTACCCAGCTTCTGATTAAGTTTGAATTATGCTTTAGTTGTTCATAAATTTTAGTTTTAGTTTTTGGACTACTCCAAGGACCCCTTTTGGGGGTGTAGAAGGAGTTACAGTGCAATGGTTAACAATCATAATAAATCTGCATTAGAAGTTTTTTTTGTGATTCTTCTGATTGTAAAAATAAGGCAGATTTAATGCATGTAAGTATGAATTATATAAAAGATGGGTTCTCTGTTTTTTTTAAAGGTATCTCATTTTTTAGCTTATAAATTAAATCCTGAAATTTTTTTGATATTTTATCTTTTTCTTCTTGCTTCATTCTTTGAAATTATTTATGTTTTTTTTGCCATATTCCATCTAATGCATATAAAAACCGTTTGGTCTGTCCTACAGAACGATTTCAGTACCCCCCCATCAATTTTGTGCATGACCACTTATTTTTCAGCAAAATTTTTATTTCTTATTATTTAAAGGTTAGGTTTGGTTAAGACGATTTCTGGGCTGAGCGCTGCGGCTAGGAAAGGCTAGGGGGCTGGGCGCAGCAGCCACATGACCAATTATATCCATGTGTCACGTATGAGATTCATGTACGAGATTGAAAGGGGGGGGGAGGTCCAAAAATCGTTCTCTAGGAAATTACCAAACTGTTACTGTCGTCATTAAGAACATTCAAATTATACAAATTTTGGTTAAGCTTGAAAGAGGAATTCATCATATCTGAGTTTAAAACTGATAACAGAGCTTGAATCTTTAATTCTAGAAGGAAGATCATTCCACTTCGAAATCACTCGCTGACTGAAAACCTTAGCCCAGTACTATTTTATATTGTTCAGGACCAGGATTCAGGGTTTACCCTGTAATGGCTGTTCATGATTTTGATCACCTGGATCATGTTAAACCAAACACGCTGACCCTCTAAAGACTAGATTTAACTCTTTAACTTATCTGCATAGGTTGCACAAGTTTACCCAGAAACCATGTTAACTGCTTCTTTTTAAATTTTACAAAGGTTACTTGATCAGATTCAGACTAAGGAGCCCATAAAGGAGTGCTAAATACAAGGAGGCATTGAACATGTTGTTTATAAAGGTTGAGGAAAAACTTCTTATCCCTGAAGTGAACATTTCTTGAGATTTAACCAAGAACTATGTTAGCAATGCAGCACTTGCACACTGAGTTGATGGTTTCAGTGTTGTGTGATTAATAATTCCTTTTATTAAAATCTAGATATTTATTTACGTATCATAATAGTTTACAAGATTGTTAATATGGATTTAACACAAAACTTTCTTACGATATTTTCATGTACATACAATTATAAATCGATAAGGTCGAAATTTAATTTTAACAGATACATTTATTTTCGTTTTTTCATGTCTGGATTGCTGGTAAATTTATATTCAAGTATTGGTAAAGCAGCAGTTCAAGAGAAAAAACTACATTATATATTAAAGGATAGCATACTTTTATGAAATTTGACTGGGAGATACTAAAAATACAGTGTGTGTTATCTCTTATTGGAAAATTCTACAATTAACAGTGTGCATGCTTTCACATAAACATACACGGGAGCGAGTTTCCATTTTTACATTAAAGAAAATTATTGTGAGCTTCATAACAAGGAACATTGACTGTTCCTCGTTAATATTGAGGCTACATTTTTAGCGAACATATGTTAATTCGTTAATATCGAGGCTTCATAAGCAAGGTGAAAGAAGGAACACAATAATTAAGAAGTATACGAAGGAACATAATAATTAAGAAATGTACTAAATTCGAACATTGCTGGTTCGTCTTTAATAATATTGAGGCTTCATTAGCAAGGTGTCCGAAGGAACGTAATAATTAAGAAATATACTAAATACGAACATTCATGGTTCATCGTTAGTATCTTTTAAGCCAAAAAGCAATTATGTTAGCTCTTTAGTATTGAGGCAGCATATTTTATGCAATGTAATAACTAGGATCATTGAGGTTCCTAGATAACGTTTCATCTATATAAACATGGATGGTCGACAGAAAGAGAGAGAGACAAACTCTTCGTTGTCCCCTTATCTTGTGTCATCTTGGTTTCTCGGCGTTGCATTTTGTCGCCATTTTCTGCTAGTTCCGGAGGCGTTTCAGTTCTGTTCATACGTTTTTTTTTCCGTTGAGAAGTGCAGCTCTGAGATCCGCCAGATCCGAGATCCTTCTTGCAGTCATCTATCTACCAGGTTTCGGTTTGACATTATTTTTTCGTTGAGAAGTGCAGCTCTGAGATCCGCCAGATCCGAGATCTGTCTGGCAGTCAGCTAGGTTCCAGGTTTTGGTTTAACGTTATTTTTTCGTTGAGAAGTGCAGCTCTGAGATCCGCCAGATCCGAGATCCGTCTCGCAGTCAGCTAGGTTCCAGGTTTCGGTTTAACGTTATTTTTTTCCGTTAAAAATAATAATAATAATAATTCCAATGTCTTTTTCTTGATCTCAAGTTAATAAAGGCTGGTCATTCATCTAGTATGTGTTTAATGAGTTGAACGACCAATATGCATACCTATGCACTTGTTACTATTTAACTGCATGCCCCACATGTCAGCCCACTCAACAAGTTTATCCAAACAAGATTGCAGTGCTGCAGCATCATCTGACCTTAGAATTGTTTTTGCTAGTTTGGTGTCATCAGCAAACTTCCAAATAATGTTAAGTTAGATAGATACAGTGTCAAGGTCATTAATTTATACTAGGAATCCAAGGGGCCAAGGACTGTACATTGTGGGACCCCTGACTCAACATCACACCAATCAGAGGATTCTCCATTTACCTTAGTTCTCTGTTTATGGTTTGTAAGCCAGTTCTGAATCCATGTTAATGTTTTACCTATGACAGCATGGGACTTAAACTTCTCTATTAGTTTCAGCCTCGTCACTTTGTCAAATGCCTTGCTGAAGTCCAGACAAATTACATCTAGTGGATGACCACTATCAAACTCTTGGGTTACAAATTTCAAAAATTCCAACAAATTAGTGGTGCATGACTATTAGACATAAGATCATGCTGGGTATCCTTAATGAGCTGATAACAAATAAAATGATACATAACCTTGTCTTTATTAATGGATTCCATCATCTTACATGGAATAGAGGTTAAAGAGACAGGTTTACAATTCTGAGGTAATTTTTAAGAGCCCTTTTTAAAGATAGGTATGACATTTGCATATCTCCAGTCGTAAGGAACTTCACCTGTCAAAATTAATTTATTGTATATCATTGCTAATGAAGGAGCTAGAATGTTACTGAAATCCTGGAGAATTTTGGCTGTGATGTTATCTGGATCTGGAGAGGATCTAGGTTTTAGTTTCTCTTTCACATCATTAGCTGTAAATAGAATATTATCAACAGAACTAGCACTGAAAAGTGGCACTACATCTGGTACATTGATGGTGTCTTCCCTGGTAAACACTGAACCCAAAATAGTCATTGATGCCATTCCAGCATTATCAGTAATAGTATTGTTTCCAGATTTCAAGGGGCCTACTAACCTCGGTTTTGGTTTTAATTTTCAGATAGTAGTAAAATAACTTTTTGTAAAGGTTAATTGCAAGATTTCCATATGCCTTTTTGAATTTTTTTCAAGTTCTTTAAAGTTTCTGAAATCTGATTCCTCTCTAGATTTAGAATACTTAATCCACAGATCTTGGTTTTTTTTACAGCGCCTCTTAATATTTTTTGTCATCCATGATTGGTTACCACCTTTACTTCTCCTGTTCTTTGGTATAAACTTGTCTGATACAATTTCAAGAATTGATTTGAACAGATCCCAGGCTTCTTCTGTATTTATACCTTCAAATTCCTCCGTCAAGAAATTAGTAAAGAACTGTTGTAACCCAACATTGTCAGCATTTTTATAGTCATTAATTAAGTCTTCACCACCAGAACTAATGGGTTCAAAAAACATTTCAGTCAGGATAGATGTATGATCACTGTTACCTACATTCCAAAGACTTTTAACACAAATAACACAATCCGGACAATTTACAAAAGCTAAGTCCAGAGTGTTCCCTATAAATGTGAGAAGGAAAATCAACTAGTTGGGTATAAAAGTTTTCTTGTGATGCTCGTATAAGATTCCTTCCTTTTTTGTCAGATGTGCCCAATTCCCAGTCAATATTTGACAAGTTGAAATCTCCAATTATTATGGTGAAGATTTAAACAAGTTACAAAGATGCTCAGTATTGTTTTCAAAAGAATTTGGTGATCTGTAAACTAGATAAATTGACATTTTATTCCTTTTTTCTCCAATAACATCAAAGATACAGTACTGATTAAACAAATTTGGAGATACCTGAGTTTTAATAATGAGATAATCCCTTGATTAGACAAGAATACCTCCGCCAATTCTGTTATATGTGTCTGAGCTTACTTTTATGGTGGTTTGCAGGAGACCTCTTGGTCCATGGTGCAAACGTCTTTGGTGTCCTCTGGAAACTGTGACTTCTCCGATAAGTTATTCATCCTGTGTGACTTCTCTGATAAGTTATTCATCCAGTTGCTGTGTAACACAGTTCCTAATAGCACAGAAAAGTAGTTTAGATGGTTATTTCCTTCAATTTAGTCTTAAAACTGGTTACATTCTTTGACTCCTTGGCGTCAATTGGTAAATTATTCCAAAGGGAAACCACTCTGACAGAAAAGAAATTCCATCTAATATCTGTCTTAAATCTTGTTGCGATCAGATTTTTGTTGTAGGAAGTATTTCTGGTAAATCTAGTATGCTGGTCATCTACAGTACAAAACCAAATAGACGGGTTGACTGTCGAAACCGTTAAGAATCTTAAAAGTTTGCACTAAATCATAGTGTTTCTGACAGATCTCAAGGGTTGTCAGACCAAGTTTAGTCAATTTTTCTTCATATGTTTTGCTCCTTAGTCCAACTATCATGTTAACAGCTCTTTTCTGAACTCTCTCTAAGATCTCTATGTTACCAACTAGCCAGGGTGACCATGCAGGAATAGCAAATTCCAAGTGACATGGCTTGCATGCCCAGCAGTGGGGAACACCTTTCCCCTCAAGCTCAAGGATAAGGTTTAAGACTCCTTCATCCATTTCAGCAATTTTTTTGTGGTACTAAATGTCTCAAAGTGAGCATTTTATTGTACCACTTTTGCAGTGTGCTTTGCAAACAAAACATAATGTATCTCCAACAGCTATGGCCATTATTTCTATTGTTTTTTTTGGCTCACTAGAAAATAAATTTTGGATTTTATCCACTGACTTTATTAAAGTTCTTTAAGCAAAGAATTAGCCCCGACGGCAAGGCTAAGTCAAAGTACAGCTACTAAATGGCTTCGCTGTACCCTACCAAGAACACAAAACTAGCACAATATTTTTCTTTTTCTTTCTTTTTGCTTTAAAGTTTTTTTTCTTTTTTTGTTCTTTTTTATACTTGGTCTTATTGATATATTAGAGGGAGATAAATAACTCCTTGCAATTACTTTAGTCCATAATATCTTATTGATATATTAGAGGGAGATCAATAACTCCTTTCAATTACTTTAGTCCAGAATAGTCTTATTGATTTATATTAAAGGGAGATAAATAACTCCTTGCAATTACTTTAGTCCATAATATCTTATTGATATATTAGAGGGAGATCAATAACTCCTTTCAATTACTTTAGTCCAGAATAGTCTTATTGATTTATATTAAAGGGAGATCAATAACTCCTTGCAATTACTTTAGTTCAAAATATTCCAAAGCAGAATAATATCTACTTCAACGACACAGCTAATAATTTGTATGATTCACTTCCTGGCAAACTAGATGGCGCCCTGGACACCCATTCTTTTCTAAAAACCTCTTTAAAAAGTGAATCATGCGGAATTTTGTGGGGTCGTTTTAAAATCAATTATTTTCAATTATGGTTTCTCTGCAAAAGTGACTTGTGCATTGCTACTGCAGGAAGATATATAGGAATATCAGAAAGCGAACTAAACAATTTGGCCCACATAGACAATATGTTTTACTTTATCGATCTGATCAAGGTAGTAAAGTCCCATGGTGAATTTACGTCTTTGAGGGGTAACCTTTCGTCAGCTTTATCTGAATAACTCTTAACTCTTTTTTAGCTTGGAAATCAGTGCTTAGGATCCGGATCCGTTGGATCCGCAAGAATTTGGCTTCCTGGATCCGGATCCACAAAAATATGCGGATCCGCGGATCCGGATCCAAGGGGTAAAACATCAACCAAAAACTGAAAAAAAAAACTTTTTTACTCCTAAACCCCAAATCTGAACTTTTGAAAAAAAGAGACAATAAAAATTTCTTATTTCTGATTGGTTCATCAAGTTTTAGGATAAAAATAAACGAAAAAAATTAAACAAAAATTTTTGAAAATTATTTTTTGTTAAAAAAATTCAGTAAATATTAAAGAAATGACCTGGATCCGGATCCATTTTTTCCAGTGCGGATTCAGGATCCGGATCTGGATTTGCATCAAAATTAAATGGATCCTAAGAACTGTGGTAAATCAACATGAAATTCTGAAAATTGTTATACAGAAAAACCCTGATTGAAAATTATCAATTTTCGGTTGGAAAAAGCTAAAAAATCTGATTCTTGATCTGGCCATGGAATGAAGGGTACCATTGTGAATGATACATGCCACTCTTATATTCTATAAGTAGAGGGCCACTCAGCACTACCTATACAGACAGTGTCTTGGGGGAGAGAGAGATTGATAAAGTACCAGAGAAAATAAAAATTTTGTAAAAATTGATATTTTCTTTCAACTTGATTTCAGATTATTATTGTAAAATGGAATTAAATTTATGAAACTAAATGAGGGGGGAGAACGGCTCAATGAGGACGGAAGGCGATATGTGGCTCAATGATTTTCAGGCAGCGACCATTACAATTCAAGTAAGATTTTTAAATTTCTTTCTAAAAAAATTGTTTTTATAATTTTTTAATGCAAAGCAGATTTATTTTTGGTCCTTCACTCGCTGTTCTTTAATTATTTATTAAGATTAGTGGAAACAAAGTGACATGTGATTGAACAGATATAATTTTAATGTGTTTCTATTGTGTTAAGGTATTTTGTTTCAAGAATAATATAATTTGTTTTCAATTAAAGAGAAATGTTTAAAACCGGATAAATCTGGATATTTTGATTCTGTATCAAACCAATTAAAGTAGTAAGCTGAGAAGGATCTGAATTTATACAAAGCTTTGAATCTATGAATATATTTTATTATTATTCTCAAATTTTTGTCTGGGTTTCTTTTAAATTTCTTAAGAAGTCCTAGGAAATATTGATAAGGAATCAAATAACATTGATAAAAGACTAAAATAATGAAAAATATTTGAATTTGTTTTGGAGGGGAGGGGGGGGGGGGCGTTGATTTCAAATGAAGTTTTCCGAAAAAAAGGGTGTCATTAATTTTAATAAAAAGTTAATTTTTAATGATAAAGAACCGCTGAACTGTGTTATGAGGGTAGCGGAAACATGATAGGTTGAATGATATTAGTGAAAATAATAATAATAGTGAAATTTAAATATCATGAATACACCTGTTTATATTAATTTTATTAACTGTCTAAACTCCAAACATTCTTTTTTTTATTTATTTTAAATTTTTATTTTAAAACATTGATTTATAAAAAAAATTTAGATACAAGAGTTTTGGTTACAACGAGCTTGTGGTGAGCAAGGAAGACCCAATATGGAAAAAATATTTAGAACAATTCAAGAATCCGCTTATAATACTTCTTCTAGGATCAGGTTAATCCTTATTCTAATCCTCTAATCCTACATCTTAAAGGATCAGATTAATCCTTAATTAAATGCTCTTTTTATACTTCTTTTAGGTTCAGATTAATCCTTAATTTAATCCTCTTATCCTACATCTTATAGGATCAGATTAATCCTTGATTAAATGCTCTTTTTATACTTCTTTTATGATCAGATTAATCCTTAATTTAATCCTCTTATCCTACATCTTATAGGATCATATTAATCCCTAATTTAATCCTATTATCCTACATCTTATATGATCAGGTTAATCTTTAATTAAATTCTTTTTTTATACTTCTTTTAGGATCAGAATAATCATTAATTAAATCCTCTTTTTATACTTCTTTTAGGATCAGAGTAAATCCTAATTTAATCTTCTTATCATAGTTCTTTAAGAATCAGATTAATCCTTAATTTAATCCTCTTTACTACTTCTTTAAGGATCAGGTTAATCTCCAAAGTAATCCTCTTATCCTACTTCTTTTAAGATTAGGTTAATCCTAAATTTAATTCTCTTATTTATTTCTTTTAGGATCAGGAAGTTAACCTAAATTAAAACCCTTTACCATTCTTCTAAGATTAGGAAGTTAATCCTAAAATTAATCCTGTTATCATACTTCTTTAAGGATTAGATTTTAATCCGTTAATTTCGTTTGAATCCTATTATTTTTCTTTATAGGTTCGGCTTAAATCCTTTATTACCATTTTAATCCCCCTAAGGATATTTTGGGGATAGGGTGGAATCTTTCTTTTTCTTATTTTATACTTTTTTTACCTTTAAACATTAATCTCAATCTAGATTTCTCAGATCAGGTTTCAAGTCCTGAAAGTAAAACAATTTTATTCTGTTAGTTCAATCATTATTATGAAATATTCAGCCAGATTACTCAACACTTATATAATTGTATACCCCCCTCGCCCCCTCCTAAACTATTTTTCATTTTCAAATACTTACATATTTAGCTATTTGGACCCTCCTAGCTTATTTCAATTCGTAATCTAGCATGATGATACACATCTAAAAAAAAATCAAATTTCCAATTTTTATTTCTTTTTAGCTGCTGTGAGTTTGATATTGCAGCAGTTCGATGACGCTGCGAGTATAACACTTGCCATCGTCATCGTCGTTACAGTTGGATTCGTCCAGGAATACAGGTACACAGTCGTCTTCGTCCATCTCATTTGTTATTGTTCGTTACAGTTGGATTCTTCCAGGAATACAGGTACACGGTCGTCTTCGTTCATCATATTTGTTATTGTTCCTTACAATTGGATTCGTCCAGGAATGCAGGTACACGGTCGTTTTCGTTCATCTCTTTTGTTATTGTTCCTTACAGTTGGATTCGTTCAGGAATACAGGTACACGGTCGTCTTCGTCCATCTTATTTGTTATTGTTCCTTACAATTGGATTCGTCCAGGAATACAGGTACACAGTCGTCTTCGTCCATCTCTTTTCTTATTGTTCGTTACAGTTGGATTCGTCCAGGAATACAGGTACACAGTCGTCTTCGTCCATCTCATTTCTTATTGTTCGTTACAGTTGGATTCGTCCAGGAATACAGGTACACGGTCGTCTTCGTTCATCTCTTTTGTTATAAGATCAAAACATTTAAGTAATATTGTTCTGATAGAATATGTTTTGAAAGAGGGGAGGGGATAAAATTTGACATTATATAGTTTTTTTTAGAAATTTTACATAAATCTCAAAAAAAAAAAAAAATTCAATACGGCGACGGGTTTCGGGGGGAGAAATCATAGAACAAAATATTTACCCCTTGATTATCTTGTGTAGGTCTGAACAGACTCTTGAGAAACTTAAGAAGCTTGTTCCCCCAGTCTGCACTTGTATCAGGTATATTTCTAAATATTTGATCCTTTCTTGGAGTCATATTTTGATCAGTTAAATTCAAGTGTAAAATGAATGAATGAATGAAAGGATGAATGAATGAAAGGAAGGATGAAAGGATGAATGAATGAATGAATGAATGAATGAATGAATGAAAGGAAGGATGAAAGGATGAATGAATGAATGAATGAATGAATGAATGAATGAATGAATAGGGTATCCCCTCTGGGTTCCCATAAAGCTTTAAACTTGGTTTGATTTTAAACCAGAATTTTGAAGGGAGACGGGGGGGGGGGGGGCATGACACAATTCTTACCTTGTGGATTGTTAGTTCAATAATTCCATGATTTTCATGAATGCTGAATATTGAAACAATAAAAACATTTTTGGATTTCTATTAATAATATAATCACATTTATTATTATTACAACGCAAACGCAAATAGGGAAAGGGGATAATGGATTTACTTTGATAGATACCGTTAAAGGACCTGGAAGTATGATTTCAAGTGACCCTTCATGCAAATATGACAATGCCTGATTGAGAGCGGTTTCCTTGAAACCTTTATTTGATCAATGATGTGGAAGATGTTGTCGTTTTTCTAGGTTTAAAAGTGCTTAATTCTATCACTGTCGATATGTTTTCGGCACAAGAAATGCGTGGTTATGGTTATTGTTATTGTTATTGTTATTGTTATTGTTATCGTTGTCGTTGTCGTTGTCGTTGTCGTTGTCGTTGTCGTTGTCGTTGTCGTTGTTGTCGTTGTCGTTGTTGTTGTCGATATCGTTATCGTTATCGTTATTGTTCAGGGATGGAAGAGAGGAGATATTTGAAGCAAAATATTTGGTTCCTGGAGATTTGGTTATACTTACTACAGGAGATAGGGTTCCTGCAGACATACGGTTAGTGTACTTTGCAAGAGTAAAGATTTTCTCATCAAATTATTTCCCCTGCTTTCGAAGCTCATTTTTTTCTGTAGATATGAATTTTTTAGGGTTTTATTCTCTGAATTTTGGAAAATAGTTGATATTTGGGGGTGGGCATGGCAGGGTATTTTAGGGGGTCATGGGCCGGCCAGGGGGGTGACTGGTTTTTGTCACAATACTCCTCTTAAAATGAAATTGTCTCGTGTTGCGTGGTGAGAATGGACAGCGGACAGCATGAATATATTCTGATAAACTTTTCATATTGATATATAATTATTTCAAACCTGCAATATATTTAGATGTCGTCTTTATTACAGCGAGCTATTTCCGAAGAAAAACATATATTTTATAGCAAAAGTACAAGAAAGCACAGCGGTTTCGAGCTAATCTAAACATATAAATAGATTCTAACAGTCGTATAAAAAAGATTTATGAGCACTCCAAAACCTTGATTTAGTCAGAGTGGCGTGTTGAAAAATCCTGTTTTAAGGGTTTTCAATGAAATACCGGAGTTTGGTAGAAATTCTTAACTAAAACATAACATTTAAACAACTTAGAGACTTCTCTCAAAAAAATTCTTAAGCTGCCAAGCCTTATTTGACATAAATAAAGGTTTATTGAACAAATTCATTCATAAATACCCAACTCGGGGGGGGGG